CTTTCTCTAACTATATTACTTCCAAATTCTCAAAGATTAAGAAGGGATCAAGGCTCTTCGGCAAGAGATTGGACGCTCTGATGGGGCAGACCAAGAATACCCTTAATGATACTAAGAGGGAAATCTTCCGTCAAATCATCTTCAATCAGAAAGAAGCCCTAGCTTGGACCTTCGAGGAAAAGAGGGAACTTAACCCTAGAATCACTCCCCCACAGGTCATTAAAATCACACCCCATACAGCCTGGCAGTATAGCAATGTAATTATCCCTTATGGAACCAAAGCCAAGGTTATTAAGCTGCTAAAGGAAAGACTAAAGAATAAGATTATTAAAGAAAGTCATGCTTCCTATAGGAACTGGTGGATGCTTGTGGCTAAGAAAGATGGGGGTTTGCGTCTTATTAACTTAGCCAAGAGGTATAATGCCTATACCATCAGGGATGGAATGATTCCTTCTAGAACTGAAGACTTCTCTGCTAAATTTGGGATGTGTTAGATCTTTTTAGTCCTTGACTTCTTTTCTAGATACAATTAGATCGCCCTGGACGTAAAAAGCAGGGACTTGACGACCTTTTAAATGCCAATTAGTCTATTCAGGCTGTGCACCCTCTCTTAGGGAGCTATGAACTTAGTAGCCTAATTTACTAGGATTATAACGAGGATTCTTTTTGATTTAATGCCTGATATAGCTAGAGCTTTTCTAGATGATATTGGTGTTAAGGGCCCTGTTGAGGACTATAAAGGGGAGGAGTTTCTTTCTGGTATTAGATAGTATGTCCTGGAGTACCTGATAAACCTCGATGCTGTTCTGGTTAATGTAGAGCTTTTAGGCTGTTTAATTGCCACAAAGAAGTCATTCTTCTGCCAAAAGGCTGCTTCTTTAATGGGATATCTTTGTGGGACTCATGGTTGCAAGCCTATAGAGGACAAGGTCCTGAAGATTGTTGAATGGGAAGATTGCTTTAACTAGACTGAAGTCAGGGCCTTTCTAGGTATCTTAGGATACTATAGAATCTGGATTGAAAAGTATGCTTGGATTGCTAAGCCCCTTATTGAGCTACTAAAGAAGGATGTCCCCTGGAAGTGGGAAGATGACGAGAAGGAAGTAATAAGGGTATTAAAGGAGAGGATTGTTATGGCTCCTATCCTTGTCTCTCTCGACCTATCTGAAGGAGCTGGAGAGGTTATTCTGATGATTGATACTAGCATCCTAGGCTAGAGAGCTGTCCTGATGCAGATAATAGATGGAAAACATCACCCTGTGAGGTTTGAATCTGGTACCTGGTCAGATACTAAGAAGAGGTATGATGCAACAAAGCTGGAGTACAAGGGAGCTCTTCATGCTGTCAGATGCATGAGGATGCAGATCTATGGATATCCCTTTACTTTAGAGACCGACTCAAGGGTCCTTGTCGATCAGATCAATAATAGGGCCGACAATATACCAGGATTGATGGTCGTCCGCTAGATTAGCTACCTCTTGCTCTTTAACTTCACTATCAGACATGTTCTAGGAAAGAAGAACGCGGTAGCCGATGGTCTTTCGAGGAAAGGGGAGGGACCTTCTGACCTTCTAGACCGAGAAGCTGAAGGCGATATTAAGGATGAGATTGACGCCCGCCTCAACCTTGTTCTTTTTGGCCCTGAAGATAAGAAACTGGAAGACAGCTACACAGGTGAATGGCTAGTTCTAGGGAACTATTTGACTTCTCTAAAGCGGCCGGAGGGACTCTTAGCAAGAGACTTCTTGCAACTAAGGAAAAAGGCAATATAATTCTATGTCCACGGAGGTTACATCTAGAGACAAGCACTAAGCCTAGGAGACGACCCTATGCTTGTTGTTGATGATAAGGAGCTTTAGAAGCATCTTATTATAACCTCCTACTATTATGGGGGTTATAAAGGCAGAGAGGCGACTGTCTATATTGTTTCCCGCCGCTATTTCTAGCGAGGCATTAGATGCAAGGTGGAGTCAATTATCAAGACTTGTCCAATTTGTCAGGTTCACGCTGCCTAGAGACTGGTAGAAATTGCTAAGCTTACTACTCCTTGGTATCTTATGATGAAGATTCATATCGACGGACAATACCTTCCTAATAACAACGGGATGAAGTTTCTATTGGAAGCTAGATGTAATTTAATGGGATGGGTTGAAGCTATGTCTTGTAAGGTCCTAAATGCAGCAAATGTCCGGAAGTTTATCAGAAGGATCCTCTATTGCTATGGCATGCCTATGAAGATTGTTACTAATAATGGAAGCGAGCTAGTGAAAGGAATCCCTGACGAGCTAGATGACCTGGGCATTATGATGGCTAAGATCTCCTTCTATAATTCCAAGTTAAATGAGCTAATTGAAGTCAGTTATATATTCTTGGTTAACTATTTTAAGAAGCTTGGCCGGCTAGGGAAGTGGGTTGGGTTGGTAGACTAGGCTCTGTTTGTAGATAGGTCTACGATCTGTGGGTCCTATAGATGCTTACCCTTTTGGCTTCTTTATGGATGGGAACCTATTCTCCCTATGAAAGTTAAAGTCCCAACCTGGAGACTTATTGATTGGGATGAGGTCCATATTAGGGAAGACATTGTCTTGGCTCGAATCCGGATCCTAGAAAGACGATAAGAAGATCGGGAAGCTGCCAGATAGAAGGTCAAGGAATATCGGGAGAACCTGGCGAGAAAAACAACTGCTTTCAATGCCTTCAAGCTGAGGAAAAAGCCACTATTGCTAGGGGATCTTATCCTTCTCTATGATATTAAAAACTACCACGACCTTTCCACTGCGGCCAAGCTCAAGCTAAAATGGCAAGGACCCTACAGGATCCGAGAGGCTCTAGTGGAGACCAGAACCTACATTTTTGAGATCCTAGATAGTGTAAAGATAGCTAGAACCTGCTATGGAGACTGGATTAAGGCCTTTGTGAAGGATGATTAAGGGTGGTGGGCTAGTTCTGATGATGTAGAGGTTTGGGGACCTCCTACTGAAGATGAGGACGAAGAATCTGAGGAAGAACCATCTCATAATAAGACATATCAACCCAGTGAGACAGAGGATTTATTAGATGAGGCCTATTCTATGCCTGTTCTTTGTCTATGGAGGGGACTTAGGGGGGACTTCCAGGTTTGTATTCTAGAGATGAGTAAGGAGGCTAGAAACTAGTATAAAGTAGTCTAGAATATCTCATTAGATGTTTGGGGATACAGCTTTAGCTGGGGATAGTGGTATTGCTATATGGGGAGGCGGATAGAGGAGGCAAGATATAGGGTTACTAGAGAGACTTAAATGCGAAGAGTCTAGACAGCTAAAACCCAACAAAATGACTATCTAGAAGGAGTCTGGCTGCTGTGAATAACACCTTACGACAAAGAGGAATAGTATAGAGGAAATCTATTTAGAAGAGATGAGGGTGGTGCCAACTAAGTGGTAATGTTATTCCCTAGGCATTTGCTATTGACTACCTATTCTACAAGGATAGAAAAAAGGACTGTTTTTTTTTTTTTCCTTTAATAGGAAAGAAACCCATTAAGACTAACTAAAGAGCCCGGTACCTATTATAAGAGCCTGAGTAGAGACCTGGGAAGCCCGACGACAAATCTCAAGGTCAGATGCACCACTAGCCTTAGAGGGATATTCGCTAATAATCCGAGGGTAAGAACAGAGTTGAAGATGTTAGAAGTGTAAGAGGTCGACATATTTGGGTTTGTGGCTCGACTACTAAGAGGAAATTTCCAAGGACCTTCCTGACGACCTGAAGCTATGTACCCATGGAGGCATTTCCAGTTGCAATCGGTCCGGTTATGCTAAAGGCAATTAGTACATACCCTATTTATATATCCCGGAGCCGAAATGCAGGTATGGAAAGGGGTTAGAATGTGTTTGTTGAAGTGGGTGGTTGTTGAGAGATAGCTGTAGATATAATAGCGATACATAACCGGATTGATGACCCCGACAAAGGCGACGATGAGGGCCTTAACAAGATATAAGTAGGAAGGAAGGTTCATGAAGAAGTACCCTCTAGGATGAGCTCAGTCTGCCGGGATAAAGACCTGCTGGAGAGTGCGGGTGGCTAAAAGTCCTATTCCTGCTGTAATGGACGAGTCTCGAAAAGGAAGCTGCTTGAGGAACTAGATGAGGAAGGCCTCTCTAGAGCCGGTAGCAGGAAATTGGATATCTAACTCGATGTATAGAGGGCGGCCTAGTTGGTTGAGGGCCCGGAAACTATAAATCCAAACCCGGAATGACTTTAGGACCTGGAAAAGCATCTCATTAGATGACCTGAACTAACAGAAGGGAGATAAGGGACCTTATTAAGGCTGGAGTCAAATCAAGCTTCGACAAAGGAAAGGGGCGAAGGAGAACGGCGTCTCGACCCTTCTAAAAGATACCAGACCGTCGCGAGAACTCATCGGCCTTGACTCCACACTCAGCCAGATAACGAATGTCAGGAAGCTTCTCTTGAGGGAGGCCGGAAAGAATGATCAGCTTGTCTTGAAGAGATGCTATTGCAGAGGCTATCCCGATGTTGCGATGACAGAAAAAGAAGGGAAGTCTGCGGCAGGATGAGGCTGAAACCCTGATGTTGGTGATGTGGAAGAGAAAGAGGCTTCAAGCTTAAAGAACCCTACCTTAGGGCTAATCTGGCAGGGCTTTATTGTAAAGTGCAAGAATTGCAAGAAGTGGGTGTTCTTGTTTGCTATGACTTACAAAGGAAAATCAGTGAGAAGGTCTGGAAAATAACAACTGCTGTTTCTGTGATTTACCGTTACAAAGAGAACCAAGCCCCACAGCACAAAAGACCCTCGAATACTTAGTCTCTTGAAAATACCAATACCTATATACTCTTCTTGCACTTTAGCTGCTATAGAAATCAACACTATAACTTGCACCTCCAAGCTGCAATTCTTTTCCTATTAAGCCCAAACCTTAACTACTATTTTATTAGTTGCTTTTCTTCCTACTAACTGACTTTTAAATTTATTGCTATACTATAGAACTCAGCATACAATGGCTACCTCCGACGAGGCTGTAAAGAAGAAGGTGCAATTCTACTGTAGTATGAAATTGCTAACTCTCTACGAAGGAACTGTCCGAGGGAAAGGTAGAAAAGGGAGCTTCCTCTACTATAAAGAGAACCTTGTAAAGATATTGCTGACTGAAAAAGTCGGCTAACAACTGACTCTTTATCCTTCCTGCCTGGATTGGTTCTATTGGGACGAGGAAAAGACCGAACGCCCTGTTCTAGGGGATGAGGAATTGATTAAAGCTTGGGCTAAGACTGTTAGATTGCACCCCGACTTTAGCGAGACCGATTTTGGGACTTGGGAAGGTCACTGTGGCAATCTCTGGGGCCTCCAGTACAAGCTTCAGTATGAGGATCTCTCTGTTAACTTTAGTCTCATCGCTTTCCTACGAACTATAACCTACGGAATAAGGGATGTTGTGGCTGTTATACCTTTTAGCCTTGACCTCGAAACCTATGTCCTCCGAGCTAATGAATGGGGGAAAGAGACCTTCTCGACCAAGCTCCTAAAAAAAGGCGTTCTGGTTACGAAGAACCGTCCTATGGTGAGCTTCCGACCGATTCGAGAGATTATATTCAACTGCGGCTATTTTGTTGGTATTATTAACTTCGCCAATAAGCGTTATTGGATTGGCTACATCTGGGATGCTAGGGCAAAGCAACTCTCCCTCTTCGATACGATGGACCTTTAAAGGAAGGAACGATTTAGGGCTGCTGGGGTTGCCTGGAGGGAGATCATAACCGTTAATGGTGCCCCATTCGACTTCTCTATCTACAGTATGCCAGCCTCTATTCAGTCCTACGGTTGGGAGTGTGGCTTTCTTGTAGTCTTTCTCATAACTTTAACTATTTGCGGTATGGTTGGCCTGGATAAGTAGCAGATGCAGGGAGGGATCCCAATGGAGAGACTAGTCTTCAACGACCTGAATGACAAGCTGGTAAGTATCCCTTTTAAGCTATGATTTTGCGACTGGAAGCTCGGCGCCGTTAAGTTAAAGCCCCCGCCCCAGCTAAAGAAGAAGGGGAAAGCCGCTAAGAAGAAGGAGACTGTGGACCAGGACTTGGATCTGGAGCGCGTCAGAAGCTTCATTGGGTGCGCCATTATGGAGGAGCTTGGGATCCAGGACCTGATGTATAGTGAGGGTACGGACGAGGTCTGCTGAAAAATCGACCTCTCCTATGACTGTGAGCATGGGTTTATGACTACCGACTAGAAACTTAAGATATTAGATCTCTACATCAACCTTGGTGGGTTCTCCCTAGTTAGCTGGAAGAGTCTTGACCTCAAGAAGCTCCCCGATGCCTATTGAATTGTCCCTCATCCTGCTGTTTCTTTTGGTCAGACGTTCTGCTCTATAACGATGTATAGATTAGACTACCAAAAGGTCAACTTCACTATGGCCGACAACCTCATCAAGATGTTTAAGGAGAGAGGATTTGAGGTTTAGAAGGGGATCCCTAAGCTACCTGGGACTACGGGAGGGAGTGTTATTTCTCTGGGCTCGACTGTCCTAGAGAAATCGCTAATAGCTCCTAAGCCTGCATCTAAGACTGTATCTGTAGTACCCTCTGGGGGTATCGAGGAGATGGAAATGATATTCGGTAGAACTTCCTCTTCTCCTAGGCCCTCTGGACGTTTTGAAGGGACAGGGAGAGGAGCGGTATCTTCCCTAATGGAAGGGGTCAGGGATATCAGGGCCTCGCCATCGCCACCTCCAAAGTCGCCGGCAGTATCCCAAATTGAGAGGGATATCCGAAGCCCAAGTCCTTGTCAGCCTGCTGGGTTGGATGTATCGATGAGAGATGTTTGTAGAATGTCCGCTAGGAGTGATGTCTCAATAAGGGATCCATCGCCCAGCCCACTACGTCGTCAAGCTGCCAGATCCTATAGGACCCCGACTGTTTCTGCTGTCCAATTCATCAATGGAGCCGTCCTTCGCTACTTCGACGATAATGCTATTCTTAAAGGACGAAGCGAGTACAACAACATCTCTATCGGTGAGGGTGCGAAGAAGATGACTATTAATACTAACCGAATAAACCTTCCTTGTATTTTTAAATAACCTATGCTATTCATGCTCAAGTCCGAGTCCTACGCAACTTATATCCCGGAAGGTCTGATTTCTCTTTTCTAGTGGGAGGAGCTGATTGACGCTGCCTATATGGATGTCATCCCTCCTGCTATTGCAAAGATCAGTCGGGAGGAACGTTACCGTTAGCGTGAGGCTTGTAAGTAATGGTTGTTTGGTGTGCTATTCTGCTTTCTTTGGTGGATTGGAATGGTGATGGATAGGGAAGCTCGTGGTGAAGGGAGTCGCTCTTAATGGAGGAAGTTAGTCTTTAGAAGCTTCTAATGAGATGCTTCTCTAATGTTTGTTGTGTTTCTTTGGTTGGAATCTTGAATGGGGAGGCTGTTGTGTTGTGCGCGTTCCTGGCCTGATTGGGGATAATTATCGGATCGCGGGGGAGGGATGTGACAGGCGGTTAGGGACACTTGGGCTAGCTAGTCGCTAGTGGGGATGTCTTTAGGGTGACCCGGATGGGGTTAAAAGGGGAGGTTAGTGCCGTTACTGGGGGAAATCATTATTTTTCCTTTTATTAGAGATTCTTCCTAGAAGTCAGAGAGGCCGGAAGGGCTCGAGGCTGCTAGGGAGTCTATTAATTGATTGCCTTCATTTTTGAGAGATTTATTTGAGCCTTCTTGCCATCACTACGTTCCCTATCCAACCTCCGTCTTTAACCTCCCTTAGATATCGGTCTGCCGCAGGCCCCATTGATGCCTTGCCAGCGAACTTTCCTGCGACCGACCCGATATACAATCTCATGAGATGCTTCCCTATCAGGAGACATAAGCCTCAGGTTGATCCGACCTCATACGCGTAATCTGGTGCAGCTTCGGGCTGACCGGCCAAGACGCCTGTGCGACGACTCTCTGTGCATTTCCCCTAGGGAAGGTTAATGAGTTGGGTGTTGTTTTCCGTCCCTTCCTGCTGCTAAATTACTTAAAAATAAGCTAGAAGATAAGTCTAGCAGCAAATACCTTTTAATTAATATATAGAGGAATTTCCTTGCTTCTACTAAGTTACCTGGGTTAAATAAGATAAAAATTATAGAATCTCTAAAAATAGTAATTAACTTACCAGTATAAAAAAACTAAAAAGATAGATATTATAATAAGAAGAGAATAAGAAATATTCAATTTAAAATACTTACTAATTACTATTAAGTGCTAAATCTAATAGACTTTAGATTAACCAGCCTTAAGTTTATATAGCTTCCGATATTAAGGTAAACTGGAGTTTTAATTTTATTATATAAAAGTGGGTTAATTATTTATACTAAAGTCTATAGAGGTAGCTCTTAAACTCCCCCTTATTAGTAGTAGAGGTATATAAATAGTTAGTATAAGCTTATATCTATTAAGTAAATTACAACTCAGTACTATAAAAGTCTGTTAGTCCTTAACTATTAGAAGATATAGAAAAGCAGGCTATATCCGATTTTAGCATTAATACAGATACTGGATAGTTAGTATCTATTTCGAATTATAATAACCCTGATCCAGGCCCAGCTATTAACTTCGATACAGCCTTATATACCTTACCCGAGGCGGAGGACGATAAGTAAGATCCAGTCAGACACCTTGCGCACAAGTTAATAGAGCAACTTGTAAAATTTCAAGGATGCTATAATAACTGCTATCAAGTAGTAGAGTGTAACCAATTGGAAGACCCGAATAAATATATCAGTCTTGTAATATATCTGGAATTTGCACCTGAGCTGGGTCCTAATATCCTTGGCTCTGCGATAATAGCACACCAAAAAGATAACCTAGCTGGAAAGCTTGATGCTGCAACCCGAAGATTATTCTGTAGTATCAGCTCTATGTGACGGGATAAGAGCACGAATGAGGTCGAGTGCGACTTGGGCAAAATGATTATTTACAAGGAGAGAAAGAGATTCCTAAGGAAAGCTCTGACTTAAACTATTTACACAATATTCATAAAGTGAAACTATTTATAAAGTATGAAAGTTACATAATCATTCCCTCACACTCCAGAGACGAGATACCTCGTATTTGCTTAAGAGAAGACGATGGGGTTATAGATGATGCCGGGGTTTCCTTTGATATAGATAGCATCATAGCCTTCCCGAGTTGCCTTGCAGTTGCCAAGCAGGGCATTCGATAGTCTCCTACCCGGATGACTGTATCTGATCTTCAGTCTGATCTTCACCTCCGCTCAAGGCCAGTTACTTACTTCGATGTGACTGGAAGCTAATATAAAGTCTACCGACCTGTCCACCAGACTCCTTATTACACCTTCGGTCGTGTCGTTGGATTTGAGGATATATCTTTATACTTTCTGTTTCCCAACCTATATCGAGAAGAGTAGAAGTGCAGCCGGCTCGAGACGAAGACTTTCGGCTATGGATGGACGGCATTCTCCTTCCGGCAATATACCAACACTACAGCAGCGCCTATATCCAGTATTATCCATCAAGCTATAACCACAGTCGGTATAATTCCACTGCCCGTGGAGTAGAGATACTTACTCAACGTGTGCACTCAGTAGCACGGGAATAACAATTGGTGTACCATCTACTACCCGAGGGACTGGTAGATATTTGGGCTAATATCCTCGCCACTGTTTAAGAACTAGGGTTCTAATAGTTTTAGGACGTTACTATCCTCCTTTAAGCAAAGAACCTTAAGGTCCTTACAAAAGACATCACCTGGGAGAAAATGGTATCATGTTCTCAAGAGTATTGGGTTAATGCGATTGACGAGAGCCACATCACGACAGAACTCTACATTGATATCGGAAAAGAAACTTGTCCTCAGCAGGCATCTCAAGTTGTGCATTGGAGCCAACTGGCAGCTGAGGCGATCGATGGTCTAACAGATAAACGAGCCGAAACTCTATTGTACAGACGATGTTGCTTAGAGTCATATGCCTTCCAGGCCCAGGACGGATCCACCGATGAAACGAAGCAGAAGCAAGTCTTTTATCCCTTCAGTATGCTTCATGATACTGGAAGCTTAACCATTGAGACTGGAAAGCGCTCTTCACGCTGTGCTGCTGGCCTTCTTTACTCTCAATTCTACTCCAGTGTCAAGGAAGTATTCGCAGCGGGGAATGTATATCCATTTACGAACACAGCCATCGAGACGCTTGCCCTACATACAGATTACCGTAAAAACTCTGTTAACTCGCGCAGCCTAGCTTCTCCACAAAAGAAAGGAGAACCAATACACTAGGCTGTTTGTGACGTTTTCGCGGTTAACAGTGGAAAAATGGAGACACTAGGCTGCGCGAGTTAACCGGGTTTTTACGGTATTCGCAGTTGATTACTCGGTGTTCGGACGGCCCCTGGCCAATCACAACCGCCCAATTTAGTATGGCACGGACCATTACATGGTGATCGGATTTCGGTGGGATCGGAACGGAGCAGAATGCTGATTGGTGCTATGGTTTATAAAGGTGGGGCTAAGGTTTACAGCTAACATGGGTTTGAAGAAATATCCAGGTTCTATGGACTACTGCTGTAGAGAAAAGCAAAATAAAAGCAGCTAGTAAAGTAAGTAAAGATTAGAGGTGAGGAAAATAAAGAGGAGAGAGAGGAGGAGAAAAAAGGAAAAGGGGTAAAGGAACAGAAGTAAATATATACTCAAAATCCCAACCAACTCCCCCCCGGGCCAATTACATGCTTATCATTATTTACTTTAAGTTTCCAATAGCAGCAGATCACAACATGGAAGACTATGTTCAGCTTAATGAGGAGTATAAGATACTCATGTGCCGACACTGTTGTATCAGCATCCGGCCAGGAATAAGCATTGAGCGACATTTTCGACAAGAGTACCAACTCAAGGGCCCCGTGTTGCGCGAGATCATTGACTACTTTCAAAGCATGGAGCTGAACGATCCAGTGCATGCTACGCTACCCGAAGATGGTTTGGCACCGGTGGCACTGCTCAAGGTCCGTCACGGGTTTAGCTGCACGCAGTGTAGGTATCTGACGGTTGCGCGCGATAACATTACCCGGCATGGGCGAGAGGCCCGTGACAAGCATGGGCAAAGCGCGCGTGGCGGGTGCAGCGGAGCCGTAGAACGAAGGGGGAACAGGCAGTACATAGATGTGCAGCTACAGTCGTGGCAACAGGGCGGACGCGCGCGGTACTGGATTATCAACGACGGCAATGCTAACGCAGAGGGGTCAACATTTACACAGGAGGCAGCGGCCAACCCGGGCCGTGGCGAGAGTGCTATGCAGCGTATGATTGCCAAGTACGTCGAAACATTCAGCAAAGACGACGCCGGGCGGCTCCGGAAAGGCGACATCGAAGAAGGGTTGGATCGCGACTCGCCGTGGGTGAAGCGGCTCCGATGGGTACGGCACTTTGGGTCGCGGGACAAGCTCAGCATATTCAAGGCCGCCGAGTGGGTCAAGGCAAAGGAAGCAACCGGGCAGCAGTGGCAAAGGAGGCAGCAGCAGCAGGACGAGGCAGCTGCCCGAGAGCAACAGCTGCTGGTGCAGCTCGGCGAGAGCTTCGACCGTGAGGTTGAGCGTTGCAGCTGGCGGAAGAAGAGACTCCATCGCAGCGTGAGGAGCGGAGGCGTCCGGAGAAGACATTGGCTGGATGTTTCTGTGAAGACGGATAATAATAATACAAGATACCACCTCAATCCGGCTTATCTAAAAATATCTAGTCATTATCCAATCTAGAGTCCTTTTGCCGTAGCTGGCAAATGCGACACGAGGAATGTTGGAGATCACAAGTGTGAGGCGACCAAGTCGGTGGCAAGGTGTGGAAGAGGGAGGAACATTCTACAAGAGATCGTGCCTGTACATAAACAGTGGTTCCCCTACTGCACACTTAGCCTGAATAAAGCATTTAATATCTTCTCATTTCAACAAGGAAACACTCCCTACCATTCTGGCGAACGTTGCTGCCGAACAATACCACGCCTTTCTCCCCTCAAACATCTTTGCTCTTCCTATGAACCAAACCATTTAAATCACCTAAATCTCAGCTTATGTACACTTAACTTAATAAAACTAATAATACTGATAATACAATCATATATTGTAGTTAAAAAACGTAAATTAGAGCTTGCTTTTATTATATAGGAATTTAGAGCAAACATGCTTCTATTGGACTTCCTGGCCTATGATGCGTGACTGTCCTCTCTGACTTTCAGCTCGACTTTGTGGCGCATCTAGCTATAGATGTTCCCTTAACTCTAATAGATATGTAGCCAATGCTTAGCTGTAGGATAGGTAGAATTGGGCGACACAAGTCCTCCCCATATTTGCAGAGAGTAACGATAGAGCCAATTCAGCAACACTATATGGAGTTTTCTGACTGTTATCTGCATCTTGAGTCACAAATATTATATGTCAGACGAATAGGTCCGAAAGGTCAGATAGGGATATGATCTAGGTTTCCGGGACCGTAGCTTCGAGCCCTAGCTTTCCGGAACCGCGGGTCCTACGAACTTAGGATCAGGCTCAATAACCTAGTTCGGCCTTAGCAACCTAGTTCCCCGGCTTCTAACGGGATCCCCGGCTTCTAACGGGATCCCCGGCTTCGACTGGGGTTCACGGACCTAGGGCCCTGGGATCAGCCCGGCCCCAAAGGCATAAATAGCTGGCCTTCCCCCCAACTAGATAGAAGGAATAAGACAAGAGATTCTATCGTCCTCAAGCTGTATCAACCAATTCATCCTGTCTGATATTATAGAGCAAGGCCGGCTGAGGCAATGCGGTTTGAGAGGGACAAATCTTAAAAATGCCGTATTATAGCGGGTTGCATGCCCGTGACCGTCGCCAAGTCCTGCAGGTAAGCAGACCGCTTACGGCTGTTCAGGTGAAGGTGCAAATGAAGTCGCGGCTTCTGACTCCGGTTCCCCCTGTCGTTAGCGGGAAGCTTTCATGAGTCAGCCATATGCAAGCCTTGTTCTCTTGCGGTGCATTTCTAGCTTCTCCGAGCATTGCGGAGCCAATCACCAGATGTTTTCTGCCGCACTTGCCCAACCGGTTATCAAAAGTGGAATGTGCACTCCAGCAAAGCTGCTGGCATTACCATGATATGAATCATCTGCTTGCCACGAGGCAGAACTGACCCGCTGAGCAAACAGTCCTGATCCACGTTGATACCTCAACGTGCATGCTTTTTCTCCGATTAAAGAGATATTGCTCATGGTTGGTGAACGTTTTATCGCTTCTGGACATAGCATCATCATAAGAGCCAGCCCCTTTGCTTTTGTTTTTTTGTAAAGTATGCGCTACCCAGTCTTCCACATTCTCCAGAGCACAGCTAGGAGAGCCCTATACTGTATGAGGAAGGATAAGATCTCGGCCGGCCTGAACTTATGCTCTAGCATCTTAGCAGCAAATTTATCCGCAAATCGTTTAACGATTAATTGATATTTAGTTCGCCACTTTGTGTATGATCTAACTTTGTCTGGCTGCTTAAACACGAGGTGTATATTTGAGTGGATAAGTCCCTGTCGACAAGTTAGAACTTGACCTCTCTGTTAACACCCCTCGGTTGAATGAGCGTATTATCTAACTTCTTGACGTGGTTCGTGGTCATAATGAGCAGCCAACCCTCTTGGGACGCCACATCGATAGCATGGAGCAGTCTCGGGAGCGTCACTGATTTCGTGTACCCAGATTTCCCACTTTCGCAGGGATTCTCACCACTAGCATCACGAGAATGTGCCACACCAGCGGCATCAATGTCCTCCAGCAAGACGACGCCTTGTGGAGGGAGCTGGGCGAACAGGCTCTCGAGCGTTTAGTCGCTGACGGTCGATACGCTCACAGCGTGGCGTAGATATCTAGACCAAAGCGACCAGCCACGGACTGCGGCTGCCTGTGCGATGGTCTTGTTCTGCTTGCCCGTCTTGACTCGGTCTATGCCAGCGCTGCCGTCAGATCAGATTAACAATCAGATATATCAATCAGATCAATCAATTCAATTCAGATATGGAATTTAGTCAGATCAAACAAATCAGATTTGAGTCTTTGAATATCTGATATATCTGATATCCCCTAGATGCCCTGAGGATGCTTTGATTGTGTTTGGTTCAACTGCCAGCCCGTACCCTAGAGTATTCAACGCGATTCCCAATACTGCTTAGCCGTTGCTAAGGCAGTCGACAAGGTGATAAACCGTGCCTTGCCCCTGACCAGGGTGCGCGTCCACGCAGACGTTGCCTTGCTCTCTATTTTCGGCGTAAGGTAGTCGTACAGTGAACTTAGCTAGCTCAAAATGCAGGTCTTGTCCCGTTGGCAGCTTGCTCTTTGAGGTCGCTTACACGTTTCATGGTATTTCTCAATGTCGGGGAATCCGATAGCGGGCAGCTTGGCTGGCAGCGCGTTATCAAAGCACTCACCCTCCTTATTTGCTCGCCTCGGACCCAGACCAAAGAGCATTGCCAAACAGTACGAAGCAGCCTCTGCACTAGCCTCAACTAATGATTCTTCGGTCGAAGACCTCTATAAGATCACCTGGGGCCAACGACGCTTCGTGATCGGAGGTTTGCTGGACAGGCGAAAGAGCCGGGGCAGGCGCAGCTGGATTGGAAACTATGGGTGGTTTCTGGCAGAATTGAGGGCAGACAGTACATCAAGCGGCGACATATGGTGCTGCCGGCTCTGTAATGAGAAGGGGGCACCGCAATTCTTCAATGCGCAGTCCACATCTTCGGCACAGGCCCACCTTCGGAAGTTGGAACCCCATTCAAGAACTGCAGGATACTGCTGACCCATCTAGAGCTCACAGGATTACCGAAACCTTCCAGCCCGCTTCATCTGATGAGTCCTCCGTCATCGACCTTCAAAAAGGGGCATCTATGAAACGACCGGCTCCGACTGCCACGGTTGTTCCCCGAGCAAAGATCACGCGGATCCGAGAGCTGTCCGTTGGCTACATTGTCGATTCGAACCTGCCGTTTGCCACCCTCGAGAGTACCTACCTGCAAGAGCTGTTCCAGCAATTTGATCCTGACCTTTGTCGCCACGCGCTCCGGGGTCGAACTACAGTAAGAAAGGACCTAGGGGACATATTCACGCAGAAGAAAGTATCTATCAGGAAAAAGCTCAACGAGGCCATCACCCAAATACACATCAGCTTTAATCTATGGACCTCTCCAAACAGACTGGCCTTTATTTCGATATTTGGTCACTTTCTTAACAAGAAGCATCTATATTGCAGCCAACTACTTACTTTTCGGCGGCAGGTTGGGTCGCACTCCGGCGAGAATATCGCATTTACAATCAAGAGTGTTATCCGGGACTAGGAGATCGACTCAAAGCTCGGGGTCTCGATCTGTAACAATGCGAGTAGTAACGACTCTTGTTTGCGGAGTCTCTATGCAAGCTTCGATGCCTCGATGACTCGCGCTGATACTGAAGCACGAAGGATGCAGTGCTTCGGGCATATTCTCAATTTGGTGGCCCAGTCTTTCCTCTACGGCGAGGATGCTGCTTCTTTTGAACTTCAGTCCGAAGCCTATGGCTTGCTCTAGCAGGTGGAAGAGGACCTTGAGCACTGGCGAGCGAAGGGTCCAGTCGGCAAGCTCCATAATATCGTCAAGTTCATCCGGGCCTCCCCGCAGCGCACCGAAGCATTTAAAGCACATACCAGGGAGCAGGAGGAGGCTGAAGTATACAAGCTTGCAGAGGAGTCGACAGCTGAGCTCGAAGTCATACAGAACAACAGCACCAGGTGGAATTTGACGTACATAGTGATCGAATGTGCCTTACTGAAACAGTCCGAGCTCAATAGCTTCATCCAGAAGCTAGGTTTAGAAGCAGATGCATCCAAAAGGGCGCCTACAGCTGATGTCCTGACCTCTGACGACTGGAGGTGCTTAGGGAAATTCACTATGTATTAGAGCCAATCTACTATATGACTATAAGAACATAAGGATGGGGCACAAGTAGTGGTTACGGCCGGCTTTGGGAGGTTATGATAGGGATGGAGTTCATTTTGGACTATCTTGAAGACTGAAAAGCCCTGTATGAGGAGAAACCTACTTATTTGGCAGTAGAAGCAGGGCTTGTAAGGCAGGGGGAGGAGTCGCCATCCCTAACACCTAGCCAAATATGAGAGCGACTATTACGCCAACTACAACTACCCTTGAGGTTTTAAGGGTGTGAGATTCTTGCCGCTATTGTCAGACGGAAGCTCCGGCTTATTCACCGGTTGCTCCACGGTTTGATGAGGCCGCCTTGTCTGCTCATTCTCGAAATGAATACGTGCAGAGCGACGCTCGCTCCGTCAGTAGTATAGCTAGTATGGAGGGGCAAGAGCGAGCCAGCATTAGGGTGAGCATCAATAATGCTTGGATAAAGCTTAATGAATACTACACGCTCCTCGGCCAATCCCCTCTGTTTGCGGCCTTCGTCATTTTAAATCCGGATCTTGGCCTCCAATGGCTTGAGGCTAACTGGAGCTCGCTAGAGCAGCTGCGGTAGCTTCAGGATGCAAAGGGTGGAATCAAACATTACTTTGAGCGTTGGTACTTACATAATGATATAGCCCTTAAGAAGGCCGATGTCACAATGCCCGTCATAACGCTCCGACCTAAACAAAGCAAGTTTGAGCAGTGGGTGCAGAGCCGACAGCCTAAGCTCTCCACGACAGGTTGTGAACTTGAAAGATACTATAGGCTCGAACCGGAGCAGGTGAGAGATCCTGTTCAATGGTGGATCGATCATAGGAGCGCTTTTCCGCAGCTCAGCAGGTTTGCCTTGGATGTTCTTGCAATTCCGGCTATGGCAACCGACTGTGAGAGGGCATTCAGCTTGGCAAAGCTTACAGTCACGTCACAAAGACATTCCTTGCTTGGATCGACCGTTGAAGAACTGCAGTTGCTGAAGAACTGGATCAGAGGAGGTTCTGTCACACTGGGGGGCCTGTGTTGGAGCAACCAAGCTGGGGAGAACCTAGCTTCAGACTGACCCACCCATGCATATATCAGATATCAATCAATCAATCAATCAAATCAGATATGAGCCGTAAACCATCAGTTCAGATCAGATTTGGCCTCAGATCTGATTTGATTGATCTGACGGCAGCGCTGGTCTATGCCCTCCAGGAATGCCCGCTGGCACATGTGATGATGTGACATTAGGTTGCACCGGCAGTTGAGTAGCTGACACCCCCTACTGGAAAGGGCGACGCCTGTCGATCACGTTACTTGTGCATGGATGGGCCCTCACAGATCGTGGGTTTGATGCATGAATCAGGGTTTGCTTCATGGACCGTGAGACGTTCTACCGGCCTTTGATAAGATGATGACCGTCTGTAATCGGACTTTTGTGTGTTAGTTAGGTAAAACCCTGCCTTGGCCAATCGACGGCAAGATCACCTCGAGAGTTCGGACCAGGGCGGGGAAATGACGTATGTCCTGTTGTAGCGGCAGCATTGCTGATGCTGGTCGAGCGACCCATTCCGCTGCCAGACTGTGACCGCAGGCAACGAGCACGTGCATGCACATGCAGCCTGTAATCGTTGGGATTCCAGCAGAAACGCAAGGCGCCAGCAGTCGAGTAGCCGAAGTGACACGGTTGGGTGGGTGGTGGGCTAGAGGCAAGTAGGTAGGTAAAGGGACCCGGGCCGTGAGATGGGATATTAGAGAAGGGGAATAGCTACAACCCTACAGACCAAGGGGAATCTAGCTTTACCCTACCTCACTTTACCCCTGCCCCCTATTATCCAGCTGTCAAAGCGAAAAGGAAATAGCAGCCTCTCTTTAACCTCTCTTTAACTCTCAAAGGCCGTCAGATATTCGAGCTTGAACGCCCAGCCGAGGAAGCCCCAGACCCTTTATATAAAGCCGTATCTGGGACCCTCTGGCACCGCTCGCGAGCCCCATCACAAAGGTTGCCGGGAATGAAACCTACCAGGCACGGTCGTCCTCTCAGGTGCCAAACACACGCTGTACGAAGAACCACCCTTCACAGAGAGCACCCACAAACCATAGTGGCGGGAGGCTCGTGCTCTCTTCCCATGTTCCCTAGGCAAGGCGTCTTATTTAGCACATTATATCACTAATGTGCGCCTCAAGCCTGTCTGATGGAATCGGGCGTTTTGGTGCTGTCATGAACCTTGTGTGGGCTCGGCCTCAAACGTGGTGGAACTTTTCTTCCTTAGTGTAGCCCCAATTGCATCCTCACCGCCAAGGGTATCCCAGACTCCGGAGTCATGTACGCCCGCAGAAAAGAGGCTCCGCTTCGTTGGTTGGCTCGTCGCCGACCTCAGAGTGTAGGAAGTCAGCCCGTCCCGCCTTCCATCCAATGAGGCAAATAGAGTGACCACTCAGTGGTGTGTGGGGCTGTTCTAGAAACATTCTGTTCAGTTGTTAGGCGCTGTTTGCTGCATTTCCTACGCTGAGATTCGCGGTAACTTGGAGAGAGTCACCGCCACTAAGTGTCTTGCTAGTTGATACGTAGGGCTGACATATGGACTTGGACCCACGGCATTTTCCGAACGCTGTTAGAGTTTATTGTTCCTCGTTGCGTAAGAATCGCGGCAGAACGTTTTTGAAGCTAGAAGTCCCACTTGCTGTCAATCCCGCCTTAGCGCTCCAGTGGAAAATCGTGTCTCAGCTTCCCTTACTTAGGTCCTCATGTAAAAGAGTCCCTGTTACCCTAGGACGAGGCTGGTCAGCGGCTTGCCCCACAATGCCAACGGGTAGTCTGTGCGGGCACCCTGAGACAGGAAGGCTTGCGGCTGCTCGGCGTCCTCGGCATCCACTAGCTGCTCGGAACCCTGACGGACAATGTATGTTAGTGTCCAGCAGTAACAGGGCGTAGCAAGGCCAAAGTTACGCAGCCCCGGTAGAGTTGCACTTGTGAGGTATGTGAGGCATGTGAGCCTTGGGGATGTAGTTTCTGAGTGGTAGAAGCGCCTTTTGGTCGTCAAAAGGTAAGCATGACACCTGGTGATGTTTGTTTTGAGTTCAATGGCATTGAGTGGAGCCCTCCGTGTCGGACATTGGAATCTATCTCCGCGGAGGAGACTTCTTGCAAACTGGCTTGACACATGGGGTGGAACGCCTGCACAAGCTCGAGGGCCACATCGAGTAAGAGGACAAAGCCTTGTACTGGCCGAGACCGATACATGTTAAATCCCCCGTTTCCAGTCGATTGTCTGCAACTGATCCCTGTACTAGCAGCCCATGATCCTCCATCATACTACGGCCGATACCGCAATCAACTGCAGTCACGGAGATCTGTCAATCACACTCACACAAGACACCTCCAAGACAATGGCAAGATCATCTTCTGCAGAACCAGCCAAGGCTACCAAGCGCAAGGGTAAGTAAGATGCGACTGCTCGACAGAGGTATTGCCTTCGTATTAACTGAGACATCTACAAGGCACAAGAAAGGTGTCAACCTTGACACCGTCACAACGTGCCCGCAAACGAGCCCACGACCGAGAAGCTCAGCGGGCAAATCGAGCAAGGTCCAAAAAGACAATCGAAAGACTCGAGCGGGAGTTGGAAGAGCTCAAGGCCATCCAAGAACTCATTCGCAGAAACAAGTCCTTAGAAGATGAAATATCCAGGTTGAGGGAGGCCATGGGCTTTGCAGCCGGACGAAGGTATAACAGATATGGTTAGTCAGAATGCGAGTTGGGAATCATTAACATTCTAACAGTCGCGTAGTCTTCGACGACAGCATTATTGCTCTCAGCGGGACGATGTCGAGTTCCCGATCGTCTCAATTCCCAGGGTGCAGCGCCATACAAGACTTCGGCCAATCGTACCTGCCACTTCCCGACGCTTGCGGGCCCTGGGGATCCAACATCGCTTGCTCTGTGCCATCAACCGGCTCCAGCCCTTCCTCATCTGGAAACACAGACGAGTACGGCGACGCATACATTTCCATCAGGGCACCAACCTCCATGGTGGAGTGGGTTCCCTCGTCCACGACCGCGTGTTTTCGTGGCCAGGATGTTGAGACGGAGTTCCAGGACTTGAGGCCCGGTAAGGATGTCCCGGTTCACCGTCGTTAACATGTCATGCTGAGTCAATCTAATCTCGTGCAGCTCGACGATACGGCATATCCCCTAGCAAATCCCGCACCCTTCGAGGCAGCCGACCTGCCCCTTGCCCATTGATTAGGCAACCCAGTAGCTCGTTTTGGGAGGTGCCCGTCTTGATCACAGCGCCAGCCACTGAGGCTGATCGCCTGCTCGTCACCTTCATCCAGGATTGCCGCCGCATGATGCGGAAGGAATCTCTTGGCGCCATTCTCTCACCTTCCAAGGCCAACATCAAGCCTCTCCTCGAATACCACCCTGCCTCGCCCGTCCACAACCCGTCCGAGCTGCAGCCAGCTGGCCGGCACACACGCCTTGCTCCAGCGGTGTCGGGGCCTGCAGTCAATCACCCAGTCACGGAACTGGCAACAGCTCTGTGCAACAATGTCGGCATGACGAGCATTATTGAGCGCCTTGCAGTGTTCGCGCCCATACGACGCATGGTCGCCTGGCTGGCGCATCCGACGGCACAGACGTATGCGGAGCTGAGGGACGACTTCAAGCCAACCCGGATGCAGCGAACGATTCCACATTCGCAATGGATCGACTTAATGCATTGCAAGCGTCTCCGGGACGTGGTGATCCAGAGGCCAGAGGTTTACGATACTGAAGAGATGCAGATTATCTACTCCCGCAATTTACGTCTTATCAATTGGCCCAGTAGACAGGAGGACGCCTTGATATTTGACGCGCAGTCTGGCGACGTGTGGCTTAGCGACACCTTCATGGCATACGCCGAAGACCCCAAGAACTGGAAGCTGAGCAGGGACTTTTTAAGACGTTATCCTGAACTAGGCGGCTTTGTTGAGATCGACGAAGATTGGTAACTACGTTGTACCTAGACTTCGAAGGTGCTTATCAAGTAATGGGAATTCAAGATCCGTGTCCCCATCCAAGAGGCGCAACTCAGGGGTTTCATTCCTCCTGTCTCTTTTCTTTCGTTGCTCGCCTGTTCGCAAGGCCGAAGATTCGGTGGGCCGCTCTGAAATGGAGACTGTCTTAGTAGATGCTACTACGCAAGCATGGCGGACGCAAATATGGAGTCAGCCGCCATTGTCTGGAATGGCGTCCTGGAAAATGACCCTCCGCCCCATCTTATGAGGCCCCCCTGGGCGACGGCACAGCGATGTCGATTTCCGTGGCGCGAATCACCGACGTGGGATACGTCGGGGCGACGTATTGAAGCCCTCTTGACATCTAAACGCCTTCTCTCCGGAGAGCCAAGAGGCGTTACGGACTTAGATACTAGAGGTGTGGCTCAATGCGGCCCAACTGGCGGACAAGACGTGGCTTGTATAGGGTGAGGGGGTGCGATATGGAGAAGTGTGGATGGAATTTCACAAATCCCATAAATTCTCCTCCAAGCTGACGACCGTACGTGCGAATTCCGGCGCGCAGCTAACTATTTGGAGTTTGGGGCGGCGCGAGTCACTGTCGCGCAGCGATCAGCGCTAGAAAGGCTAGAAGGCTCGGCGCCTAGTCCTGCCAGGGCCATCACCCCGTGCCCAGCAGCCTAGGTGCGGCTCCGCGGCCCTGATTCATGCCAAGTGCCGAATTTCATCGGCGACTCAATTCGACTCGCTACGACGAACCCTACGCTGTGTATCGTTGACGCGCCCCCTTCGATATCAATCCCTTCCGCCCTGTTTCGCACTTGACGTTGATGTTCGGATACCCCACCGCCTTCATGATTCTATTCTCATGGAGTCCACATTTCTAAACGCCCCGCTGGAGGATGTGCAGCTGCAGGATATATATATACACACCCATAAGCAACACCGAACGAATTTCATTCCGGGGTCGGCATGTGGGGACCAACAGAAACATGTGCAAGAGACAAAAATAGGGCGAATAAGGCGACGGTTCATATTGTGGGGGTTTCAGCGTGAGAATTATGAAAAGAGAATCCGAGGTGAGAATCTGAGGTAAGATGTGGAGAGAGCTAGGTTTGATTAGGCCTACTTACTATGACCCAAACCTAGTCTTTCAATCCATGCGGGAAGTTGCCTCCTGAGGCTTGTCTAAGCATTTTATCAGCCATATATATGTGAATTACTTGATTTCCTGTTGCTATAGCATCTCTGCAGCATCAGGCGGATGGTTAAACATACGGGCAATGATATGTTGGAGATTAAAGGCTAACTCAGTGACCTTCTCGCAGGACTTGACTCTTGTGGCGTCGGTGGAAGGTATGGATCTGGCAAGGCTCCGATGTAGGGGATGGAATACAACAGGAACTCAAAGGCCAAAGCGGCGGGGTCAACTCAGCGGCCTTCTCATACAACTCCGTGCTCATGGCATCCCCTTCAGACGATTGGACGGTACGGATTTTCTCATATGTTGGCGCACTAATAGGGGCAATGCATGCAGGAGCTCAGGGCCAATGGTGGCCTGGTCTGCCGCCTTCTTGCACGACCCGATGTTCGTAACGTCGGCCTCGACCGATGGGGCGGTATGGATCTGGCGCTCTGACTCTGGTGACTGCATGCCGAACATTTACCTTAAGGCTACATCCTCTCACCTCCAGGCCGACTCAATGGTAAGAGTGGAAGCATAGCCTCAGGGGCAGGCCCTACTCAGCTGCAACGCCCTTGAACACCACCTGGGAGGGCCGCGCGGCATCATCGTCATAGCCTCGGCCACTGTCCTCGCCGATGGACAGGCTGTGGTTGCGCGACGTCGGGTTCAGCAGGTTGAATCACATGTAAACCTCCCAATGCATCTCCTGTGGCCACTTGGCAACTTGGCATCACTTACCACATGACAATTTTACGGGAGATATCAGCAAGCGTTCGGCAATACGAGCAGCCGGTATACCATAATCTTAGTCAGGTCTTTCGGCACGAGGTTAAAATTCGGCTGGTTAGTGTTGCAGCTGACACCCATATACCTTCGATGAGGGTTGCAAGGGGTGTGAGCGCTAACGACGAATCGTTCTTGCTGGGCTGCGTGGCGTTCTCCCTGCATGGATTGAGTGGTTCTGGGTGTCTCGGTATGAGGTTTCAGTTGCTCGACTGCATTGACTCGTTCCGACGAGTAGGAGCGAACAGCATCCCACTTCCCGGTTCTGGAAGGTCTATTGCATGTGATACTATTCTGTAGGTGCGGCAAGACCTCATGGTCCTAGCTTACTTTTTGTTGTTGGAGGGCAACTGCCTACCACTCAAGGGGCTCAGGGTTTAGTTGTATACACGTCATTCCGCGCTGGTCAAAAACCTATCACCCCTGAACACCTGAACAGATGCAGTAGGCAAGAGCACTTGGATGTTCCTACCTGTCCGTTTGTTCAGTGCACGACGAGGCTTGTATTGTACGTAGACGCAGTTTTTCAGCCGTAATTCGTGCTAAAATCATGACCGAGTCATACCCTTCATCTATCTAGGCGAATGCCCATTTCCAGAGCGCTGAGTACGTTGTCGTGTTTCAGCGGTCCAGATCCCTGCCTACCTAGTTAAGCTGCTACCACCCGGCATGGACCGAACTCGAGAGTGACAGATTGGAGGAGCAGGGAAGGGTAAGGCTCGACGACTCGGCTACAGCTACGTCGAGGGCGGAGGACGCAGATCGGCTGTCGGCTAAGCCTGGTCGATGCTCGGGGAGCCCTCTTTGAGGAGGCTCTTCAAGAGCATCTGACGTCTATAAATGGTCGTGATATACCTAGTCAGGTCCAGATATTCATATCAGAATCACCTCCATCGTCTCTCATCCTTCTTGGGCCTTTGTCTTACCTACCGACGTTGTTTGCTATTGCCCTTCCCGTAACTGCTCTTCTGGCCGCCCCTGATATTTATCCGTTTTCGTCTCCAACTGGAGTGTTTCCAAGACCCCCAAACCTTTCAAGAAAGCCTCGACGCATATTGAGCACATTCGTGCCATCTCACCTTTTTTACTCCTATTATTGCTGCCCCCACCCTAATCGGTTTCAGTCCCCAGGTGAGTGACCCGAAGATCTGGAAACGGGTGCGCCGATCGCAGCCCTGAGCATAAAGCCCATCCATGCACGGCGGGGCCAGCTCCAATCCGCAGCAGTCCGTCTTACCTGGGTCAGCAGCTGACGGCCCCAGGGCGCCGGACGGCCGTGCCACTGTGGCTCACACGCTAAGCGCCCGGTGACAGTGCTAGATCAGCTCGATACGAGAATGGCTACGAACAACTCATCCACCGCGTCGGTTCAGTACGGAGATGCTACGCAGTACGGAGCCCTATTTGTTGATTAGAATCGTTCATAGCCCTGTACACCCCTTGTTTCCCCCTTGGATGCTAGTGCCTATATGTCGATCAGCTAACGGCTGGGGTTTCCAGGTCCAGGGTTGCAAGCAACACCAACTCCACAACCTTGAATGGAACCCCTATCCCAGAGGACCGGGAATACAGCCTCGGACGTTATCTCAATCCCTTGCGCTACGTCCCACAATCTCACCCCGACACATATCTCCGGCCCCCCCCTGGGTTCGCAGCGTCGTCTAACGGCAGTTCACAGCGTCAAAGCGTCCATCGCATGGCCCGAATCCTGAGCACGGTTGATTCCCAGCTTCATCAAACTCCCTCGTCGTGATGACGTTCTACAAAGGTTATCCCCAACGCCAGACAGCTAGCCTCGACTGCAAGTCAGGGGTCCAGGGTCCGTTTAGCATCCTTCTTTTCGGCATCTTCCATTAAGCATCCTTCTCCTCGGCATCTTCCATTCCTTGGCTTCCTCGCCTCCCATTCCCACGGGTCGTAGGGCCCTGACTAGCGCGTCTACAGCAGATGATTAGTCCCGTCATGGGTTTCGGAGTCTGTGTTTTGTCCCATGATGCGCTTCCGACAAGGCGCAAGGATGGCAAAGGACGCGTATGGACCGGACGGGTGCCTAAGCTTGGTGTGTCTGAGTTTTTGGAGTCGAAAGGTGTCGGGGCTGGTGCGTGGATTGGCTCAAGCCATTGTGGGTGAGCGAGTAACTGTCGACGCGGACCCTCTTCCAAGCCCAGCCGGCCGGCGAGAATGGATTTACAAAAGAAACACAGAACTGATAGACTACAACATGTACAGTAGAGATAATCACTTTCGTGCCTTCAAAACTACAGAGAATATGTTCCCAGCGCTCTTTTTTCACTTTGGCGTTGCGCGCAAGATGCGCAGCGATCGAAGATCCCTGTCCCCGGAGGAATCGCCGATGTCGCTAGTGGCCTTACATTTCAGGCGTAAGTTGAGACACCACTTGAACGTGGGTCTCCAAGTACAGTGGCATGTGTTGTAGGATCTCGTCAGTTCAGCCCGAAGGGAGCTCGACTGGCGGGCCTGCATGAGGCGGAAAAGTCTGAGGTCGGGACTGGAAAGGTGGTGGACTGTGAGAGTCCTGATGCGAACTATTGGAGGATTGCGGTGGGTGATGATGGGAGTAAGACCGGGTTATGGGCCGATGGGATCCATCGGCCATCTTCCGTCGTCGATGTCGTCGGATGAGATAGAAGGCGCCAACAAGTACGGTATTGAGAATAACAAGCCCGCCCACGGCGATGCCGGCGATGGCTTCGATTGACAACCCTTGCTTGGGACCAGGATCCTCCCCAGGAATGGCCCATGTCGGGAGGACCTACACAAACTGAGGGTTAGTGGCTAGCTTCGCTGAGGGTTTACATCCACCATGTCGGTTTCCTCGAAGCGGCCGATGCCTTACGCGTCATTAGGGCTCGGAGATCCTGGTGGTCGAAGCCGTGTGATGGGGCCGTCTTGTTCGCCCCACCCTCTGCCGAGCCGCCAACGACCGAGATAATGTCTATCGGAATAACGTAGTGCATCTTGGAAGGATTATATAAGGCCCAAGGTGAGTAATAGCTATTTTTCTTGCCCATATCGAGGTTAAGCAGACCCTATTGGTCTGGGGAGTCGCAGTTGTTATTCAATGGGAAAAAACTACTGTGGATGAGCATCTGGGCCTTGTTGACGATATTGCAGCTTAAATGATGATAGGAAGTCGCCCCTCTTGTTAGAGTCTGTAGGGTATATCCGAATCCATATAAAGGTAGGAATTATTAGGACGTAGATGTCATCGAATCCTGTGTTTCCCTCCGCCTGGCTAGTGCTGCTATAGAGGTAGCTGCAAGATATTAGTGTTTCTGTCCCGGCCAGCTCTGGTCCGAGAGACTTATATATTATAGGATGACTGGTCATCTGGCTAAGTTACTTCTGCGCAGAACTGCCTTTGCAGCTCTGGAATATTACCAGTCGCGTTTTGGATATAGGGCTTTCCGCTCAAGATATTGTAGATTATAATATCCTCCATTAGCTGTCCCTCCCACATGCTATTGCCAGCGTCCCGAATGCCACTAAAATAGATAAGTATACCGTTATTACCAGCAGGGATATATACCATCACACCCTCTGCCCGGCTTACTTTGTCTGGAGCAGTGGTATTAGTCCACGAGTTCGAGTCTATATTATACTAGAGCAAATACGAGGTTAGTATTCCGGGTCTACTCCCCCAACTCGCATCAGTAGCATTATTTATCCATCCACCATAGTAGTATCCTTCTCCTCGGCTCGAAATTAAGAGACCTGCGCCGTAGCTCAGACTGCCAATATCGGGAGAACCAGGCGCTCCATGGTTACACCCAGTAGTCGTTAATAATATCGTATGAATACAGGGCGAATGGCCAAGGGGGCTCATCGTAGAATTCGCCTCCAAAGAGGTAGATGCGATTGTTGATATCGTCGGGCCACAATATGGCACCATTGACGTTGGGGATACTGGAACTTTTGCTCAAATTGGCATACCGTGGGGGGGGGCGTGCCCGAGCTCGCGTTCTGGCTTAAGTCATGGCAGACGAAGAAGGGATCTGGCTGGGGATGTCAGCTTGGGCACCTCTTAGAACGTATAAGCCCCATCCGCCGTCTCGAAATTGCAGTCCTCGATCATGTCCGCCAATCATCCAATTCCATAAGGTAAAGAGAATAGAATTGAGGGTTGCTCCATTTTGTTTTCCTCTAGAGTATACGTCGACGCTGATTATCGTCCATAACCTGGGACTGCTGTACGCCGACAGAGGGAAGTTGGGCGCGGCGGAGGCGATGTTCTCGTGAGCGCTGGCCGGGTTTGAGCTGGCATTGGCCCAGAACCACACGTCAACTCTACTCGCTGTGATGAACGTAGGAAACCTTGTTGTGTTTGCAGCTACATCTATCCGAGGCCGAGAGAAGGTACCAAGACGCAATGTCCGGCTTCACTCGTGCTTTAGGACCAACTTACATCTATACATCTATACCCTTAGCACAATCAATAACCTGGCCAACCTCTGCAGTGAGCAGGGTCAACAGCTTGCGGACTTTTGCATGCTGAACAAGGGAACTCAGATATCGCTCAGCAAAAGTACGAGGAAGCACGAGATGGCTTCCAAAGATCGCTAGGACCGGAGCACCAAAACACCAAAATGGTGTGCGCACTTCTCACATAAGTATAAATAAAGCCAAGTTTGTGGCTGCGAACCTTGTGGCTGATGAGCTTGTGGATGATGACTGAACAGATACCCATGCAGTACCCACCTACCGGTAATACCCACCTACCGGTAAGCAAAAATAAAATTTCCTCGTACAAAATGCCCAACTTCACTTGCACAGTGCTTGGCCAAAATTGAAGTTATTTACATGAAACAAGCTGTGTCTTATTGAGAGTTTCATGTTGTTTCATATTATGATATTACTTTTTACATTACAGAAGCGGTTTGTTCGCACGGGCCTAATGTATAATTTCTAAAAACGCCTCGTTCAAGAATCGGCTTCCACCAAGTTTCATCGAATTTTTATCTGCACTAACCTTACGTAATCACCTCAAAAATGCCCCGAATGTCTTATACAGAGAATGGCGTTGTCGAAGCCTTACTGGATGTCACAGATAACGGCCTCTCCCAGAACCAAGCCGCCCAGAAGCATGACATCCCCCAGACGACTCTCTCAGACCGATTAAGAGGCCTACCGTCAAAGTCCGAGGTCACCCAGCCTGCCCAGCTGTTATCCAAGTCTCAGGAGTCCAGAATAGTCACCTGGATACTGAGACAAGAGGCCTTGGGCTATGCTCCATCCCACAGTCATGTTCGCGCCACCGTCGCGGCCCTCTTGAGACAACAAGGCCGGGAAAGGCCTATCGGTGTACACTGGGTAGCCAGGTTCATGAAACGACATTCGACCATAAAGACCAAGATAGGAAAACGTCAGGAGGCATCGAGATTCAATTCTTTTACTCCAATAGCCGTCAATTGGTACTTTGATATCCGGGAAAGCGAGTATGGCTGGATCAAGCCTGAGAACACAGTTAATGTTGATAAGGGCGGTATCATGGCTGGATTTAGTGAGCATTTATCGTTTTTTTCATAAAACTCACTAATACATTCCGAATACAGGCTTGGATTCCTTGGTTATCGGCAGTAGCGATCCCAAGAGGAAGGCCTTCCTCAAAGGCTCTCAGTCCCGCGCTTGGACTAGCTTTATCGAAGCCGTGACTGCAGATAGCCGTCTTCTGAAACCAGGGATTATTTTCAAAGGCAAGGGACTTCAGCAGCAGTGGTTTATCGACGAGTTCAAGAAGATAGCTGACTGGTATTATATCACTTCTAAAAACGGCTGGACAGACAACCACATCGCAGTTGAGTGGCTCAAAGAGGTCTATCTACCTCAAACCCAGCCAGTAGATGATTCTGATGCCAGACTTATTATCTTAGATGGCCATAGAAGTCATGTATCTGCGAGTATCTACCTGGTCTGAATCATAAATGCCGCTGACCTAAAACTCAGGATGAGTGGATGGCTACCTGCTTCTTGAACAACGTATATTGCTGTTACCTGCCGGCTTATTGCTCTCACGGCCTACAACCGCTGGATAATGGCGTTTTTAATGCCTCCAAAGCTGCATATCGCAAAGAACTCCAAAAATTGGCAAGCCTGACCGATTCTGCGCCGGTGGATAAGGTCAACTTCATTAAGGCTTATGCCAAAGCCAGGAAAGTGGGTATGACTAAGAAAAACATACTCTCAGGCTGGAGAGTGACTGGGAATTGGCCAATTTCACGACGGAAAGCCCTCATACATCCAGAAATTCAGCCAGACAAGAAGGAAACTACGCCTACATCAGAGGGCCTCAGTGACGGACATCGCGACTCTGATAATACGCCAAAGACCAGCCGTCATATCAGAGATCTGGGAAAGAACAAGAGCCCTTCAACCAGAAGACGGTATTCTGTGATATTGAAAGGGTTTGAAGCCCAGGAGTCAAAGATAGCCTCGCTGAGCGCAAGAGTCACCAGTCTGGAGGAGGAAGTCGGCCGGTTGAGTAGAGGCAAGAAGATGAAGGCGATACCCAATCCCAACAAGAAGTTCATGACATTAGCCGAGGCTCTAGTGGCTGGTGAAACTACTTCCGAGCCAAACCAGGCAATTGAAGAGACAGGGGCTGTTGAGGATGTGATTGAGGTGGGAGGGATGCAAGAGGATGGAAGTTCAAATTCGGAGGCGGAAGAGTTACCCGTCGTACGCACCCGCAGCGGCCGCGAAGTAAAAAGACCGAGGAAATATTAAAATTCATTCAGTTCTAACCCGAATTCTGGAAATAAATTTATTTGTACAGTTTTTGTTAAGTTTTTCCCATGAGGTTGAAAATGTGAATTTTGTATGGGGAAAAAATATTTTTGCTTACCGGTAGGTGGGTATTACCGGTAGGTGGGTACTGCATGGTACCTGGTGGGTGCAGAAAACTCCAGGATGAGTTCCATGGCGCTTGCTCTACCTGCATTTTCCGAGGCCACCCGATGTCGTGTAGTGAGAGGATGCGGGATGTTGACGAGGAGAACGATTATCAGCCCTCAGAAGGTTCTGATGATGAGGACCAGTACCGCACAACTATCAAGAAAAGAAAGAGGAGAGTTCAGAAGGTAAATGGTGAGAGTGGCGAGACGCGAGGGGAACAAACGAAGGAGCAAACGAAGAAGAAGCGGAAGATGCGATAGGATGAGCACGTACGCAGACTCAATGGGAGCTTGACTTTGTTGTGATCGCGCGAAGGGGTAGCATATGATGGTTGGAGCCTGCCATCTAGAGACTTGCCATCTAGGGCAAATCTCGCTCTTCCTCCTTTTATTTTATTTCGTAGCCTAAATGAATTTTATCAATTCGCTTAATAACACAGCAAAATTTGCGAGTGTGTCGTTGTGTGTGGGTAAACAAGAGTTGGTGGTTGTTGGAAGCAGCTGAACCCACACTGCATGATGGTAGTTAAAGGTCCCTGAAACGCACACGTCAGAATCACACTATCAGAATACATGGTACTGTCTTATGAGAGTAGAAGCAACTGCTGAGCACCGGAGAACTTAACGCTATTCGCTATTAAAGAATTGATTATGACACTGTCAAGGCCTGTAGTTAACTGTCTATATATGGGACCAACCTCGGGACGAGGTTGGTCGGCGGCTTGCCCCACAATGCCAACGGGTAGCTCCTCAGCCTGGTTAGAGTTCGAACCCCTAACCCCCTAACCACTAACCCTATCCATCCCCGGAAAGACTTTTTAAGTCCCTCCGATTGGGTAATGATCCATCCCCGGAAAGACTTTTTAAGTCCCTCCGATGGGGTATTGGTTGCGCCGACTTGGAGACTTTCTAGCGACTTCTCGGGACATCATTTCCGATCGGCTAATAGGGTGGCTAAACGCTCGTGTCGTATATGTAAACTTTCAGACATGATGTCGCGTCACAGACGCGACCGATGATGATTCTTGCATATATACCACGCTGATCGCCCGCATCACCGTCTTCTCGGAACTCGGTGTCGACGAATTGTGTCATCTCATTACTTTCTGCAAATCCAGGCTTCCCATCTTTCTTCACCGAACCCTAACCCTAACCCTTTCTCCGGTCTCCGGTCCGGTTAATTCCACCATCATTCAATTTCTTCATGATCTCAAGAACTATCACTTATCGAGATATAACGTCCCGCTTACCCTTCATCTCGCAATTCCACTATGAATAAAGCCTTAATCTTTAAGAAGGTCCCCCAGGGTTATCCAGAACCTGGCGAGCATCTTGCTGTGGAACCGGCTTTCTATGATGCTACGGTCCCAGCACCCCAGAATGGCGTGGTTCTCAAGTCACTTTACACCAGCTTCGACCCTTACATGCGTGGGCACATGAGGCCCGCACAAGCAAAGCCGTATGCACCGGCTTTCCCGTTAAACCAACCTATACAAAGCACTGGTATTGCCGAGATTATAAAATCGGATAACGCCGGCTTTAAGGAAGGTGACCTCGTTATTGGTCAAGTTCCAATCCAAAATTTTGTTGCTTTGGAAGGCGCGCAGCTTTCTAGCATCTCTCTCTTGTCCAATCCTCTTGGTATTAAGGACATCAGAGTTTTTCTTGGAGCCCTGGGTATGCCGGGCCTTACAGCCTATTCATCATTCTATGAGATAGGCAAGCCGAGGAAGGGCGAAACCATCTTTGTTTCTGCTGCCAGTGGTGGAGTGGGCCAGCTCGTGGGCCAACTTGCCTTACGTGAAGGGTTGCAGGTTATTGGCAGCGTTGGGTCGGACGAGAAGCTGGCTTACATCACCAATGACCTGGGCTTCCATGGAGGATTCAACTACAAGAAGGAGAGTCCCGTGGAGGCCTTGGCTTGCTTGGCGCCGCACGGCATCGATATTTATTACGAGAATGTGGGAGGCGAACATCTTGAAGCTTCCCTTGACGCCCTGAATAATTTCGGTCGGGTTGTTGTCAGTGGGATGATTTCACAGTACAACTCGGCCCCTTTTCCGATCACAAACCTTCACAATATTATCTCTAAACGCCTCACCTTGCGTGGATTCCTTTTCATGGACCCGGGCTTCGCGGATAAATACAGTACCGAGCACCAGACCAACCTGCAAAAATGGATTAAGGACGGTTCCATTAAGACCCTTACTGATGAGACTATTGGGATCCATTATGCCGCAGAGGGTTTGGTGGGTATTTTCCGTGGAAAGAACGTGGGCAAAGCAGTTTTGAAGTTCTAACTTTTTTGCCACTGTAACTGTCGCATCACAAGGTGTCAAGCTTTCATCAATCCAAGGGACAGTTGAGGGCAGCCGGTCTCCTGGAAGTCAACCACGGTGACTTTGAACCTAGCTGCCCTAGATGACAGATTTGCAGTCCCTCATCTTGTCATCCTGGATGGTACGTATTTCGATTCAAGGGCTCAAATTGATATATTTAAAGACCTTCTTTTCGCACCTTAATTAGTTAGAAATCAAGAGCTTTTATCCCACATCCTGAGACTTCGATGCAACAGTAACTTTGATTTATGGCTGCGCAAAGTGCATGAGAGCTAAGGCCTGATCATAGCACGGAGCTTTACAGCCTTGTGATTGAGGCCTTTAGAACCAGGGCTCCTAATAACCTCCTCATAGAGAAGCATACAGAGGCCTCCGGGGATAACTCCAAGGGTGGACCTTATGCAGGGGTCGACTTTTCGTGGACCTAACCAAGTTTAGCGTACACGGGGACTTGTTTGCCTCATGACCTAGAGAGCATTATGCGGAAGTTCTACTGTACAATAACAATATCAACTGTAGTAGAGTTGATTTTCGGGCCCCACTTTGCAAGGGGTAGAGTTGATTTTCTGTCAGCCAATCATCATAGCTATAACGCGTATTACGTAAGGATCGCGACACGGTGAACCGCGTAGAGAGGCTCCGAGGCACCATTTACTTACACAAAGAACGGAACGTCTTGTACCCAAGAGAAATTTGTTATTTTTCCTTCATTATGAAGCCTTTTGTTTATCTTGAAAGATACCGAGTCGTGATATGCAAGAAGTGTGGCTTCGCATGCGTATCCAATGAGGTGCCTACTCATCTACGGATAAGACATCGATATATGACAACAACAAATCGGAATAAAGCAGCCAAAGACATCCAGAGCATTCCAGGCATTATAAAAAGTCAGTCTGAACTAGCTGACTTCCAATTCCCACCTCCTACCGCCAACCCGATCCCCTTCCTCTCTCCACCACAGCCAGATGGACTCAATTGTCGAAAATATCCATATATTGCCCGGCAGGTCCAGAAAATTCAGGCCCACTGTCGTGATTGCCAAGACTGGCATAACACTCAGGGTAGAGGAAGACCCAAAACAAGAGGCATAGAGTCCCCACCTGATCTTCCATGGAGAGAAGGTGTCCTCTGTCAGCGTTTCTTTCCCTCAAGAGCAGCCAGTAGGTGGTTTGAGGTGGGCCGGAAGATGGCGGGATGTAAATCAACGGGGAGGCCGACTGGCCCAACTTCTGCCGGTCAGTCAACGCATCCTGCTAGTCTGACCCTTGAAACGCGAGAGCATCTCCAAGGTGTGCTAGATCGTGAATTGAAGTATATGGAGGCAGAAAATCAGCCCCGCGTATACAGCAAGGCTCTAGGCGATGATTCGTTTGCAGCCACGAGTCTATGGCTAGAACAAGCTAACACTAAGATCAGACCAAATTCACATCATTTTATGGAGGTCTGGGACGCATTTTAGGAAGTTTAGGATGCCGCTTTTGGATGCCATTTTGGAAACGCTGCCAAGGTACGGACCCACCCTTCTGCCTGTAAGGCGCCTGCACTAACTGCCACAAAATCCAACCAGCTCCACTATGCTGTTTATTTTAATTGACGAAGCGCCAGACCGGGCCGGTCCATAAAAGCCTATTAACTCATAGGAAAACGCACCTATTTCTTGTCACTATGATTTGCCAAAGGTGATGCTCTTTCACTCTCGTAGAGAAGTATGGGGGTTGTCAAGAAAGCGAGCAAGGCCGCCAAGCCACGGGTCGTCAAGTCCGCCGATCATTACCGCAAGGATCTAGGTGAACTTGCGGAGATGTACATCGTGAGAGAGCATGCTCCGACCAGCAAGGTCAATATCCATTCGATAAAGGGAAGATGGGAACGGTATGTTTATCATGTTCTCTTTGTTATGGGAACTGACCAAAGCCAGTCACTGCGAACTTCTAGACGTTAATTGCAAGACCTACCTCAGGGCACTTGAGTATTGCCACTGGATGAGTACGACCTCACAATGCCTGTCTGGCCAATGCCCGCTCGCGTTCTAGCAAGGGGTAACCAGAATCTCGGGTCGGTGGGCAACAGCCGAGCATCTCATCTCGCGCCCGTCTGCCCCAGGTCATCCTCCCCCCCCTCCACTTAAAGTTTAGCGCCTCTTGTCCCACCGCGTCTCATCATATCGCTCGAATCCCGAGCTCGCTCCATGCCACCACCGCTCGATTCCTCGTTTGCTCGTTGAGAATTTTTTGTAGGAGCGCAAAAGATGCGTTTTAAGCCGCCTCGTAACGCCCCACGACCCGCGCCGCAATGTGCTGCTCCTCCCTTGGGTGTAATAAACAATCCTATTATTAATATGTACGACGGTGCGGCAATAACTTATATAACTATAGCAAACTTTTTGTAGGAAACAGCTAGTTACACTGAAGTCCATAACTACAACCAACCGAACCGCAATCGATGCCTTGCCGATTTGCGATTGCCTTGTGAGACTTACTCGGATCTAGCCTCTTCTATAACTCGACTAGCTCTAATATACAGTCGTCGAGCGAGTCGAGCAGTTTTCGAGAAGGATATAAAGTACTATTAAGATATAGTGCAGTAGAGAAACAATAATTAGCTCGTTAGAAAGAATATACTTATTGTGTCAAGCATGCCACGCTTCTAAGTTCCCAGATTACCTTCGCTAAGAAAATAAGACGTAATATAAATATACATCGACCCCTACGACCCTCCAATAGAAAAGAGATTAAAAAGCATATAGAATGGAGGACTGGTGGGCCGGTGGGCCAATACACCAGCCGACAGTTCAGTTGTGGCACCTAAACAAGACCTTCCCCCAAGAACCGGAATAGCAAGACCCGTCCCGAGCTACAGCCGAGAGCGACAGTCGATGTCGCGATCGCTGACGTCGCTGGACGATACTCTGACGGGAGCCAGAGCAGGTTCCGACCTTGATACGTGATCCATACGCCATCGTCAGTGATGCCATAGCCTTGACGTTGGCATGGGTGATACAGAGGACCAGATGTGGATAGTGTAGCGGGCGGCGAGAGCGAGGGCACGCTCAGGTCGAAAGTGCCAACATCTATAAGAAGACGAGCGCCGGTCTCGTCGAAACGGATCGTATCAAGGTGCCTGCCTACATCAAGCGTCGCCTGACAGCGGCCGGTTGCGGCATCCCAGACCTTGACGGTATTGTCGCCTGACGCCGATGCGAGGCGCTGGCCATCGGGCGAGAAGGCCACCGACTGAACCCAATTGCTATGCCCCTCGAGCGTCGCCTGGCAGTGGCCCGTCGTGGCATCCCAGACCTTGACGGTCTTGTCGCCTGACGCCGATGCGAGGCGCTGGCTATCGGGCGAGAAGGCCACCGACTGAACCCAATTGCTATGGCCCTCGAGCGTTGCCTGGCAGTGGCCCGTCGCGGCATCCCAGACCTTAACAGTGTTGTCGTATGACACTGATGCGAGGCGCTCACCATCGGGCGAGAAGGCTACTGATTTAACCGGACGGCCATGGCTCTCGAGCGTCGCCTGGCAGTGGCCCGTCGCGGCATCCCAGATCTTAACGGTCTTGTCAGATGACGCCGATGCGAGGCGTTGGCCACCAGGCGAGAAGGCCACCGACTTAACCATAGAACCATGGCCCTCGAGCGTTGCCAGACATGCATCCCAATCCTCTGCTATAGCCGGTTTAGTGATAATCCAATTTGGCTCTTCCCCTTTGAACAGTTTTCTCGTTATGTTCTGCCTAGGACTAAATATAAGCGCCGACACATATGCCTGAAGAGGCGCATTCCCTATCGCCCATCCGTATGATAGGATAAACCGGCGTGCATCTCGAACAAGGTCTAATAGATAGGACTTTTCGGACCGTTCCTAGTAGAGACATTAATTAGCACGTCTGTTACATTCAGTAGTAAAGCCAATCCGCCTACTAGCAATGTCTTAAGCTTCGTCATCGCAACCACTCCTCCCGGTATGCCTCGAAGAAGACTAAGCGCCTCGAGCCAGTATAGGTACTTTTTGCAGAGAAACTGATGAACTGTGCCTTCATCGTGGAGGTCGTCGATAGACGTCGAAGTCTTGTGCGAGAGGGCATCGCTTAGGTGGTCAACCCAGTAGATGCATGAGTACCGTGCCGGGGCTAACGGGTCTGGTTTAGGAGGGCGGATGTCGTCGATAGAGGTACCGGGATGGTGTAAGTCGTACACATCACGCCGCAATGCTTCAGACATAATCTGTATCGATTTCAAGAATATAGTATGATGTGCGGCTGCGAATCCATGCTGGAAAATTGCAGTCGACACTTCCTTCGTCAGGAAATCTTTGACGGACTGGTGAATGAGATAGATATGCTTATCCCGGATCGTGAGAAATGAGGCACACATACCTACCACAGATTGAAGGTCACTGGGGACATTTCCGGGCAAACCGGATAGCACACCCAGTTCACACAAGTGGAGGGGGCGGTAAGCGACAGTTGCCATCGAAATAACAAGGCGGCAGAACTCGCTCTCTTGCGACCCCAATTGCTGAATATCATTCATCATTCGGCGGTAGAGTGGCACCAGGCCGGCCGGCATTTGCTTGAGAACGCTCAAGACATCCCAGCTCCGAACGTTCTGAAGTTCCTGTGCGACGAGAGCCACCCAGAGGAAGGTTCCATCGGCTCTGTGTCGCATCTCATCCCGAACTTGGTCGCGTAATGACTTGTCGCCCTTCAGCGAGACGAGCTCGGAGACTTTATGGACGATGTACGTATTGATGGCCTGAGCGACATGGCGTGCATTCAGCTCAAGACTGAGTCTTGTCCGAGGGTCATCAAGACACAGCTGCTGCTCGATGTCGTGTCTGTTGCGGCTCGATACGATCCATTTGATATGAGCAGACGTAGATGCGCTCTGGACTATAAAGTCTAGGAGCTGTGGCAAACCTGTCTCGCATTCATCTAGAGCGTCGATAACCAGGTAGCAACCCTTCGCAGGGCGATCGCGGAGCATACTGGCCAGAGCCTGGGACAAGGTATAGAACGCATTTGTATCCTCGAAGAGTCGTCTACCTGCATGGTCGTATATATCCTGGATGTGCGAGATGAGGGATGGTCGTTGACATAGCAAAAGGTATATCAGGCCTCGCAGCACAGCTGCGGCGTGGTTAAGTCGCGAATCAGTGCCTTGACAGAAGAAAAATAACATGGGATGTGAGTGTGTTGACGAGACCGACAATTTCTTGAATCGGCGCGATATCTTCATCGTAACGTCACCCAATAGACCTCCCTTGCTCGCGTTGGGTATTTCCGCACGTGACTGCGATAGCTCGTTGATAATACCGCAGAGCAACATCGTCTTGCCCTTGCCGGCGTCGCCTTTGATCCAGAGCAACCGGCTCTCTCTGTCGTCTCGCCATCGCCGAAAGTCCTCGTGATCCAGGACCCACTTATACGAGTCCTTGAGAAGACCGCCCTTTGTCTGCTCGATGCGCGTCTTGTCGTCGCGGGGGTCGGTCAATCGTAGGTCGGCAAGGCATCGATCGCGGTTCGGCTCGTTGTAGTTGTGGACTTCAATGTGGTTTCCCACATGAACTCTGCCATGGCCGTCGGCCCTGAGGTCCCCAAGGAGTTCATTGTACAGTCGTCACGGTTTGCTGCTGCCATTCTGGCATTGTCGATGGTTAGGGAGGTTCGCAGCCCGAACCAGCTGGGAGTCCTCCACCCACAACAAGCCGGGGCGCTCCCGAAGAGGTCTGCGACAGACTAGAGATGCGTTTTTGACGTCATAAACCCCAAGTTACCAATTGACGTCATAAACCCCAACTGACGGGTAATTTACCGTCATAAACCTCCTTCCTAATTGGGTTTAGTGACTATCCCAAAAGGGGTTGGGGTGGGGGACGACCATGAGTTGTTGTAACCCCTGAGGAGGAGGCTTCATCACCCCCCGATGTTGCTGTTGAGATTTCTTCACCGACAACAACTATTTATGGTCATTACTGAGTCAATATGACCAATCGGGGAGGTCGTCCTAAACTTCATGGCATTGACGAATATTTCCGGCCGGCTTCGGAAGAGGGCTTTACGCTGAACCGTGTAGTCTGCAAGCTCTGCTCAAAGACTATGGCGAAGCACACCTCCAAACAACTTCGACACCTTCACACGCAATGCACCGCATATCGACAGCTTCATGAAGTCATTCCCAGCCGACAACCGCTCATCAACACTAAGTTGGATAGTGTTAGCAAAGCATCTAAGGATGCATTGGACCGTCAAGCCGCCGTCGCAGTCTTTACCTCCGGCAAACCCTATTCCCTCTATGAAGAGCCTGAGACACTGAAACTATTCCAAATGCTAAATTCGGCATATAAACCTCCAGATTGCAATCGAGTTGCCTCATTCCTCGACCCTGTCTACCTGGACTATCAGCAACGTGTCAAGGCTCTTCTGGACGAGGCCCCGCATCTCAACGTCATATTCGATGCCTCAGATGATATCTCAAGCAACCGAATTATCAATATATCTATTGAAATTCCTAGTTCGGTTGCATTTTACTGGACGACAATCGATACTAAAGATCATGATCACACGGCATTGACGACCTTGAGCCTTATCAAGCCATCTCTTCTTGAAATATTCGGACACGATTTCTCGCGGCTGAATGCTATCTGTATAGATACATGTAGCACGATGAGAAAGCTTCATCGAGAAATGAAAGCGCTGCCAGAGTTCAGCCACTGCCTTTATATCTTGTGCGATTCTCACGGACTTCAATTGCTTATCAAAGATATTGTGGAGTCGAAGCGGTGGATGCCAATCTTTGGGAAGATTACTTTTCTCATTGCCTTCTTTAAGAAAGCCAAATTGCAGTTGTCAAGGCTTCGCATTCATCAGCAGGAATGCTACGGGCAGCGCAAGGCGTTCATTACTGCTGCAATCACACGCTGGGGAACACAACTTGCTGCTGTTAAATCTGTGTTTGCCAACAAAGACGCCCTTCGAGCTTTCGCACGCGATCCAGTTATTCTCAACGGAATGAAGCCGGTAATTGTCAAAGAGGAGGAACAGGTGACACAGTCAAGTCTACCTCAGGTGATATCATATATCAACGATCTCGAATTTTGGGCCAATCTGGAAATGTTATTCAAAGTTCTTCAGCCGATTGGCCATGCCCAAGCCAACTCAGAACGCGACCGCGCGGGTCTTGGGGAGGTCATTCCACGTTGGCTATCCATTCAGGCTTCATGGGACGCATTGGAAGAGGCTGGTCAGGACCCACTAATAAACTACTGTGAGGGAAGGATCATGTGACTTTCATACTTTATGAATAGTCTCACTTTATGAATATTGTGTAAATAGCTTTAAGTCAGAGCTTTCCTTAGGAATCTCTTTCTCTCCTTGTAAACAATCATTTTGCCCAAGTCGCACTCGACCTCGTTCGTGCTCTTGTCCCGTCACACTACTCCTCTACTCCTATCTCCGCCTACCCCCAAATAGCTGTACAGACATGGTAGGAGTGGAGGTTGTTATGCATTATACCAGCTACAAGGTTAACGGGATACCATGGGTCACGCTTCTCTCTTCCACATGCCAAACCTTGATCTTGTAATTAACAAGACGCAGACATTAGCTGAAACTGACATCCAATGACTTTAGCTTACCACCCTCCTGCAGATCGCTTATGGTCGTACATCGAGAGCTTCATTCTAGCTTTGCAAAACTTGAGAGCTTTCTCATGAACCGAATTCCTTCTCTCTTCCATATGCCAAACCTTGATCTTGTAATTAATAAGACGCAGACATTAGCTGAAACTGACATCCAATGACTTTAGCTTACCACCCTCTTGCAGAGCGCTTATGTTCGTACAGTGATAGCTCCATTCCAGCTTTACAAAAATTGAGAGCTCTCTCACAAACCAAAATTCCTTCTCTTGTCAGTTCGCCAATGATCCAACTTGCCCCCAATTTAAGGCAGGCAGCCCTTCACAATTACAGCGCCCTCTATGGCAGCAGTACATAGCTGGCTTGAGACCTAAGCGATAAATCTCGGGCGGAGAGTTAGGATGGAGGATCGACGTAAAATTCCTCAAGCCATAAGCGAAGGTGCCGCGAAAGCAGGCGCCACCGTCCAGGGCGATTAGGCGAGTGCCGTTGCTCGGTGTTTATATGTGTCGCCAGCTTCTTTGTCATCACTGTCCAACAACCAACCAAACTGTAGGTAGCAGTGGTGGCCTTGTCCGCAGCACCATAATGGGTAGCCAGTCAGCATAGTTGCGAAGTAAGCTACGTACCGCAGCCTGATAGCCTTGTGGCGAGACGTGCAAGGAGTCCGTTTGCCGGGGAATTACTAGAACGGGATGAGTAAGTAGCAGCAGAAGTGGTTCAACAGAACGAAACGCTGACGCAGTCTATTACGCCCGAGGCAAAGCCAGAGGGCACCTGTTGCTATGATACGATCCTGTTTCCTGTGTTCCTGACATGATCTCCCGAACTCGTATAAGGTAAATCCTCGCTCATTCCATTTATTCTCTCTACCACGTCTCATGGTGTTATTAGCAAGTTCTAACCCACTCGCAATGCAAGAAGGCTGTGCGGAAAGAAAGGAAGAGAGTTTGTTCAAACGAAGGCTATTTTTGAAACGTCTGTAGCATAGCACAATATCACGCGAGGAGCTCGCTCCAGCCATGTAATCACTACCACCAAATGATCTAGGCGATCCCGCAGCACCTACGCTCAGACGCTAATCGTCCGCCTGTGATGCGCCGGATGCGCCGGCTGACGGACTGCTTGAGTTGTTGACGCGATGCCGTAATGTCGCATTCGGGCACCAGCTCTAAAAGTTATTATACAGCTGCAGAGCCTGTCGTGAGTAACAGAGAGAAACCGGAGACGGGGCCGATTGGTGATAAACGTATGCCACGATTGATCCCGCCCTTCGGCGCAAACCGTTTAGCCCATGCGTTCTCAGGTTGTGTAACGGCAAACCTTATTTTCACCAAGGCGACAACATGTGAAAGGAAAGCTGGGCTTACTCCCATTGCCGTTGGGTATCTCGATGATTCTGTTGCAATCATATGAATAAGCGTGTGCAGGTATCTGTTGCTTCAGCGGAGTCCCGTGTCTTGCTTCTCTGCACCCTCCTCACCCCTAAGTCCCAACCTACTTCTGCTGCTCTCCCCCGAGAACAACGTTTGCCCTGACCACAGTGATCGGAATGGTCTGGTCTGGTCTGGTCTGGACCCCTAGACCAGACCAGACGGCGAGCCATACATGCACCGCCCCGTACACGCACCGCTGGTCTATTAGTCAGCAACAGCACTATAAATCCCCTCCCTAAGTGCCCTAAATGCCCTGTAACAACAATGGACTTTCCACATCAACAAGTTTATGCCTCACGAGAAGATCTTCACTTAGATCTTATGATTTATGCAGCAATTGGTGGCTATAAATTTATTATTCGCCGCTCACGTTCATTTTGGCAAGGCTCTGAGCGACCTACTGTTTTATATGCTTGCAATCGCTGGCGTCAAGGCTGCCAATTTTCAATTCTAGCAAAGGAAGACTCTTACGAATTGTGGCATCTCAAACATCGCACTGAAACCCGATTTTCTCACCACAACCACGGGCCCCAGCAGCCCCGAGAGCCCCCCCGCCAGCAGCCTCAAGATGTCGGAGAGCTAGCGTGGCACTTGGATGACTTGATTGTGTGTGTATTGTCTGTGTGTATCTGGGAGGTCTCCCGGCCGTGACTGCGAATGTGTTGCAATCACCACTAAAAGTGGGGGCCTGAGGTATCTGCACCAATAGGCAGTCTCAACCCTGGAGGTCACCACGTGACCGCCCGATCAGGTGCTTTGTACATGATCCAATCTAACACAAGAGCCCCAGCAGCCCCAGCAGCCCCAAGAGCCCGAGCTGCAGGAGCCGCTAGAAAAGAAATTACCTACCTGTAGTAAATGTCATATAGAAGGCCATAGAAGGGGTGCAAAATGCTGTATTTTGCGTGGTCAAGATAGCCCATAAATACAGGGCCCTTAGGGCACTTAGGGAGGGGATTTATAGTGCTGTTGCTGACTAATAGACCAGCGCGTGTACGGGGCGGTGCATGTATGGCTCGCCCTCAGTAGCGGCCAGCTTCCGTAAGGCTAGAGGCCCTTGGCCGGCCGGTTTCTGTGCACTGTGTCTGAGCGTACACGTGACCTTTCAGGTGGAACCCTGACAGGGGTGCGCTTACGGTCCTGGGACCGCTTGCGTTTAAGGACTTTGGACGATGACAAAAAGTGGACGAAAAAGCTGGCTTACAGAATCATGAGTGGGCCTGCTTTACGGAATCGGTCGGTAGGAGCATCTTGTTCCTGCATAAGGCCGAGGGCCGTTACGGATGGACGGATTTTATTTCGCCCGGAGGGAAGTCCCTAGGGCCTTGACACAATCTAGTTCACATTTCAGAACATTTGGTACCTGACACCCCAAGCCCCACGGATCGTCGTCTCATCGCTTGCTGCTCAACCTCGTCGCTGCTTGTTCCATGACAGGCCTGCTTGAAGGCCAAATTCTGCAAGTGTTCAGCATCCTATCTTCAGCAGCTGAAGCACGGTCTGCCAAAATCGAGGCTGCTTTTGTTAGTATAGTCGCACGCTAGAGGTTAGTTTGCCGATGCCATTGATCCGCATCGAGCCTGTTTGTCGCGATAGCAAATTTGATTGCCGCACGCATGGCCTGCATGTTTGGTTTCCACTTTTCGTCGTCCGACGCAGCTTTTCCTCCCAAGAAGAATGAAAAATTCCCAATCTTTGTTCGTGAGCATTTAAACTGCGCGGTGGGCGATAGGGGGGACTGTTGCAAAACTCCCTGTCAGTCCCTTTTGCGTCTAGGCGCCCCGCCCCGTGGTGATCCGAGTACTTCGGGTCGTCATGGAAAATGTACTGCGGACCAGCAGCGAGCCCGCGCGTTGATCTTCTCTGAGAGTCCGCCTCTACAGTGGCACATTAGGCACGGTCCGCCAACGGTCGGAAACCCAAAACCGCAAAGTTTCTAGAAAATCGAATATAGGGCTGCAGCCACTATAGCCCACTATAATCTGCATTTTTTATAGCGGACTATAGTGACTGCACCTCGCCCACTATAACCCACTATAATATAGCAAGCCCTAGCAGCTGCAGCCCTCACTTTCGCACTGAGCTACAGCAGACGCAGCCCTGCCTCTTGCACAGGGCTACATTGGCTGCAGCCTTCTTTAATACAGCGGGCTATAGTAGCTACAGCCCTACATCTAGTAGGAGGCTCGCTGGTGTAGATATAGCTTGCTATAAAGCTAGGAGCTGGAGCCACTGTAGCCTGCTGAAAAAATTGCGGGTTATAGTGGCTAGAGCCCTGTATCTTATAGCGGGCTATAGGGGCTGCAGCCCTATATTCAAAGGCGATGAAAATTTCCGATTTTGGGTTTCCGACCGTTGGCGGACCGTGCCTAATGTGCCACCGTACGCCTCCGCCTGCAGCAGCAATGTTTTAAAAGAGGCCAGCAGTCTACGGAGGTTGACGCTTGAATTAATGTTAGCTTCGACCCACTGGTCAAGGGTGTGATTTTTGGTAGCATTTTCAGCGCAAGACACAACCAGTACAGCGCTTCAGAAGAAAATAATACTCAATAAATAGCCAGGAAAATCATAATAAATGATAAAAATATACGAAAAGTACAAAATATACTACAAAAATACTTGTATTATATTAATCACTTTAAAGCTCTGAAAACTATTGTGCTGTATTTTACATCTAGTGAACAATCTGATATATAGGGTAGATTTTCTCTCTGGCCATGTAGAGATATGCCCATGGTGACCAACTTGACCCCCCTGTCTGTATGGGTCGAAGCTAACAATAATTCAAGAGTCAACCTCCGTAGACAAAAGTCTAGCGACTAAACAATTTTATATACCTCAGTTTACACTAAAGTCTTGGTGCTAGCAATGTACCTGATCATATGGTGTAGAGTAATAATTGGCGGGGTAATATATGTAGTACATGATTTTGTTAGTGCATAAGCCTATTTTCGAGGTATATCGTCGAGTCGCTAGACTTTTGTCTGGTCGCTCGCCCCCCCGTGAGGGACGAACGGGGGGTTGAGCTGTAATGAAATGACGAGACCCCCCTAGTAGCCCATTTCGACACTAGCGTCCCCTCATCCGTGGCCCCAGACGTGCGCCGCTGAACGCTTCGTTTGACGCGAACGCGTTTGCGCGATAAGCGTGCGCGCCGTTGCAAGCTCCGCCCCAGGCTCTCTCCTTCAAGCGGGCCTTGGTAGCATGATTCCTTGACCCAGATCAAGCTTGCTTGGGCTTGTCTCACCGAGACCTTGATCCTCGACATCCCGCCAGCCGTACTTGCGCGAGGTAGAACACCATGATTCGTCCGCCACGTGCTCCTCTGGATTTTCTTGGCCACCGAATCGACTCTCGACCCCTTTCCGATGCGAAATTCCGACCCTGCTATCGCCCACCCTGGCTTCTATGAGCCTCCCCTCGGAGGTACTAGCCTCCGGTTACATTCAACCTCTCCAAGACCAGATTTCCTCTATACAGACTGCACCCACCGTCAACGAACCCGAATCCACGCCCGCCGATAAAGCTCGCAACCACACATGAGGAGCCGTTCATTATTGATACAGCAAGGCCCGGCACTGGGCTAAACCAACGCCTTTTCTAGGACCTATTTTTCCTGTTTTCTTGCAGCGTTCGTGGCAATTTACTCTACGGCACCACCAGAGGGTATTGCCAGTGTCGTAGCGGCGTATGCTGCTGTACGGGTGGTATTTGTAGGGGCGAATCAGTAAAGACTTGTTTGACCAGAGCCAGTCGGCGATCTCAGCGCCGTTTCCACAGTGGAGAAGATTGACAACTTCCGCAAGGCCCTACTCGCCATGATGGCGCGGCCACAGGACGGGCCCCAAGAGTTGTTGGCCCACCGCACTCCGCTGGCCATCTGGGCAACCACAAATATGATTAGTTGGGCGCGTTTGACGGAGTGAACAACTTAGTGGCTGGGCCAGTAGCAGGGGAATGATTACTAGGAGTTCTGCGCTTGACCGCAAGGTCCTGGGGAAATGGTCGGGAGCCATTTGTGACGGAGTCATGAAAATGGGAATTGTTTTGCATATTGATACAGCGGCATGGCGTTGGATGAAGAATGTGGCTTAGAGCCAGGAGGGAATTGTGGTCTGTGATACCCTTGCTTAAACAATGTAGACCGAAAAATGGCTGCTTTGATTCAAATGCCGTTTCCTATCTCTTCTGGTGTTCACATCGAGGAATTAACTCATCACATCAAGCATTCAGGGCCGCCAAATCCAAAGAGGGTCCTGTTCGTCGGGACTCATAAGTTAGGTCATGGATGTATTTCAATTTAGTTCCCGATCTCATAACCCTAATACACTGGATTCGGTCCCAGTGGATTCATACAGAGGATTGCCGCACCTTCTGAGTGGCTAGAGGCTTTGCGGGTATTGCCTGATAGTCCCAGGTATTCTCTCTCTTGGGGGCTGTTTTGGGGTTGGGGGCGAGTTCTCCATGGCATCAGGGGCTTGGGTGCGAAGAGTCCAGGTGGGTCGTTACCCTGTTTGGTAGCGACCGGGGGCGACAAGGGTGACAAGAGAGAATTGGAATCTGTCTGGCCGCCACCAGCCGTGTCCTCTTCCAGATCCAGAAACTTCCTGGCACGGGCTTGCAGCTGAAAGATGCCGCCTCCAGGCTTCAGCACCCTGCCCCCCTGGCTCGATGGCGGATGGCTGAGAGATTGGGGGCGAAACCAACTGATTGCGGACATTGACTGGTGACTGGAGGGGAATCAGCTGAATCCAACCCAGGGTCGACGCCACTCACCGGTCTTGGCTGGGGACCCTCGAGTCCTCCGACAGAGTCGACCAGCTCCTCTCGCCGGCGCCAGGGATCCCAGGAATCATCCCAAGTCTTTCCCTGTAGCAGCTCCCGTCTTCAATCCTGTAGCGCAATGGGCCTGCGATGGGGCATTGGGGGGCCATGGCAAATACCCTCTCTCACAGACCAGAGACCTCAACAGTAAAATAGTCCCAGCTGCCTATGTGACTTTCCATACATGTTCACCTTACGGGCCCCGACTTAGGTTTTCCACATCTTCTTAAAAACTGTCCGATAAGGTCACCAGTCAAAGAGATTTCCTGTCAGATCTAAGCCTTAATTGGATTAGTATATTTTACTTATGAACTAGTCCTCTTTCAGCTGTCTCCTTTCAGCACACGTTACTTCCACACGTGATATGCGTTTTTAGTCTTGCCCCTGATTTTGCTACAGATCGCGATGTGTCAGTCACAGATAAGTTTGGCTCCTTTCAAGCGTGGTATTGATCCGTGATACAAGGACCCATATATCGTGCTATCTCTGACTTTCTTCCTATCCAGTTGCCAAATCAACAATGAGCCCTCGAAAGCGCAGGATTTCCGTCGTGGAGGACCCTGTGGAATATCCCTTCTTCATTACCTTCAGAGAAAAAGAGCGACGCAACAACAACAAGAGGAAGCGCGACAGCCAAGAGGAGGAGAGTATGGTGCAGATCCAGAATTCTCCCTTCTTGCCTACCGGCGCGTTCAAGACGCACGATACCATGGACGTATCTTACACCGTGGAGCCTGGAAAGATATGGCCGAGCATGACGCGGTACAACAGCTTCATCCGTGAGTCTCAGGCGGCGTCTCCGAAGAAGAGGGGCTCACTGACACGGCTTGGCAGTGAATGGGGTCAAGTATTACAATGAAGACTTTATCTTCGTCGCTAACAAGTCGACTATTGAGCGACAACAAGTAGCGGCGAGTCTAGGCAAAGATGAGCCTACCAAGCAGTCGGCCGACGATTGGGTGGCCCGTATCTTAGAGATCCGGGCTGCGGATGAGTACCACGTTTATGCGCGCGTGTACTGGATGTACTGGCCTGAAGAGCTGCCACATGGAACGCTCGATGGGAAGAAGATGGTCCAGGGACGTCAGCTATACCACGGTCAGAAAGAGTTGATCGCATCGAATCATAGTGAGTCCTCCCCATTGGCTGTGTGCTGGAAAGCGCCAGATCTGACAGCCGACAAACAGTGGACATCATTAATGTTGTCAGCGTTACCATGCCGGCTACTGTCGTTCAATGGATCGAGTTAGATGACGATAAGATCCAGGACGCGTTGTACTGGCGGCAGGCGTTTGACTTTTGCAACTCGCAGCTTTCAGTTAGTGATCTGATGTTTCTTACGTTCCATTAAGTCTGACCGTCTTTAGTCCGTTGATATATTGTGCAAATGCGAAACCCCAGCAAACCCCGATAGGATGATAGTAGGATGCACCAGCACGGCTTGTGGGAAATGGATATATAAAGAATGCCTTAATTATGACGTGCTTATGAGGGTGTACGGCCAACTAGGCACCGGCAAGTCACACCAAACCAAGGCGACGATTATTAAGGAAAAGCAGAGTGACTATAAGGCAGCGTGCCCGCTCAACCCAAAAAATGGGGAGGAGAAAGAGACACAGTCGGTAATTGACGCCAGATACGGCGAGGCCTATAATAACAGCCTTGTCAAAAAAGTTGAGGGAGGGATCTCACGACCGTCGGAGGCACCAACCCCAGGTCCTATAACTTCAAATACCGATGCGCAAGCAAAGCCGACTGCAAAAAAGAGCCGCAAGAGGAAGGGCGCTGACTGCAAGCTATACGAAGGGCTCTTTAAGGCGACTCTAAATTTAAGCGATTGTCCTACCACGTGGGAAATTCAGGATCTGCGGGAAAACGTCTTGGGCGGTGATGAGACATGGTCCGAGCAGGTTTATTGTTTATTCTGCGGCGTTACTATTAACTGAACTATTCACGCATCGCGACTAGGTCCACAAGCGCTTCCTTGGGCCAGATCTATCCATATCCACGAACGAGAATTCCAGCCCCAACCCCACCCGAGGGGGTTGGTCGGTTAATAGGGTAGTTGACTTAATGGTTTTGTCACCTGCAATTCTGCCGCAGATGTGAAATTTTAACAGTCTCTTTCGGTAAGAAAGTCCATCTCTCGCACACCTGAGATGTAGCAGTCTAAATACATGAGCCCAATGGCGATCGTCTGGTCGCCTCGTCGCTTGCTTGCCTGCCGCAAGGCCAAGATCGGCGAAGGGGGTCAGATATCCTTATCCTTGCAGGACCTCATCGCGTCCCACCGTGCTACAACCTGCTGCCAGCAGTACCACAACCCCGACGTAGCAAGAGTCACGGAAATGGCAAAGGCCCAATACACCCGGATTTTGCTCAACATGGTCCAGCCTACATCGGCATCGCAAGAGAAGAACGTGCGCCCACGAGGCCAAGCTTGGCATTCGCTCCAACTTGAATGCAAGCTTCGGGTGCCAAGGACCAGGCCTGACTACAGCCCAAGTGGAACCCGCTGACGAAAGCTTGATTGAGTTTATTATATGCCGTCTGATCTTTTTTTCCTGGACCTGCCCCTATTTCTCGTCGTCATTGAAGTTTTGTTGGCATTTCCAAGGTAATCACTTTTTCAACGAAACTGTTGCTATCGTGAACCGTCACCAGTCGGCGGACGTCCATGTTGAAGAATGGCATCTCCTCAAAGGCTAGAGAAGCTACTGAGCGGCGGCATTGGCGAACCTAGTGACCAGAGACTTAAGTCAGACAACAAATTTATCAATTTCTGTCCCTGCCTACAGTACTAAATCAACACTATGCACTGGTGAGCCCGTAATAATTAAGCGAACTGAGGCGCTAGCAATGGTGAGAACACAAACTCTTGTGGCATTCATCTCCTATCACAGTCTCTAGGTGAAGGCGAAACGTGTTTAGCTATGCCATTTTTCTGTTGAATTATTGGCTCGTTGTAATACAGGAAACGCCTAACGTCGGAAATTCTAACGTGGCATTTTGTGCTCGCACCGCCTTTGCCGCACCGTTTGCATCGACATTGAAGAGGTTCAACCGGTACTGGGTTGGCTCTGCCACAATCACTACAATAACCCATCAGCGGGTATTGTATAAAAGAATATAAAAGGTCTTTGATGAACTCGGGAGTATCAGCGGTTGCCTCATCGAACCATTCTTTGGCATCTGATGAGGTCAGAAACTCGGGAAGCCTCTCTCTAGCAAAAGCTAGAGCGGGATCGCAAAGTCCTCTCGAATAGGTTGGTGTAGAGTTGTAAACTTCAGATATTGAAAGAAGAAAGTTGACAACGTCCGGGTTTTTCTTCAAGTTTTCCGAGTATTTCTTTGCTGACAGGACTCTTAATTCTTCCATGTTGTACTTGTCTGCCAAAGCAAACATTGTTGCATGAATCGACAGAATGGGAATCGCGTCTTCGCTTGTGTTGTCTTCCTCAGATTCTCCAGTATAGTCACCGGTGTAGAAGAAGTCCACCATCCGTCGTACCATTGGCAGGGAATGAGAGTCTAGGCTATACGTTCGGGTAGATGCCTCCTAGAACAATGCTTCAGTTACAAGGACAACGCCACAGAGAAGCATATGCTACCTTGAATTTCCCAATGCATGCCGCGTGAAACACCGGGGATTGACTGCAAACGATCACCCTATGAACCGGTATAGTATGCCCATCACAAGTGAATTCAAAGTCAGCAAACACGCCATTCTCCCGCAATCTATTAAGCGAGTTAGACTTTATCGTGTTCAGGAGACCAGAAGTATGGATGTACTTCGCAATTTTGTCCATAGTCCTTGTAGAAATCATTGCTGTATGGCTTGAGGTTATAGTCTGATCAACAGAAACGAATTCTGATCCTTCGCGAAGGTCAGACCGCCGATTTGGTGATCTGGGCTAGCACTTGCTCCGGTGACGGTCTATTAGTATTATGGTCGTCATTTCGTACTTGATATAGCGCTGCAGCTTCTGACGTCATCGAGAGGAGTGGGATTCGATGATGTATGAGACTTGGACGCGCGATGGGCGGCTGATTGTCTATTGGATATTCCGAAGATAAACTCCTTTCCAGGAGGCCGTTCAAAGTCAAAAGAGTTTCACACCGTAGCATGACATCACTTTTATGTAATAACCCCAGACTTGGCTCGCAGAACCATTACAATGAATCGATAAGACTACGGTACTTTGATCACTTGATCCGGGATACCCTACCCTGGAATCATTTTCGTAGTAAAGCTTAGTTGTAGCTGCTCCAGAAGATCGCGCAAAGCAGGATGTAGCGCAAGCAGACAGAAAGGAAACGGGGGTTTGTTGGATAAATGGCATGTCGCGTGAGAAAGTTGTCGAAAAAATTGGGCTTCTTGGAATGCTCTTGTTGCCTGCTCCAGTGGGCGGAACTCTCTGCCCCAATCAAATGCGGCAGTCAAGCGCCAGGAGTGCCTTACCAGCTATGGTGATGGACTACATGGGGACGCGAAAGTAAATTGATGCCGCCAGGTCGACTGGTGCTTCGGACGTACCAACGGTACTTTGAAATTGCGTATGGACCAGTTCAAGCCCCACCACCAATACACCTCCATCTAGCTTCTATCGACGCGTTCGTGTGTCCCGCGCGTTTCTCCATGGCTACACAAAAGCAATTCTCGACTAGGTACCTTCGTGTTGCGGGGTTGGTGCCAACGCAGATTATGGGCAGAAGTACCGCTGCGGATGGTACATAGCCCTCACAAGCGTTGTGCCTTCGAATTATGCGGATATGTTGCTCATCCATGCCCGGAGGTGTGGACCGTTTCCCCTGCTCCCTCCTCTCCGTGTTGTATTCGCCCCTGTAACCTAACATCCGGCTTCCCAAGCCAGCCGAATCGCCACCGTTTACTTCATGCTGCAGGGCTGCTCACACTGTGTCCTTTGGCACTACCGGCAACCAGGCAATCCCACCGCCTATGTTACGGCCTGGTTGCACTGAACAGGGATGGCTTATATATGCAGTTGCTGTGCCCAGTAATCACTACAATAGTGATTATTGACCAATCTTTTGCCCTATGGTACAGCGGTTAAGGCACAGCTGTGACAGCCCACGACACTTTTGAGCTTCATTTTCGTTTTTGAACCGGAATAAAATGATAGTTTGTCGGTTTTAAAAGAAAATTATAGTTGTAACAGATCAATTACGATTTAATCTATCGATTGATGTAATTTTTGTTGCGAGAACCGGTGTGATGGAATTTTATCGCATTTAAATGTCCAATTGTTATGGCATTTGTGATTTCAGTTTCACGCGACAAAGCTTCACCTGACGACATTTTTCTCCACTGATATATATATAGAGAGTCCGAGACAGGTAACTAGTGGGAATACGGGAACAGCTTAGCAGGCGAGCTGGCATAATTGTGCTGGCAGGCACGGCCCGAACCTGATTCCGTTGCCGAGCTCTAAGAAGACGTCCCAGCTGAACCTTGTGCCCCGTATAATATCCTTGCAGATCTTGGAGAAGTCGAGATCGAATCGTTCGAGACTCATGGTGTCGACGAAGCCAATGCGACGAGGGATCAGGTTCGGACATATCCGCATCTCAGTCGCATGGCCATCGATGTACTATCTGTCCCCTGGTTCTGCCGACTCCGAGTCTACATTTAGTGGAGGAAGACGTACTTTATCATGGAATCGCGAAAGGATGTCATGTGTTAATCTGGAGAAGGTTGAATGCATCGGCAACTGGCTGCGTGAAGGACTCATTATACCATCATCACGTGGTGGTAGAGGGCTTGTTGTGGACGGTAAAATAAACGGTAGTATTCGGGTTGATTCGGACGATAATCTAGATTAGAACTGAACAAAATATTTACCTTTAAGCTTAGATGTCTGTTGTTATCATCGCTGCTAAAGCTGCTAGCGTGATATCATCTCTGCTATCCTGCTAAGCCGATATCATATCAGGATAATTTATCATATCGGATATGATATCAGGATAGGCAAGTCTGGTTGGTTTTAGCTCGTTTACACCCAGGCCACCACACACTGGAAGGTAGTTGGGCGCATGCTACTAATAGCCACGAAGTGTTGTGTCTGTGTGACGAGTCGGGCACTTATACTAGAGGTGAGTCTAGGGTAAGTGGGTAGCGTATTATGATCGAATGAACCAGGACGTAGATGTTGAGCAATGTAGGTTACTGGTCTAATAATGTGCAAGAGGTAGTCTTATGTAACCAAGTCTGTTGATAGCTAAGCTAGGGAGCTGCTCATTGTAAATGTGCACTTTCCAGGTGACTATTTATTATCTCCTAAAATTTCCTTGTTAAGAACTTTAAGAGCATCTAATGCAAACTTGGAAAAGTTTACAAAATGCGCCTTCTCCACCTCCTCAGCAAATTTATCTTTACCAGATCCTTCGCTATTAATGCCAAACCGAACTCCAAACTCGCCCACAAAATTATCGTAGGTAGTATTTGGCTTGGTCCTATATATTCCACATATTACCTGCTTCAGGCCTTCATATGTAAATCCATTGCGCGGAAATAGTTTTGTCACCGCCCGATATTCTTCTCTTGAAATCAGGTTTGGTCCGAGGCCAAGGTCAAGATTAGGACCCAAGAAATCGGCTGTAACGCCTAAGTTTATAAGAGCTACTTCAGCTGCGGCGTGCTGTGTAATAGACGGTGTCGTGTGGAATGCAATTGCATCCCAAGCTCGCTGGATTCTTACTAGGTCCCATACTTCTGTAGTCTCATTATCATAATACTCCGATCCGGTATGATCCTTTAGGAATCCTTTGGCGATATTTATACCATCGACTTCAAAGCGTTTGTCTTGGGCTAGGAGCTCCTTAGCCGCGGCCCATCCCATGTCGTGGAGCATACAGCTGATGAAGACAAGACTCAGGTCTGTATTTGCAAATTGTGGGAGTTTTTAGGCTATGATCAAAGCCCAATAGGCCGAGCGAGCTACATGATTGTAGATCATTACGTTGCAGTGCTTCTTGACAAAAGAGGAGGTATTGGCAGCTAGAGCGGCGGATGGTACGATAAGACCTAACTCCAGTATGTCTAGAAGTATCAAGTCTCCGCGTTGACTGTCTATAGTAGGCGATAGTAATGAAAAAGAATTTAAGATGGAAGCCGCAAGATGGAAGGTTAAAGAGTTAAGTGGTTGGATATTATTCACTCTGTTAGATGAGATGGCATGCTACCGTTATATAGAGAACGCTGAAGGTGCTCATTACTCGGTCCAGGTATTTCTCAACTGTGCTGTCATTAGCTTCTCCACATTTCTGTACTGACTATTTTTTTTTTTTTTTTTCATTTCTCTCGTTTATATAATTGTCCGAGGCTTACAAACCATTCTATTCCCTCCTCCCTAGTGGGATGCGAGGAACCCAGTGGGATGCGAGGAATGACTTGGGGTATATCCGTCGACGCCCGGGTATTACAATTAGCTTGCCGGGTAAACGGCTATCAGGCTCATCCTCGGATTATTGGTTATTGGCGAATGAGGATGGTCAACAGCACATCGCTGCCAAATATATCCGAGAGGTATCGGATCTTGTATGGATGCGGGGGACAAGTTCCCCCGCTGCGGGGCCACGAAGAGGAAGGCTTATCTTTTGCCTTTTAGGGGACAGGATCCACTAACTTTGTCGAGAAAAGTATGTTTTGCCGTCGAGCCGATCAGGGCATTATAATGGTAAGATTTCTAGGATTCCGTTCTTCCGTTTGTTGACCAAAAGTTATTATATAATAGGGGAACAAACGGCCCAAATAATATGCCGATTGACCGTCCCTATTCGGATCTGACGGGAAGTGTCACTTTAATTCCACTTGCTATAGCTGGAAAATGCGATGACAATAAGCCGTCAAGTTATATCGCCACAAATGTGAGAAATGGAATTATGAAAAGAAATGGACTGAAATTCTAGTCCAACAGGTTATGCGAGTGTGAAATAACTCTTCCTTTTTTCCACATTAAATTACCTTCTAGTTGTCTTATTTTCCTCTCATGTTGGTGAGGAGCTTGAACTAAGCGTCTTTATATCCGACCACCTTCGGAATTTAAGTCCATGTGGAAGGAATTTTTGCCCCGCTGATCTGCGGTTGATGATTACTGAACAAGATGAAAATAATCATTTTCGGTTGAACGGCTGACGAAGTGGGATGCTTATAGCATTGTGAATTGAGCGTGCCGCTGGTGCTTTACAAATCAACAATTATATGTTATATAAGTTAGATTTCTGTCCCAATCCGTACTCGAGGTTCTGCCCAAAGCAATCCAGCATCGTTCTTCCACCTCTTTGAAGATATTGTCTAACTCCCGAAATTCCTTATCACAATGGTATACCCTAAGGTAGCACAGCTTCTCTTGCTTCTGCTGGCTCTGCCGTTTCGGCCAGCTCAGGCTTCAATTACCGCAAAAAATGGCCTTTCTTACCGCCATGCTGTGCCTCGACGAACGATTGCTGGTGTTGAAGTTGTCGATACCCCAATCGTGCGCGATGCCCACGACTACGCTCTCAAGCACAGCAGTAACTTTGGCTACAAGCATGTCATGCGGAGTTGGCTGTTTGGTGCCATTATTATCGAACACAACGAGACCCTTCGCAACACCGTTGACTTAGAGGTGCATGCTGTGGCTGCTCTTCTACACGACTTGGGCTGGGACCAAACCCCCGGCTCGCCATTTGTAAGCCATGATAAGAGATTCGAGGTGGACGGTGCAATTGCCGCCAGGGAATTCATCCGGAATAACAAATATGGTAAAAAGTGGGATAAACGAAGAGTACAGCTCGTCTGGGACGCCATTGCTCTTCATACCCAACCTAGCATCTCCAACTACAAAGAACTGGAGGTTGGAACTACAGGCAATGGAATTACCTCCGATTTCCAGGGCCCTGTTCTCGGCACCACTAAGAAAGAGTATTCTGCCGTACTCTCCGAGTTTCCCAGCAATGGCATGAGGGACGGTCTGAACAATACTCTCATTTGGCTTTGTCAGTCGAAGCCAGCTACGACATACGGTGGGTTAATATCACATGAAACCAGAGAAGAAATACTGATAAACTTGCAGACACGTGGGTGCAGCCTTGGGGAGACAGCTATGTTTCAAGCTACAACTCTACGGGAAACAGGTTTTTCGATGTCGCGTTCTTGAATTTTCCCTAAGGGCATTAGACACCCCAGCGACTACTGAGGCGGGGGATATTGTGATGGGGCTTTGAACACTCGGAGTTTTAATAAGTGTCTAACTAGCTAGCAGTCTATATGCCTAGCAAATAAGCATCTAGCTAGTTGATGATATAAAGGAACTGTCTAGCCTGTTAAATGGCAAGACATGGGTTTTCTTTTTCTTTCACTTACACTGACCTTTACACTGCTCTCTTACAATCTCCTTATGTTATTGCACTTCTGCTCTAATAGCTGTTATAGTCGCGCTTATTAATGTTCTCCCTTTCTTTTTAGGTATGTTTGCTATCGCAATGCCGCTACGGAAAAAGGGAATGATCACTCCTCTTACCAGTAGCGTATTGTGGTCCATATCTCCGTCTGACAACCTCCAGGCCCCCAGTTTACCCGCTCCGTCTGCACTCATAGTTCACCCGAGTCTTCGTGTTGGCACTGATACATACCTGTTAAAATCAAGGGTAGTTTACAATAAAGTCCCATGGTCATTGGCACCTTGAGTAGAGCAAAATGATTCGGATACAACGATCGAATGCAAATCAAGTCATCTCATGATCCACTCGAGGTTGAGTAACATGCTGGGAGAGCAGAACGTTCTCCAGCTACCACCACGAATTCTTTCAGGCACCAGGCGAACATAGCAAGATATTTTGTATACTTGTACCATACAAATCATATCTTCTACACTCACTGTACAGCCTACAGAAAACCATGTGTTCCAGATATCGTATCACGTGATGCCCGCAGAAACATGATGGCCCTGTCTGTGATTTCGCCCAATGACCCCGCACACGAAACGTGTTTCTTTTGTCATCCAGGGCTATCATTGAAGTCAATCCGGACGACGTGGATATTGCTTCTAGGCTCGACAATGAAAGGCACGCTGGAACTATCCGAGGCCGTCTTCACGGGATTCATTTTTTTTTTTGCCAAGCATTTATGAGTTCGACCATATCTGTTAGCACCATAACTATCTCCCAAAGTCTACACATGAGCTCTTCAACCTTACTGGTTTGCTGGCTACTTCAATGTTAGAACATCGCGACACATGACAAACAGCAGACAATCACTGATTCATCAGGTACATCTTCTCTGCGTGCATGCACTTAGACCTCGGATACCAATGCTAATTCAGCCCGAAGGGCGTTTTATTCAGCCCGAAGGGCGTTTTACTCAGTCAGAAAGAATCGAGCATAAAACCTCCTGTGATTGGCTAATTGGCCTGGCATGTTCTCAACTCGTGCGCGAATTGGTCGACCGTTAACGCCACCAAATGAAGGCATCGCCACAAACCACCCCCTGAGCGTTGACTAGGTAACTCGCTAGCTTGGCAAGCCCTCCAAGAGCTTTCAGTTCTTCTTTACTTCAATGCAGTCAATTTGTTGAGTTGCTAAGCACGATCCTCACTGAATAACCCTTACCTACGTGGCAGCTGCTTCCCTTTTCTGTCAAATCTATCAAACTCATCAGGTTGCTAACAGTATCTAGGTTCACATATTACCTCCGCAGCCAGCCTACCTCTGAAGATTCCCCGGTTACTCTGCCTCCGGAAAGCAGTGCTGTTTACTCCCTGGCTATTCAGACGTGATCTAACTACCTCAAAGACAGCCTCTCCATCGAGATCGATCACGGTATTGGACGTAAGCCGTCACAAAGCCTCCCTGCCCGAGAGATATCCAGCAGTCTAGGTGGGTAAGAGGCGGATACATATACAACCAGATGGAGGACGATATGCCCCAGGCAGTTCGAAACTGCCACACCTGCAAGCAAGACCTGCCCGAAGTCGAATTTCGAAGCGTCAAGGACGCTAGGAAGTTTACAGGAGACTGTACTAGCTGTAGGGCACGCCGAAGGGAACGTATATCTGAATCCCGAGCCGCCGTTGCCGCCATGCGGAATATCGCCTTGAGGCTATCGCCACACAGAGCCACGAAAAGGACCGATTCTCTAGCTAACCTAACGCCTCCAAGACGGACTGCGCCAACACCTGCGTCTGTGCACGGCTTACAGCCTCCTGCCACGCCTACTTTATTCCGTCGCCTGGCGCCCGCACTCCAGGGACTGCCTAGACCTCTGCTGGGGCTATCTACCCCAAGCGCAGTAGAGGGACCTTCCCCTATCACTCCTACCCTTAGTCTGCCAACAGTAATTCTAGGCACGCCGATTCCTCAAACGCCAATTCCTCAAGACACTTTTCCAATGGCTCCTGTTGTGCTAGGCACGCCTATACCACAGGAATCATTCCCTGTCACACCTTCATTACTGCCACAGGGTCATTGCCGCGGCTGTTATACACGTCAAGGCACCTTTAACCCACGGCCACGGCCAGAGCCTCAAGAGCGACAGTTTAACCAGATAGTTAATCCACCTTTTACAGCGGACCTTGACTTGCCTGCCCTTAGTGAGGAGGATCAGGCTCTTATACGGGAGTTCTATACTGCCCTGAATGACAACAAGATACATAGTTACATTTGCTGCGGGGAGCATTAGTTCGATATAAAGAGAAATAGCTTGCAAATCTGCAGCCGCTGTATTAGTCGAGACAGGGAGAGAGCCCCTGACGAGCCCTACTTCTTTAGCGCTACAAATAACCTTGACTTTGGGGAAGTCCCCGGCAATCTACCTGATCTAACGATGGTTCAGGAGATACTTATTACTAGGATTCACGTACACGTAAAGGTCCTACAGGTACGTAGCGCTCAATATAAATACCGCGGCCACGTTGTCCACTTTCTTCGCAACGTTAGTAGGCTATTTGAAGAGCTCCCAGTCCTACCTGAAGAGCTAGATATCATACTCCTGCGGCCTCCTAATATAGAGGGCGACCCTCGCTTCCAGCAGCAATTTGCTCGCGATTTCCGGGTACGCCGCTCATATCTGCTGGCCTGGCTCCATTACCTACAGCGCCACCACCCAGGCTATCGCAATATCGTCGTGAGGCAGGATCGCTTGCAACGGCTTCCTCTTAACGGCAGCATAGTTGCTTCCATCGCTTGCCAAGTGGCTGACATACCTGACGGCGAGGTCCCCTAAGGCCCCGTTAAGGAGGCTGTAGAAGAGGATCCTAGCGATACAGACGCATCGGCGATCCCGAATTTGCAGGTTACCGATACCGAATTAAACGCCCTGCAGTCCCGATTCCTTCATGGTACCCCTGACCCTGAGCGTATAGCCGATCTTGAGCATATGCCGCCTAGCGCGCAGGCTCAACACCAGATGCCACTACCTTCCATTCGCAGGACTCCTATTAACGAATTCAACCGTTCCCAGCCGCTGTTAACGCTCGCGTTCCCTACTCTCTACCCTGACGGCAAGGCGGACTTCGTGGAGCCTCGCCCACGGAGCATCACGTACCAGGACTACCTTGCCCATGCGATGAGATGGCAAGACGGACGTTTTGCCCGCTATAAGACGTGGCCTTTCGTCGCCCTCAACACCCTGTTACATGCGCAGGTCAGAAAGCGAAGCAACTACTTAGTCAAGCAACACGAAGGCCGCCGTCAACCCGTTACGCGCGCTGACATAGAGGAAGCGATGGCTAAGCCTGACGAGCCAGAGGCTCAGGCCCTAATCCAGTTGATTACGCGCTAAGCTGCCGTAATCAGGGGCACCCGGCTATATTGGTATAAGCAAAGGAAGGAATTGGAGGTATATGCCTACAATCTAGGCAGGCCTGGCCTTTTCGTTACTGCAAGTGCGGCTAATTACCACTGGGAGTTCCTATATCGTCATATACCTCGATTCCAAGAGTAGAAAGCAGCTCCTGAGGCGGCGCAGATAGTCCTGTCCCGGCAATTACTGAGAGATAACGCCCACATTGCCGCTTATCACTTCTATAAGCGTTATATGCTCTTTAGGACTATTGTTCTGAAGCAGAAGTTTAACCTGACGGACTTTTAGAGTCGCTACAAGTGGCAGGGCAGGGGTTCCAGTTACCACTATGGCCTATATTGGTTAAATAGCCACCCAGACTTAGATCCTGATAATGGTCAGTCCCGAGAGCAATTTGCTCGAATCTGGGGATATTACGTATCTGCTGTTAACCCAGAGCCTCAGCGGATATAGGTGCCTGGGGAAGGGAATCCCCTGATCAGTAATCTATTGGAGCATCCCCTTACCGTTCAGTTCCTATTAATGGTAGTTAACTGTGTGTAACGCCACCGATGTAATAACTACTGTATGCAGCTTAATAAGCATACCAAGCAGGTAGAGTGCTGCTTTGGATTTCCTTACGGGCAGCGCCTCCTAGCCTCCCTTGACAAGGTTCCTTATTCTAAGTACTGGAGCTTTAGGGGCGAGCGGAATGATAGCCAGATTAACCACTATAACCGCTTGCTTACTGTTGCATGGCTAGCCAATACAGATGTCTCGCCCTGCACGAGCCTACAGCAGGTAATCGATTACGCAGCTAAATACTGCTCCAAGTTGGAAAAGAAGAGCGAGTTGTTTGCTCAGATTGGGAAGGCCCTGGTGCCCCGGGTCAAGGACCACAACCCCCTGATTTCCTTTATGTTAAAGCTCCTAAATCAGTTAGTTGCTGAGCGAGACTACTCGAAGCAGGAGGTTAGCTACTTGCTCCTCGGTCTGCCGTTACAAGAGGGCTCACGAACCTGCCTATACGTTGATTGCCGTAATCCTGACAGGCATTCCCGCTCCCTACGGATTGACGGCGATGAGGTTGACGAGGCGCCCAACGTCTACGAAAAGTACTGCCAACGCTCAGAAGCCCTAGAGGACCTGACCTATGTTTCCTTTCTCAAATACTGGAATTTCCGCTCTAGGAACCCTTCTATGTGGAAGCAATGGCAGCCAGGCAACATTAACGGCAGGCCTCGTGTATTAGTCTACTTTCCTCGCTACCAGGCTGATCCAGAACGCTAACAGTAGCCAGATTACTGCTGCATAAAGCTAACGTTAAACCACCCACATCGCCGCCTTGATGAGCTCCTCATATTTAGCGGCCAGCGTTTTAATTCTCACGCTAAGGCCTTCTCCTATTATTGGCAGCACTACAGTTATAGTAATAACCATTACGGCCAGCCAAAAGAGGCTCGATTACAACCTTAAGAGGATCAGTACGAGACTCTGCCTGTGGAGGAAGAATTTGATGACGAAGACTGGATCCGCCTCGCCGCCTTTTTACCTGACAACCCCCTTACCCAGGAAGGTCTTGACCTACTTGGCCGCCGCGATATCGACGTCAATTACGACTGGACACGGCATGTAGGCACTTATCCGGAATTTCGAGACAGCTACTGGAAAGAACTTATCGCTAGCCACCCTATAGCCAACGATATAGAGGTCCTTGGCCCTCACTGGCGTGACCAGCTTAACCCACAACAACAGCTCGTGTACGACACCTTTATGGGCCACTTCCAGGCGCAAAATCCTACTCAAATCCTTCTCCACGTTGACGGTGGTAGTAGTACAGGCAAGTCCTTCCTTATCAAGGTACTTTCCTCCTATCTTCAGGCGGCTGCCCTACCGAATCCTAGCCCTATTTGCCGCGTAGCGCCAACAGGCGTTGCGAGTAACCAGATACAGGGCAGCACCATACATTCCTTGCTACGTCTCCCAGTAGGTGGCGCCTTTACCGACCTTCCCCCAGCCGACGCAGCCGCCCTTCAGTCCCGCCTACGGCACGTCAGATACCTCGTTATTGATGAAAAGAGCATGCTAGGGCTTGAGCAGCTGGCGCGGATCGATTCCCGCCTGCGGCAGGCCTTTCCACAACGTAGCCTCGAGTTCTTTGGTGGTGTGAGCGTCTTGCTTGTGGGCGATTTCTTCCAGTTACCACCAGTCCGACAAAAGCCCCTGTATTCGACTAGCAGCAGCCTGTCTTCGTTAGAAAGAAGAGGACAGGCGGCCTACCGGTTATTTGACCGCACCGTCTTCCTGACGACAGTACAGCACCAGGCTGGGGACGATCAGGCCCGGTTCCGTCAGGCGTTGCAAGAACTGCATGAAGTTAAGTTATCTATACCGTCCTAGAACCTCCTTAGCAATCGGGTACAGGCCAAGCTAACACAGAGCGAGGTTGACAGATTCAGGGCCGCTTTGCAGGTATATTCTACAAAAGCCCGCGTCAACAAATACAATTACGAGCATATGGTACACCTCAACGCCCCGGCAATACAGGTGGAGGCAAAGAATCAGGGCAACGGCGCGGGGCAGGCGCCAAGCGACAACGCTGGCAATCTATCTAACAAGTTCCCTGCTGCTAAGAGCGCCAGGGTAATGCTCACGACCAATCTATGGCAGCCAGCTGGCCTAGTTAACGGCGCCCAGGGTACTATATACGATATCGCCTGGAATGCAGGCGCCAAACCATGGGAAGACCCCCCAGCCGTTATTATAGTGGATTTCGATAGCTACGATGGACCGCCGTATCTAACAACTAACGAGGGCAGGAAAATCGTACCCATCCTTCCAGTCACGCGTGATTTCCTAGTGGGCAACGAGACCTGCGCTTGCATGCAGTTTCCCCTGATCGTGTCATTTGCTATCACTGTTCACAAATGCCAGAGCCTAACGAAGGATCAGATAGTTACTGACCTCGCTACACGCAACTTCCAGGCCGGTATTAGTTATGTTGCCGTTTCACGAGTTACCTCGCAGCAAGGCCTACTCCTTGAGGCGCCTTTCGACCGTCAGAGCCTCTATAACCACACGCCCACGGAAGGTTCATGTGCCTGCGTTTCCTACGTACTGCGTTTGTGGCTAACTATAAGGCAGGGATGAAGATACGCCTTGCTGACCAACAACGCCGTCTGGCTCAACAGCTGACCGATCTGCCGTATCCACCACGCTACATTAACTAAATGGCGTTTTCCTATAAGCTACAGGGAAAGGGGAAGTTCAATATACAGTACATAGTTGATTGGGCCTGTCAGGAAGTGGTAGAGGGACCCTATGTCTATCAGTCAACTCCCTGACTACAGGTTTAAAGTGGTTTAACAGCTGGTTACCGCCGCAGTCGAAAGGGGGCTTCTAGGGGATTCCCCCAGGAGAGTTTATAAACAGGTATACGGTATTTACCCTTCGGGCTGGATATTCAGCCGTTAAGTCCCTTGCCTTGGCAACTTAACGGGTGTTCGAAGTATTTTAGGGGCTACTTTACCGATGAAGTGATGGTAAGGATACTGAGTAATCATAAAAAGCAATAAGGCGGCGTATTAGGTAAGGAACGCGGTGATACATTGCGTAGATTAATATTTCTGGTAACACGAGTATACTCTCGCGTTTACGTTGCTATACCACAATACAATCCTTATATTTTCAATGCTTTGTTATGGATCCGTTTATTCACTTACCAGAATATCGAATTGCTGTGTGCAAGAAATGTCATTTCGGCTGTGTGTCCGAGGAGGTGGTTACCGACTTGCGGGTTAGACACCGCGACATGACACCTACCGAACGACGTGATGTATCAGCAATGATCAAAAGAATTCCTCGTATTATACGAAATCAGGCCGAGCTGAATGAAATCCAGCTTCCACCTCCAACAATCGACCCAATTCCCCTCCTCGCCCCCCCACAAACCGAGGACTTCGGTGCCGGAAATGCCCTTACGTCGTCCGTCAGGTTCAGAGTATCCAGGCACATTGCTCAGAAAAGCATGGGTGGCAGAATCCTAGGAATAAAGGAAGACCAACAGATAACAACTCTGGCCGCAACCTTGGGGCTATCCCCGAGCTGCCGTGGGTGCAGGGTGTACAATGCCAGCGGTTCTTTCCCACTAGGGCGGGCAGCAGTTGGTTCGAAGTAGGCCGGGGGAATACTAGCAAGAAGACAGCGCCGGCAGTAGGACCCTCGCCCTTGATGGTTCAACCACCAGAACCTACAACTTTAACCCCCGAGGTGTACACTCACTTGAACGACGTGCTATTGCGGGATCAGAAACATCTCGAGAAAGAAAACCAGCCACGTGTCTGCAGCAAAGTACTGGGAGAAGACACATTTGCAGCCACAAGCGTCTGGATGGACCGCACACAATGGCCGGCTATCTTCCATGACTCCCGGCGAGACATTCTGCGGGCCCTGACTCAGCTGCCCGATCACCGCACTCTGACGGTGGACTATGTCTTAGGTCAAGCGCCCAATGAGGAAGAACCAGACGTTGTGAGCCCTTGGCAGGACGAGCAGAAGATAGCATGCATTCTGAGTGCCTTGGAACACGTATTAGAGCGGTGCGAAACGACAGCCCGTCATACAAGCCGTACCCTCTTATGTTGGCTGCGCAGTCCTAAGCTTGAGACTTGCGGCCAGAACCCATTTACTCTTCCAGCTGAAAGGAGTAGCCGGCAGAGGTATTGGAAATTATGGAAACGATTCATAGCCTTTGTTATTCGAGGCTATCGAATGCCCACCTGGATCCGGGAATCCGAAACCAAAATAAGGCTCGATGAGGAGCATTCAAGACAACTGCAGAATAACGAAGGCCAGTCGCATCGCAACAATCTCCTATTAATTCATTTGACGACCTGTACCTCCAGCCGAGAGATGAAAGAGGCGTGGCGGGTTCTTGCATTGTGCAATTCGATGCTACAGAGTCGTGCTGTGTCTTTTTTATACGTACGGTTTAACTGAAGTGCCTGTGACCTCATCTAGTGAAGCCGGCGGTGGCGTCGTCTTTGCATAGCTGTGGGAAATAGTGTCACAAAAAGACGAACGTCCCTTGTGGGACCGCATACCCCCCCTTATATTCTTTGCAACAAATAGTCCCACTCACACCAAAATGCGTCGGAAATCACTCAGGCCCTCTCACAGAACCACGTGATCCGCGCGTCTGTTCGCTTAGTGTGTGGGCCTGAGTGCCTGAGGTAACACCGGCGGTGCAGGTATGAGTCCCTGGGTGAGATTGACAGTTAAAATCCCTCACGGAAAGAGGCGTCCGGAAGGACCCAAGATAATCAAGACAATCAGCTTTGAAGTCAGATCATTTGATCAATTCTTTATCTCTTGATTGACCTAGGCGTATTGGATCCATCAATTTTCAATACGTAGTATGGTATATTTCGATATGAATTAATCCATATACCGAGGTGGGGTGGGCGACATGGGGGTATGGGGTAGGGTCCCTGTATTGACTAAAATCGATGGAAAATGGGTTTTGACCCAGTCCTGGATAGCCTTCCGTAGAGGCCGCTCGGCTCGTTGATTCGCTGTCCAGTCCACTGAAAGATAATAGCCTCGGCAATCGGCATTTACCAAAGCCGTCTCCGACTCACTTCTCCATTTAAAGTCTAGCTTCACTTTGCCGATCTGGAGTTGACATCTCCATCTCCGATCGCCGTCCAATTCATCCCTCAACACCCATGAGCCCATGACTAATCTTCTTAAGAGCTCGTTAATATTTCCGTCCCTCAACTCCGATACCTATGCACTATGGAACACCCAGCCCAGCACGCAGCCTATGGAACGGCATGTACAAATTATGCCCGGTCGAAATGCCGATGCATAATCCTGAACCCCGGAGATGCCTGCCAGAGGTTAGCTCCACCCACTAACAACCCCTGGAGCTTACTTGGGTAAACTGACAAGCTGGAAGATGTCGATGCCTTGGAAAAGATTATATGCAATCGGGAACCAAGCGAAACCGCGATGCAACGAGATTATCCAAGTCTAGGAATGAACAGCTAGAGGCCAAGATTGATAGCTTGGTATCTCTTCTCACTTTAACTGCCGGCAGTCCTGCCAATCCAGCCGATGCGGGGACTTCAGTGGTTTCCGGGAATGTGCCTGTCGTACCGGGAATGCCAGTCCTTAAGACTCAGCATACTAATATTCTAATATCAATTCCCTTTCAACTAAGTAATAAATCAACCCAAGTATCAACTACAAGTATTGCCACTTCTCTTCAAATACTAGATGACTCACCAGTAGAGGATGAGTAGGAATTGCTTGACAAGTTCATAGCCCTCAGATTGGTACACGTGCTATTTATGTATATTCCACTGCAAACCTCCGCAGCCGATATATAGGCCACAAGGCCGTTTCTCTGGCTTTGTATATATACAGTTTCAATACAGTCTACCCTTCAGCAAAGTAAATTATATAGCCACATACAACGTATTTTAGGGCAGTCAATAGTTTCAGACCTAGAGAGAAGCATAGAAGAGCTCTTAGGTTTACTTATCTGTATTACTTAGTCAGTATTATGCCAACCAAGAAGTAAATCAAGTAATATAGCAGCACTAACAGTATACAGGAGCAACCTGCAGGTATACAGACGTCCATTCCTAACCCTGTTTACATAGCTAGCTATTTCTATTATCTTTAATCTTGGGCTCAACCTAAAGCCGACGTCAGGCCCGAATAAAAGAGCCAACTACAGATTCCACAAACCTTAGGTATCCGGGGGCAGGACAATAGAGGAGAGAAGAGGGGTACTCAGTCTATATTTTCTAAGCTCTATATGAGTAATTTTGTCGCTTGATAATCCATTTTGCTGATAATCCTAGCGTCTCCTGCAACCTAGACCGAATCGATACTCTTCAGTGGACGCCATATATAAGCGAATATATCGACCAACTTGCCGATATCAAGGAATGTGAGAGCGACTTAATTTTGGCTGCGCTTGTTAAGCTTTAATTAATAGTAGAGCGAATATAGCAATCCCCCCTGTATAAGTAAGAAATAGGTTAAGACGTAGTACTAAAGCCACCAGCTCCCTTCTACGTCAAAACGCTACAGGCAGACTTAGACGACATTAAATACCTGGTGTTTTTAGAATTGCAAAACAGCAGTAGGTTTAGTCAAGATAGATATAACTAAACCATCACCATGCTAACTGTAGCTTATAGGAGTCTTACTTAATTATTTTTATAATACCCAACTTAAAATCTACAAATTTATATTATTTAAGGAAATCCCAATTAGTCCCAGCCTAGATTTCAATCAACTAGAAGCACTTTATATTTATCTCATCTCTATTAGAAACTATTTCAATATCTTTTTTATATATACCCCAAGGGAATATATAGGTTTCTTAACATCAAGCTTCTTTCAACTAACATATTACTTACTATACTTATACAAACTCTTGGCAATTAAAAATCCCAGCTAGGTCAGAATCGAAGAAATAAAAACAATTAATCTGGTTTTTATCGAGCAAAAAATTACCCAAAACTTCAGGGACGCAGCCACAGCAGGAGGGTTAATCGCAGACAGACCACCGGATTATTTAACGAGGTTGGCTTCAGTGGTGGAATCCGCGACGACGCACTGGGAGTCCAAATTAAGAGCACAGGCTGCAAATCCGGGATTTCCTATAGGCGAACAGAATATCGGATCGATAGAGGTGCCAGACACCGGAGACTTCATACTGGAACTTACTGACGACTCCTAGTTGACGGACCTGCTTATGCTAATAGAGTGGTAATAACAAATATATAGCTATATATGAACTATTTTATAGGCCAACAAATAATATTTACTAGTAGTAATAGAAATGATATTAGGGAAATCAGGGGGTTTACCTAGAGGCGGGGGTAGCCTTTGAAGATTAGTAATTTGCTCGTAGCAATCTCCGGCCTAGATATATTATATTAATATCATAATGAAATACTTCTAGCACCAAGTCAGATACACCAAATACAACACAATTAACTATCTTTCAGTCTTTAATCTTTATTTGTTGTTTCTTTCTTGTTAAGATACTGTCCAAATGCCTGAGAACAACCGGGAGGCCATAAATTTAAAGAGTTAACAACCAGCTTATCTACCCAAAGCCCTTATTAAGAATTAGAAGCCCGACGAAAAGTCATACCAGGCCATAGTAAAGGAGCCTAAGTATCTAACTGGTTAGCGGCTATGGAGCCTTATTCTCATAACTACAACTGTAGCATTCCTATTGATGTTAGATTCTTCTATCGTCTTAACAGTATATCTTCCCATATACCTTTATAGGGCCACTTTATTTAATTATCCATTATAGGCCATCCCGCATCTTACCAGTGAGTTTTATTCGCTGCTAGATGTCAGTTAGTATAGCGCGTCGTACCAGCTTGCCAAGTACGTTAAACCCTCCGCCCTTGTCGCTAGAATTATTTTAAGCAGGATACACAGTACTTACTTCTAGCAATGCAGGTACTCTATATAATATCTTAATATAAAGATAAATCTATTCACTCTATTAGTAATTACACTTCGTCGGGCTAATTAATATTCAATATCAGTAGACCTTTATTAGCTTTTTTACAATCTTTAAGCTGGGGTTACTTTTAAGTAGTACTACCGCGTCGTCCACAATACTTATTATCGCTCGCGCTATTAAGGGCATCGGCGCATCTGGCCTGCAGAATGGTATATTCATCCTCATTTCTGGGTCTATTTCCATAAAGAAGCGCCCAGGTAGGACGTAGTCTATGTTATTCTTATTGAAAAGTCAAGCTAAAATGCGAAATAGTATTAATAGGTCTTGGAATGGGAAGTATATATTCTTAAATCTTTTCCTCTCCCCAGATATCTGCTGACAGATTACAGTCTCTTAAGCTGGGCTCGCTCTTAGTCCTGTTATTAGAGGACTTCTAACGCAATACGCAACATAGCAATAGTATAAGTTCCCGAGTTCTTTGGCCCAGAAGTAAATTATTCTCTGCGCGATGACTCGGGTTATTCGTTCTAACAATTATCAATAACGCAGGCTTTTACATCAATCTTCCAATCGGCGCCGTGGCGATGGTTCTATTCCTTAGCTACAACATGCCCGAAAACAGACCCGTATCAACTGGTCTCTTAGCTCTGAAAATCCTTAGAGAGAAAGTCGATTTCATCGGCTTTCTCTTCTTTGCGGGCGCCGCAGTATAGCTTCTCCTCGCTCTTCAGTTTGGTGGCAATCAATACGCCTGGAATAGTGCCACCATTATCAGCCTCTTTTATGGCGCTGGAGCAACTATTATAATCTTTGGGTTTGTGGAACATCGGCAAGATAAAGGCATAATAATTCCTTTATACTTAGTCCGCTAAAGAGTTATATGGTATTCTGCTCTGGTTATACTTTTCTTAATTATAACCTCGTTCTGCATGTTATACTACTTGCCGATTTATTTCCAAGCTGTTATGGATATATCTCCAAGTCTCAGTAGAGTCTATCTTTTGCTTTTATTATTAGTTAAATTATTCTTGTTATACTTAGTAGCTCTTTTTATAAGATATTTATCTGTATTAATTGGCTAGGCTGACCCTTTGCTTTAGTATAAATAATTGGCTATTATATACCTTTTAGTATCGTCAGAGCTACTATCGTTTTAATTGGCAGCAGATTAATCTCTACTTATACATTCTGTATATCTACTGGAAAATTAATTGGTTATCAGATTATCTTGGGAGCAGGTTGTGGGCTGGGTATGCAAATAATATAGAACGCCCCTCATTACTACTTCGCACCTCGTCTTAATATATAGCTTCATCGTGCAACAACTATTTAGAATATCCGCTGATATAATTTGCAAGCCTATTCTTAACGTTCAAACCTTCTTACCGCGTCCCCAGATTGCTATCGAAACCGCTTTCATCATACTCGGCTATACATTCAGCGGGGCATTCTCCCTTAGTATTATACAAACAATCTTTAGCAATAGTTTGAGGATAGAAATCCAACACTATACTCCTGAAGTCAACATGCGATCTATTATTTCCGCAGGTACCATAGGCATCAGAAAAGTTGCCAGTGCCGACAGTCTTCCCAGTATATTAAAGGCATATTCAGTAGCAGTCAATTATATCTTCTACTTTACTGCTGCAGCTGGAGTTTGCAGCTTCGCCTTTTCTAGGGGCTTGGGATGGACCGATATTCGAAAGAAGAACCCAGCTAAATGAAAGCCCCCCGCCAACCAATACGCCGTGCGTCCCCAAACGGAGAACTCGACATGAGAGATCAAGGGCAAGAGGTAACGGATTCCCTAGCCCCTAGTATCACGACCCATATCAAACGCAGGCAGTCTGTTATTCGGCGTCAAGGTGGTCGTTAGTAGGAAGATTGGGAATCTTATGACTGGATAGAATCCGCCGATCGCCGGAGTTATCGGCAAACTTTGGTGGAGGAGATTCAGAAGCATCAATCCTAAGTAATAGAGGAAAAAGTATATACTAGCAGTTCGAAATTGAATATTGACGTCTTGAATTATCTGAACCTGGGCTGTTTGCCTAAAAGGAGCTGCATTGAGTACCCTGCCATTGAACCCGGTATGTGTCGGAAACCTTCCCGCTAGCTAAGTTAATCGGGCTAGCCTTCTGGAGTTGTCATGTTGTCCATCGATACTCCGATGAAGCTATGCCAAGAACGGGACCCTTGCTGACCAAGAAGTCGGTAAAGTTTCTTCTCTCTAACCTTCCAACTGATAAATCGGTTTAACCTTGACGGAATGGGCTATTCTGAACTCCGGATGGCTTTCCTTTTCCGTTATAGAGTGGCCTTCCCTCCAATTCAGCCCATCACTATCATCCTGATTCAATCCACTTCGGCCACCTCCATCTTTCGTCGGAGGCTCTGTGCTTCACCAGGTACAAGCTACGCTAAGAAGAAAGGAACCTAGCCAAGTACCATGGTCAACAAAGGTCGGCCTTCAAAGGACTGTCTTCCTTGTAGGAAGCGGAAGCTCCGGGTATGACGTGGCCAACCCTTGCCCCCCACATCCAAGTGCGAACGTTCATCAATTGTCCGAAGTTCGCTGATGGAGAGATTACAGTGCGACTTGAAGCTTGAAAGCTGCGGCCAGTGCCAGAGAGCCAAAATCGTGTGCCACGGATACCGGAATCTCCAGGACTTGGTCTTCCGCGACGAGACGGATGCAGCCAAGAACAAGGTCTTGGCCCGTCCGGGGCAGTATCCAGCTGAAGCATCTGGTTTTCTCTTGCCAATGTGGGGCATTAATTTGGACATGGACACACGCTGTCGAGAAACATTCTTCTCGCTGTATGTCACAGGATTTTCACGCAGCTGTACCTCTCTCGTCCCCCTCTATACCCAGGCTCCAGTCATCGGGCATCTTGCGTGCAGTGTCGACGCAGTCAGCCTGGCCTTTATGGCTGTCCAATTTGAGAGTCAGGAAGTCATGAGCTTGGCAAACACGAGGTACGTGGAAGCCATCCAGAACCTGGGTCAAGCTTTGCGAGACCTCAAGGCGCTAGTCCCAAAGAGTGCTGCCCCTTTGCGATTCTCCGTTCCGTACATCTCGCCCTCTCTACCTCTTCAGCAACACTTCCCCCCCTCAACTCAACATTCTGCCCTTCTATCCTATTCTCCACAGGGCCATCGAAGTCCCACGAGCATTATTTCGATTAAGTAGGCTGGGGAGGTTGAGGACCGCACCGCCGGTGTGCGGTTAACCATCGCGTCGGCCATAGCCAGGCAACACACCCCACAGTGGAATATATTTTTCGTCTTTCTAACGAGGTTCTTTATCCTTCTCCTAGGTCATTCTGCAATCAAGATACTCTCAACCTCTTTGGAGGGGCCAAACCGATTCACTTGCGACAGATATCGAAAGGACCAACGGGTGGTCGTGCAACGTTTCACATATGTGTTTCCGCCACGCTCTGTGGTGCACATTGGGACTGAGACAATCATCTACGCCATCCGTTCATCACCATCACGTTTTCGTGGTGGCTGTTCTACTTCGTCTTCCTTTTTGTCACATATCCGCGACCCCTACCCAGCGCAGAACATTACAGAACTGTCAGCGAGGTTCCTCCTGCAGGGGGGCCGCAGACAAATGGGCTTATTCGCTCGAGGGGGTTGCAAAAGGTAATTGGGTTGTTGGTTGGAGGCGGAATCCAAGACACGCCACCGCGCGCTCGCATCGGCAACGCCAAGCCACAAAGACGACGGTGAGAGGACAAGGCGAAAGCTGCTCGATTTACGCGTTTGGCGCTTCCAACGGGAATCTTCGCAAAGGGTCCCCCAATTGACCGATCGGTACAAAGACGTCCCATAGGTTTCGATCCTCTCTTGATCCTCACTCCCTTCACTTTTTCTCTCCCGAATCGGCGACAATCTAGGCGCCCACTTTTCGAGCTGAGCCGCCCCACGGCCCACGATCCCACCCACGTCCTCATCCACGCAAGGCGAGGTCCTTATTTCGGCCCTCGGACCATCGGCTTGGAGCCCACTGCGATAGGGTCGATTCCTCCGACGGATCTGGGCTCGTGTGTCTTTGACCAGGGGCCTATTAGGCGATTAGGGAATTGGGACTAGGCGTTGTGGAGCACCACTAATACCCGGGGGCTTGACTAAGCAGACTCCGCTAGGCCTAGGCCGCCCCCTCTCCCAAGGTTTGGCTTTGTCCTGCTTAAAGGTGATTCGGGCCCAGTTGGCGCAGATTTCCCATGCAGCTTCGAGTCGCACCCGTGTCTCTGCCGCCAAGGTCCCGAAGGCAAGTAGGGTTGTATCGTCGGCAAATCCAACAATAAATACTCCCTGATCCTCCTCGAGGTCTTTATAGAGGCTTGTGATGAACATAATGAAGAGTATTGGTGACAGCGGAGATCCCTATGGGAATCCAGCTTTGACTTCAAATGGCTCGGACACCGCGCCATCAAATCGGACCCGTGCCGTGCGCGCCGTGAGATAGCTTGTAAGCCAGCGTAATAGCCACAGCTGGATACCCATTTTCTGTAGGGCTGCAATAAGCTTCCTGTGGTCCACTGAGTTGAAGGCTCCAGCGAAGTCCGCTTGGAGTAGCGAGGCGATCCCGCATCGGTTCTTGACATATATCGTGGATCGCCCGTGACTAAAGCCCAAAGCGAAACTCTGGCGGTGTGAGTTTGTAATTAGGAGTTGGTGTGTCGGCAGCAGTTGGGAGATGTTGAAGCAAGATTACTACATCAGTGATGGCAATATGATTGCGGAGATAGAGAAGGTTTAGCTGTCCCGGGTCAACTGTAATGGTCGCTTGAACGACGGTGAGTTTCTAGGCTTGCTCTTTTGATGGATTAGGCTTTCCAGACCGTCGGAGCTTGATAGAAGTTGTCGATGCTTTGGGTTATATGACGCCGAGCTGGGCTGGCCTTCTGTATGGCCCTGATCAATCGCCTGCAGCTAAGGTTATTAATAGATGCGCAGGTAAACATATTGCAATCTGGATGCAGACCGAGTTTTGTAAGGGCGTTATAGTAACAAGCAGCAACACTTAGAAATTTAGAAGGAATCTTATAAATAATTTACATTACTATGTCCAAAACGGGGAAAAAGACAACTACTCATTTTTAATCTAGGCTTAATAAAGAATACAACAGTTGTCCACAGTGCTGCAGGCTCGGGATTCCACATGGAATATGTATTTATTCTGCAAACCGGTCGCTGGCATATCTGCGTCGTCTTGGCCGTTAATTGGATTGATCGCATCATCTTCTGTGCCAGAGGCCCCATCATCGGGTTCGGATATAATGTCTGCATCTCCGGAGTTACTAAGCGAAAGGTCCTCAACGTTGACTACTTGGCGCAGGTTGGGAGGGTCTCGAAGGCGGTACAGGATCCTGTTCTCTCTATACAGTATCCTCACTGTTTCGGGGTAAATTGTCTCGTTGGTGCACATAATGTCGATTTCGATCTCAGGTCTATTCCGCGCTTAGATTCGCTTCCATATAGCTCGCATAAGAATGGGAGGATTCCCGACACAGATGTTGCGCCAGATTTGGTCTCTAATTTCTAATGGAATCCGTGCCAGGAACCATCAAAGTCATTTCGGGCGTGGTGCCGGGGCGAATCGTGGCGTGGTGCTGGAGCTGGTTGGTGATATCCAATCTGGTGGCACTTCGGTCACAAGCGGCGAGTTGTTCCGCTGCCAGACGTACATCCACGCCGATCGCGACTGTAGTATGGCGAAGAAGAGCCACATATATTGCGCGTATACCAAGAAGGCGAGCCGCATGTCAAAGTACCAAACGGGCGAGACGCTCCTCGTCGTCCTGGACATATTACCAGGTCGGTCTGAGCCATGTGAGTTCGTGGGCCTTTTATAGAGAAGAAGATATGGAGAAGATATCCCGGTTACATTGACTGTTTCGTTACGCCCAGGTCGACTCCAAGGCTAAGACTGCTCAGCAGAATAAGCTTGTACACGGCCAACAGATTGTCGAATTGAGGAAGTGGTGTATCTGACAGCCATGCTTGTACACTTATTCCAGACTGAGAAACTGATCTCAACTCCATCCAGCCGGGCGGAGTTGGCAATTACTTCTACATCATCGACGAGGATACAGTCGACCACCGGGAGAGTGGTCGAGATGTCCCGGAGCAGGAGCGGCGATGACGGAGGAGTCGAGACACAGAGGCACTACAGCAAAATTAGCATCCCGCCCAGGGAAACACGGCGATAGTAACGGCAAACCGCCAACGCAGCACTCACAGATGGCCGAGTCATATGGTAGAAGGCAGGGGACAGAGCCTAGAGTGCGGCGAGACAGGGAACCCGACGAGAAACGCCGAGAAACTGCGCGACGTGGCCAGAGAGCTCCTGGCGGCGCCACGAGTGATGCAAAGGGACTCGAGGGGCGACGTATAGACCGGCTGTAACGGGGGCGGCGGTGCAGAGGGGTTTTCACCATACAACCATCCATAGAGCAACTGTGTCGTCGCCAAGTCTGTATCAGTGTTGTCAGGACCAGCCTTGTCGAGGTTTGCAGGCTATGCATTTGCCATTCCTCTGGCCTGGCAGATCTCCGGGTCGTGGAGGTGTCGCTGACAGGTCTCTGCATAAGAACTTAGGCGGCCAGGTTCGCCTCCCTTAGGTTGTCTAGGCCAGGGCGTTCGTTCTTCCAGACCCGGTAGGTACCTTAGATTGTGATTCAGTGCCGGTCTGTTGTGTGGCCGGGCGCCGAAGCCGCGCCCTCGCCCCGCGACAACGCCCGTTGGAGTGCTCGATTGCCTCTTGTTTGCGCCCTCGCGCCCTGTGACAAAGCCGGGTCTTAGGCCTACTTGGGCCACCTTCCTAGCCCTTCTTATGGCTTCGGCTTCCGCTGCCTTTTCCCTCCTTCCTTCATTCTTCCCTCCTTCACCATCAATGCCTCCGCCGCCGCCGCCGCGGCTGCCACGTATGTTGCTCTCTGCACCTCCCACCTATTCCTCCGCTGTGGTGTCGCAGGCATATCGCTAAGCCCATCATACAGTCTCCTGGTCGTTCCAACCGGTATCCCGATCTCTCTGCATGTCGGGGTTCTCCCGCTGCTTTCCGCCTCTTACCCAGGCCATCTGTAAGTACTGCCCTGCATTAGATCTCCAGCATGACTAAGACACCTCAGGAATATACTAATTCAGATACAGCATCTCTATACCTTGCCTTTTCCGGTCCTCGCCTCCTGCAACAATTATCTATTCGTCTGGACTCCCAGTTGTCTCCGTGTCGTCTTTGCCGTCGCCAGGGCCGAACTCATCGGAGTCGGAGTCAGAGGCACCATCATCAGGTTCAGAGATAATGAAAGATATCTCTGGAGTCATCAAGCAAGAGCTCCTCGACGTTGAACACTTGGTGTGGGTTATAATGGTCTCAAAGGCAGTCCAGGAATCTGTTCTCCACATACAGCATCCTCACTGCCTTGTGGTAGATTGTCTGCAGTACCGTGCGCGGCTCACTTATTATGCAAATCGCCTCGGCGCGGTTCGGACCTGAGATGGCTACGCATGCAGCTTCAACTTTTCTATCCTCTGGCGGGCTTGGTCAGAGTGTCGTCAACGGCGTTGTGTCGACTACTTCGCCCTCTTCTTCGCCCTCTTCTTCGCCAAATGTTTCTGACTCGACTCTGTCCAACAGCGCGCCTGCATCACATCCAGCTTCAAGCGGCTCCCGTCTTTCGGCACCACCCGTGACAGCACCGACGGCTGTGTCGTCACCGTATATACACCTTGCGTATGTTCAACATACAGCACGCCTGTTGGTATAAAGCAGAGTGGATATTTAATTAAACTCAGCCGAATATGCTTGACGTTCTATAAGAGCACATGCTCTAGATACCACTTAATAATTTTATCCAGAGTCGAACCGTCGCCAACCTTAGCAGCATATCGGCAGTATACGTCAGCACTGGAAGCTGAAAAGCCTCAAGACAGTACACCCAATGGAACAGGTAGGAGAGCTCGGTCCTAGGATCGGGGCGCCTGTCCTGCTTTGGATTCTCAGGATACTGAGTTTACCTCTGAACCATTCGCCGTGTCTACTTCAACCTGCTGCAAATACCCGTTAAAATGTGCGCTGGCTGTATTCATTCAATACCAGACGAGCTGTCGTTGCAGCATATGTCGGCTGCCATCTCTTGTCAGGACGAACAGTCACATAGCTTTAGCACCAATCCCCGGAAATGCACCCGCCAATAGGGCCCCAACTACACGCCATCCCTTAAGTATAACTCCAGCGACCCGGCCATCTTCTCAAGTGACAATGACCTGGCTCGGGACAATTATATACGGGGTCAGCACAAGAAACAGTACGTTGGGTTATGGTTTGAACAGCTTCCCACGTCTTCAGACTCAACCTTTGGGGAATCTATCCAAGTCCCCGAGCAGCGGCGGCAATGGACACGACAGCTCGACAGTGGTATTTTCCTGTGCAGTGACGGCAATGAGAGCGATTATATGATGGACCAGCTGGAAATTCCCGAAAACCGAGATTGCCGCAGCTCGATCGTCCTGCTGTGCGCCGGATCTCAAAGCCGAGCAAATCCGTATCTACCATGTCCACTACGAGTGAACCGCAGCACTTACGAGAGATGCGGGCACTTGCCTCCAACGACTGAGAAAATTCAGTATTTATAGTCTCTCCGGGGAGCGAGTCGGCTACCCTATCCAGCGACGAAAATTAAAGTCGACGCCACTCGCACCAACGCTGGCTCCGGGAATGATGAGGGGCAGCAGTGACGGAAGCGGGGGCTCACAGTGATCAGCGTCACCGAGCAACATCCAACTGCAATTCGAGTGGAAATTATATGGCAACTGTCACGCCTGACTTAACGATTCACATTCTAGACAACTTGCTTTCGCATCACTACAAGAGGACCACAATTCGAAAGCTACATCCATCGCAACTAGATAGTCCGAGTCTTGGATCAGCGGCCCGATTTCCCAATACACAGTACATTTAGATATTGATAGGTAAAAGGCGGCAAACAACAATAAAAGTCTGGCCAAATAGAGCCATCAACGCTTTCTATACAGTCGCTCATAACTCAGTCTTTACTCGATGACCACAAGACAAACGTATCCGCTTAGAGAGGATGTTCTCCACTCGGGAGGTATCTCGCCGCGGGCCCTATTCGCAGCCGCTACGGCGTCCATTAGGGTTCTGCTCTTTGTATCTGGGGGCGCCATTGCGGGTTCGGACTGCAACTTCGCGTTCGATTCGCCTCCGGGTCGACCGCTGGCTGGAGCCGGTAGGCGTCGGGGTCAGGTTTCGGGCAGCAATAGACGCATAAGAGGGTCGGGATGTGTCACTGGCGGCAGCAGGCGCCGCGGCGAGGGGAGTTGCAACGGCTGTTGTACCTGCTTCAGTGGTTTTCGCGGTCATCCGCTCCTCCGCGGTGGAGGTCGCGGTGGAGGTCGCAGTGGCGGCGCGGGTGCACGTCTCGCGCGCGTCGGCGAAGATCTGGACCGTAGTCCAGACTCGTTCAAGGAGGTTGGAGGGGATGATTCCGGCGACGGCTTCGTATGCTTCCTTTTCGATGTCGTTGGCTGGCACAAAGATCGCAGCCTTCGCGGGTTCGGCACTGGCCCGAGGTGCAAGCTGACTGGCATTCGCGAGGGGATTGTGCTGATTGAGGCACTGGAGTTCAGTAGCATCAGGGCTAACCTGACGTGCTAGCTACTACCTAAAGAAACTGCCCCTTCCAGGTCATTTGACGGGCATACTTTTTCCCTTCTGAAATTTAGAGCTTTTGAGACGCAGTCTGTCTTATATTATGCCCCTAGTCCAGCCGTTACAGCAGCTCTTATTACTCACTTAATATTCATTGTTATCCATTACGTTCCAGAGCACTCAATCAAGTGCTTCCGACCTTTATTTAAGCTAAATCCTCAGCGGCCTCACTTAACAGCTCTTCTTTCAGCTCGGACTGTAGGGTAACTCAGACTCTCTCTGTCTTTGGTTCTGTCCGCACTAAGTGCGTCTCCCACCAACAACCTATATATTTCTATTGAAAGATGATCAGCAAATTGAAGAAAGTGTTGCTCACACCTCCCATTTACCTCTATTTCCATTCCTCTTATCCTCTACGCTGCTTCGGCAGTCGCTTTACTCTCTCGCTCACTCCGACATCCCTCCATCTCTCTATCGTGCCTTATTCCTTCTTCTGTCTATATCCTCTCCGTCAATATCTTTATTTTCCTTCTTTCTTCTTGATTTTTTTTCAAGCTGTCCTGTGCCCTATCCATCTATTTTACCCCAATCCAACTGACTCCTATATAGAGCCAAGTATATTCGTAATAGATATAACGATAGAGTCGTAACCTCCCCAGCGAAACGTCAAAGGCGTTTTAAACCGCTGAACCCCAAGCCAGCTAAATGTCCCTCCGCTTCAACTTATCTACTTACTGCTCTTAAGAGACTGTCCATTGAATCCGATACATTTGACCGGGTACTGGATGAGGTTGAACTTTTTGCCAATAAGGAGAAGACTGTGGAATAAGCCTATGATTTTTGTGGAGCTTTTCTTAATGCTTAAATCCGCATTGTAGGGCATTCAAGATGACTAGAATGATGCATTTGTATCGGGATAGGATATTATTTCAAATCGGCTTGCAGAGTCCGGTATGTATCCCTCAAGTCCTGTATTGTGGTGTAGGGTAGGCAGGGGTGTGTGTGGAAAGGTCGTTCACAAAGGTCATTTACAACAAGATGCCAGTGGTGGTATTCAGCAGTAGCTAGCAGTACAGCCCCCTATAAATACAGTGGTCGTATTCCCGGCCCCGCCCAGGGCTTGCTACTCTTATGGGTCAGGTCTTGGCCCCAAGTGGGTTCAAGAGCGTGGGTGTCAAACGGAGGGACCCAGTCCGGCAGGATGACTAAGGAAGCGGGGGTCTCGGAGACCGTAGATGAGGGAAATCCCGCACCAGTCAAGATGATCAACAACACAGTCAATCCATCAGTCATATATTAAGGTCGTAATTATCATCAATTCAATCAGGCTATTTTGGCCCCATCTGATCGTACATTTCCCTGTGCCAAGAGCCCCCAACTCAGACCGTCAGACCTCACTTACGGGATCACGAGATCTGACAATTAAGAGTCTCATTGCCTCTATCGACCACGAATAACGAAGAAACCCTACGAAGAAAAATCCCAATAAAATCGAGCGATTCCGAACGAGACGAACATTTCAATCTCTATCAACTTCAGAGACCGCGAGTTTATCCTGACCGGATCTGTCAATTGGCAGAGATGGAAGGAACTGTTCATCTCGAAGGCAAAAGCCCTGCTCCTTTGGGATCAAATCAACCCCGATAATCCCGATCCACCGGCATTTCTGAGCAAGCCGGCGAGACCGATCCTAGGACTGATGCCCTCAGGGGTGCAGACCCGGGAGGGGGCAGCAACGGCTGCCCTGACGAGCTCAGAACACGATAAAATGCTCCTCCGCAACCACACCCTAGATAAGGACGAATTCGACCAGGAAATCAAGAATATTGCCCTACTGAGGGACTGGGTTGAAGTCACGGTCGAGACCAAGACTAGGGAGGAAAATTGCGACTCAGATAAAGACCTTAGGACCTGGTATCTCAACCTCTCGAAGCTGTTGGGCAAGATCTTTATCTAGCCGGTAGCACAGCTACAATGGCATGGAATGAGTTCTTCCACGCAACAGCTAGAGTTCCTGAGGATCCTGTGGCTTGGGTTGGCAATTTTGAGAGCGTTATGCATGATGCTACGACCCTGGACCTCCCCCTAGCGAAGGAAGTCATCCTCTGGTATCTCCCACTGCAGAAGCTGACCGAGCCCTTCCTTGGGCAAAAGCTCGATATCTGGAAGGCAGAATTTGCTGCTGCTATCAAGAACAACACCCTGTCCTATCGAGAAATCGCAAGCCGGATCCGACTAGAGATGACGAGCTTGTCCTACCTTCGAAAGGGGTCCCGTGGGGTCAAAAGAGGAGGCGCATTTCATGCCGGTGAGGGAAGCTCGGATGAGCCCTCTCTTGACGGCGAGGCTGCCGACCCTTTGCCCTCGAAGAAGAAGAAGAGGAAGACGAGGAAGCCCAAGTCTAAGGAGGATAAGGAACCAGAGAAGTCAGCCTCCTCGAGCAAGACCTGCTCAGCTTGTGGTCAATTTCACCCGCTGTCACAATGTTTTTACATCTCTAAGAACAAGGTGCCGGCGTGGTTTCATGAGAATCCGGCCACGAGGAAGACGGTAGACCAGAACCTTGCCTCTGACGCCTCCTTACGAGATAAGGTCAAGAGATTGAAGTCACAGGTAGAGGAAGGTCCCTCAAGTGATTGACTCCAAAGGCCGGTCGGGACAGCCCCAGCTGCCCTTCTTGCCACAGAAAAGGCGGCCTTCTGGGCTGCCCTCGTGGCGGCGGAAAAGGCAGCATTTTCAGGCTCCTCGTACCCGCTGAGGAAGTCAACGATCCTTGACTCTGGAACCACTTTGCATATCTTCAACGATAAGGCACGATTTACCGACCTCATCAAGGCCGGCCCTTCTGACTTCATTACGCCGGAACGCAGAAGATCCCGGTCATCGCCTACGGTAACGTGACCGTTAGGCCGACCTCAACACCGCACAAGAAAGGAAGGTGGCTCTACCTCCGAGATGTGGCCTACTGCAAGGACTTTGCCTGCAATGTGGTCTCGCTACGGAGGCTGAGGAGGCATGGGATCTGGTGGGACCAGAGCCCAGGAAATAACGCCCTTCGAGACCATCACAACCGGGTTATCGGTAACCTCATCGATCGCTACGACCAGTACGTCCTCGAGGACGTTGATCCCGACACAACCTCGCAAGGCTACGCCTTCCACGCCCGATCACATCACGAGAAATTGAGCAAGGCAACTGCGGCCCGGTGGCATCTTCGACTTGGTCATCCGGGGCCGGAAGCTCTGAACCGGCTAGTCAACAGCTCTACGGGCACGAGGATAAAAGGCCCAACTACGATTGAGTGCGAAGACTGTGCAATGACGAAGATAACAAGCCAAGTCTCACGAGCCCCAAGATCACGTGATGAAGGGCCCGGCCTCCGGCTAGCCGTTGACTTCACCCACCTTATCGAGGATGCCGAGGGCTTTGACAGCCTGATGCTATTCACCGATCGCTGGTCAGGGTATACTTGGGAATTTTACCTCCAAAATCGGACTGCCAAGAATCTCATTACTGCCTTCATGATGATCCTGACCTCCTTCGAACGGCTGTATCAGAAAAGCCACGAGTCTTTGAGTGTGATAACGAGATCACCCTAGTGAAGAGGGCAGTTGGCCAGATGCTTGAGAATAAGGGCATTTCGATCGAGCCCTCAGCACCTGAGACCCAGGCTCAAAATGGGGGCGCGGAGAGATCTGGGGGGGTGATAGAGACCAAATCCCGTTCAATGAGGTAGGGAGCCCACCTTCCTGAGGATCTTTGGCGTGAGATCTACAGTGCAGCGATATATCTTCACAACCGCGTTCCAAGATACACCTTCAACTGGAAGTCGCCATACGATCGCTTTCACACCTACCTTGCCCACCGTGACGGCATCGTTGTCAAGGAACGGAAGCCGAAGCTAGGGCATCTCTATGCCTACGGATGCAAAGCCTACGCTATGACAACAGCAGCGCAAAAGAAATCTCAACGCCTGCACAAGCTAGATCCAAAGGCATTCATTGGATATCTCGTTGGATACGAATCTACAAACATCTATCGGATCTGGAACCCTATGCTGAACAAGGTTATCTAAACTAGGGATGTCATCTTCAATGAGGAAGAGATATTCCCAGGAAGCCTAGAGGAGCTAAAGGATGACTTTCTCCGTGTCAAGAAGGCGGAAATTGCTTCCCTTCTTGATGAGATCGAAGAAAAATAAGTCCAGCTGGAACGAACTTGGGATGATGGTGATGATCCTAGGGCTTCCCTCTATGAGGACGACGATGCTTACGCCGCTGACGATCTCGGCTACGGTCGTGACGTTATGGAGGAAGAACAGGATATCGGAGTAAAGGACGGTGCCGATGACGGCCCTGAGACTCTGTATCTGACTCCACAAGAGTCACCGTTGGCAGCGTTATTAGCAAAGACGATCACAGAGGTAGAAACCTCAGGAAGGCCGTCCCCGGGGAGTGAAGATCTCACTCACGTGACAGAGGGAGAGTCCTTTTGGCAGGCTGCCTTTGCAGCCGGCGGCCTAGGGGCTCCGTTAGGAACACATCAAGGGAAAGTCATCAGCCGGGCTAACCTGCATCGTATGCTACGGCAGGGACCGAGACGACCTGATCAGACCGATCGTCTTCACCAGAGGGACCTCCCCTTGCCCCCTCGTCATCACGGCGAGCTAGGAAGGCACCCACTTGGGGAGCTTTTCAGGAAGGCAGAAGAAACACATCTCCAGAGTCACAAGGAGATGGGGTCTTGGATTGAGGGTCCTAAGGAACAGGCAGCTACGGCACAGATCCTCGACTGTATGTGGGTTTATACTTACAAATTGGATAGGCACGGCTTCTTCTTGAAGTGCAAAGCTAGGCTTGTCGTCCGCGGCGATCAGCAGGATGTGATATCCGAAGAAACCTACGCCTCGACCCTAGCTGCAAGGTCATTCAGAACCCTCATCGCCATCGCAGCTCGCTTCGATCTTGAGCTCGTCCAGTATGACGCCGTCAACGCCTTCGTCAATGCCCCGTTGGAAAGGAAGATCTTCATGAAGCCCCCACCGGGGTCAAGAAATCCGGGCAAAATCCTGCTCGTGAGCAAGGCCCTCTATGGCCTCAGGGAGTCACCTCTCTTGTGGCAGAAGGAGCTGAGCGGCACACTGGAAGGACTAGGCTTCAAAGTGGTCCCTCACGAGCCCTGTTGTATGATAAGGGACAGGATTATCATCTTCTATTATGTTGATGACATCGTCCTAGCGTTCCGGAAGCATTTTGCTGAGGACGTCACCAAGCTGATGCACAAGCTGCAGTCACATTACATGATGACCGGCGGGCACGAGCTGCAGTGGTTCCTAGGGATTGCGGTCCTTCGTGACCGGGAGAAAAGACTGATATGGTTATCCCAATCTGAGTATGCCCTCAAGATCGCTAATCTGGTGACTGTCCTAGACGCCGGAAGTGAAGCCCGTACCCCGATGACAACGGCCAAGCTACAGCCCAACGAGGGCAGGGCCATGATAGCTGAGATACGAAGCTACCAACGCAAAATCGGCTCGATCCTGTACATCGCCGTGATCACGAGACCAGACGTTGCCTTCGCAGTCTCACAGCTAGCCCGTTACAACCAGAACCCGAGCCTGAAGCATCACAAAGCTGCCGACCGAACCCTCCTTTACCTCAAAGCTAGTCACGGCCTCGCCCTTCAACTCGGCGGCGGGGATGATTTCGATGTGGCTAGCGATGCCTCCTTTGCCGAAAACCTCCCTGACCGGAAGAGCTCGCAAGCCTACGTTATGAAGCTATTCGGTGGGGTCATCGGCTGGAGGGCAAATAAGCAGGCCACAGTCACGACTTCAACCACCGAGGCAGAGTTACTTGCCCTGTCACAAGCTGCTAAGGAAGGCATGTTCCTCAACCGGCTGCTCAAGGAGCTAGGTCTTGACCTCAAGACCGCTGGGGGCATACGAATTCAGTGTGACAACCAGCAGACTATCAAGCTTGTGACCAAGCAGCTCAATCAGCTCAACACACGACTACGGCATGTTGATATTCACAATCACTGGCTGCGTCAGGAGGCAGGAAAAGGGACGATCTCTGTGCATTACACACCCACAGGGAAGATGCTAGCAGACGGGCTTACGAAGGCCCTCACGAGCACGGCATTTGACGCCTTTGTGCAGCAGCTAGGACTTGTGGATGTGACGGATAAGCTCAAAGAAAAGCGTGAGCTTGATGACATGACGGATACGGTATCCCGGCTCCAGTCAGGCCTTGAAGACCTTAAGTTGGTCTCTTTATAGGCCTAAGGGTATAAGGAAATCAGCAACCACGAGCATCACAGGAAGCTCAGGGCCCTTCCCTAACTAACCGCTGAGGCAGACCTTCTGCCTCAGCGGTCTGTTAGGCAGGGGCCCAGAGCTTCCTGTAACCCTTTTGCCAAAAGCCGCCAGTTCGAACCTTCAGTTTCTATTCTTTTTGCCGGTCCTTACAACCTTATGATATTAGAAAGTAGAGGCAGATAGGGGCTGCAGTCAAAGCTGCGATGGCTTCAACTGGGGGGGTGTGTCAGACGGAGGGACCCGGTCCGGCTAGCCTGACTAAGGAAGCGGGGGTCTCGGAGACCGTAGATGAGGGAAATCCCTCGCCGGTCGAGATGATCAACAACACAGTCAATCAATCAGTCATAACGACGTTATTAAGGTCGTAATTATCATCAATTCAATCAGGCTATTTTGGCCTCATCTGATCGTACATTTCCCTGTGCCAAAAGCCCCCAACTCAGACCGTCAGACCCCACTTACGGGATCACGAGATCTGACAGTGGGGTGTATAATGTGATCAGGACGTCAGGTGTGAGTAATGTGGGTCAAGGGTCTGGTAATATGTCAAAGGTGTTTGATATAATTGTGCCGATAACTAGTTGGTGGGCCATCGGTCTATGGGGATGCTAAATGAATATATGTATATAATCGCGTTGGATCATGGAGTCTGGGATCGTGGAGTCTGGGATCGCAGCGATCCTGGAAGTTGCGATCCTTCGCTGATTGGTCACAGCGTTAAGACTACCTACCTAGGTACCTATGATTAAATACAATAGGCCCACTTTTAGTAGCATACCCAAATCTTGCTGACAAATCTCCCTAGACTCTACGAGCCTGCTGTCACGGTCCATTTTGGGGGCGAGGGCAGGCGGTGACTGGCAGATTCATAACGTACCCACTTTTCGCACCGGGGCATAGTCTTGTCGCGAACTTACGTAATATGTTACAGCTCGGCTGGATATGCCACAAAACTCGACGAACCATGGAATGATCACCTAGATCACTTCGTGAACATCGTGATCCAGGATCAGGAGGATCATCCCAGTAGTTCTTACTAGACAGCTGATATACAGTCGCCTGAGGAGTGGACCTCTGTCAGGCACAGCTCCTCAGCTATCATACAACTTGGTTACCTAGCTCACTGCATCGGCCACATGTCACCAGACGTAACATTCACTCGACTGTCGGAGCTGCACACAGGGGGCATTGTGACAGGCAATCGGGAACCTTTAGGCTAGCCGGTCGCTAGCTGGGATTTAACAAGGCGTTAGATTGGGCATAACCCCAAATAAGCCGATGAGGCGCTACATAAGTGGCGAGCTGCATTTTTGGCCTAACGGTCAAAATCCAGCACAAGGGATAAATAGGGGTGGAATCGGCACACGGATAAGGGAATTATCGGCGGATCATTCCTGGATCTTTTTCTTTTTTTTAGTTAGAAATAGAAGTCTCGAAGACCTCATCGTTATAATTTTAAGAGACTTTTTGCCGTCATCTTTGAGCGACTTTTGCCAGCCATTTGAGACAGCCCTCATGATCCTTGTCCGACTTCGGTCTTCGACGTCGTCAATTGGCAGTCTGCCGCGGGCAACCCAGATGCCTTACCACTATCTTTCCCTGCGGCAAACTCAATAAAGCTTCTGATTAGATGCTTCAGCGGCGGAAAGGGACGAGACTAACACCCAGCTCGACAACCTCACTATAGGAGGAATGCACAAAAAAAGCGTCGCACGGGCGTTTTGCGAGGTCAGCCCGAAGCTGCACCAAACTATGCGTATGTGGTCAGAGAGATCCGCAATACAGTCCTATCCATAGAGAAGCATCTCATCAGATGGTGTATCGACCTTACTGCAGCCAAAGACAATGACAAGGCATCAATTGGTCCTGCAGTAGGGTCGCATTCTGGTGAGGCTGGAGACGGAGGTCGGACAGGAATTGGGAGTCGGGTAGAATAACCTCATAAAAATCCTCTAAAATAAAAAGGCAAAAGTCCTCATTAACCCCCTAAGAAAAAAGTCGTTGGGACCTCTCTCCCTCTGACCTTGAAGTCTGTCACTCTCTAAAGAAAAAGAAAAATCCGATGATAATCCCTTGAAGCTGCCTGCAGCTCCCCCTACTTATCCCTATTAGCGACCAACTAGCCCAAAGGTCACAACCCAACCGCCAAATGCTTCTCGATCAAGGGGACCAGGTCACAGATATGTCACGCCACAAACCCGTAGTCTGATGCGTGTTCGGGTCGGCCAAGCAAGACGCCTGTGCGACGCTTTTCTGTGCATCCCTCTAAAAGAAGCTGTTGAGTTGGGTGTTAGCTATCAACCATTTCCACCTATAGTGTCGCAGGCATATCGCTGAACCCATGATGCAGTCAAGGCTATCCGCAAACCCCGAAAGTCTCGCGACTCCAATATCCAACCCATCCAACGAAAGCGCAAAATCGCTCTCGCCACCGACACCGACACTGATGTACCCTCAGATTCGAAGAACCTCGCCGCCATTGCCTCGCGTCAGCCATGTGTCTCGGACGTCTCCAACATGACCGCCTCATCACTCGCCGAACCGCAGCAGCAGCAGCAGCAGCATCCCCATCAGCCCGATCAGCGCTACTCTCCCAAGATTCCCAAATGCGAACACTATCCGGGGTTGATGCGAAATATATTGAACTCCAACTCTCCTCAGCAGCAGCCCCAGCCTCCACCCTCCCCATCGTCCCCGTCGTGCAACCAGTCAGTTACGTGCGCCAAGCTCAAGTGCTAAGAGTTCATCGTCCTCCCCCGCCTCCTCTTCATCTTCGGCCGCTTCTTCGTCTCCAGTGCGTGTTCTGAGCCGGAGACCTGGCGGGTTTTATTCGGATGAGGCGAATCGGAATCAGAAGGGGTCTTTATATTGTAAAGCTGTCTGGATCCGACAGGTTACTGAGGGTTTAATTTAACCAGCGCAAAGCGGTAGCCTTGAGGGCGTCTTGAGCCCGAGCGGATACGTCAGTCAACTGAGGGTCGAGAGCAGCGAAACCGTCGGAGACGGCATGGCGGATGTCGGACAGGGCCATAAGCACAGCCGGAACGAGGCTACCCCCCAGACGAGGGCGAGGCGGGCCCGACAGGTTGTTCCCCAAACAAGCCAGGGACGAAGGTGCTGGAGGTCTAGGACGAGTGGCCGGCAGAGGAGCGCACGGGGGTCGAGGTAGTACCGACGCGAGCACGAGTCTGAGAACCAGCGCCAAACCCGATCGCCCGAAGCCCACTGGACCAAGCAGCAGAGAGCGGCCTTGGTAGAGACAGTTTCCTAGATGGGGATCAGCACGAACTCGAGGCGAGGAACAGTCGACCTACAGCAGAAGTGGGGTCGGCGTCGTGAGCTGCTTCAGCAGCTTGGCGCCGGGCAACGGCACGGGACTTCATCGGTCAGATATCGCCACGAGGCCAAGGCGATAGACCACTTACGCTTCATTGAGGATCGAAGCATCGTACTGAGGGGGTGGGACGACACGGGATCGCTTGCGGGGGGTGGCGCTTCCAGACGACCTCTGGGCGTGATCAGGCCGAGGCCAAGGCTATGCACAGGTGAAAGGGGGAGGGGGAACAAGACTCGAGGTCGAGGCGAGACTTGCCTTGGTGGTGGTGGTGGTGAGGAGGGAAGGAAAAGAAAGGGTCGGGGTAACCAAATCCTTAAATAGGATTTCCAGCATCCCCAAAAACTTAGATGACATTCCGGTCAAGAAGGAAGACCAGGAGAAGCAGATATATAAATGGCATGCGGAACTCGGTGTGCTAACAAATAAGGAGCTGATGTCCTAATGTCAGCCAGTTCCAGGTCCTAATTTACCAGTGATTCCTGGCATCGTGAGGTGCACACAGTGATCCGAGTGATCCACGCAGGAACTACCTAGGTAGGTAGTTATAGATAAGACCATGGGGTGATGAGAAAAGTGGATATGTCATGGTTCTGCCGGTTGACAGCTTTGTTCTTACAGGCCTGCGTTTGAAGGCCCGGCCCGGGTGTTCTTCCGGCTGCGGCTTTATGCTGTGGTGGCCGCCACCCCCACCTGGGTTGTGGCTTGTCCCGGCTGTGGTTGTGGCTTGCGGTCGTCGGCGGGGTCACGGAGTCGACGGGGTCACGGAGTCGGCGCCGACGGGGTCCCACAATCGGCGCGGCCGGGCACACCCGGGGCGGCTCGATCGCGGGCGCTTGTACCCACTGCAATTGCGTATCTGGTCAACAGTATCCTCTGCAGCAGACTGCCCCCCTTTCCGGCCCTCGTTGCGGCGGCTAAATGCGCGCGGACTGGTGGGGCCTGTATTCCTCTCCCCAACCTGGCCCCGGCTGTGAGGCGCCCGCCACCCAGCGTCCCATTTCACCTTAACATCATAAATGAATCAAGGCCGGGAAATAACTCTACCGATCCCGGCCGCCGCACTAACTTCTTGTTCAAGTTTCCCTCGCCTTGTTTTCTCTTCCTTCCTTTCTCTTCCTTCCTGCATCCTCCTGATGGATCGCCAGACATCAATCAAGCCGTCACCAATCTCTCCTCTTTGTGCGCACGTGCGCCACCGACACAGACCATACGCTCTGTCCATCTCCGACGTAGGTTTGTTCCTCTTTCTTTCCTGTCGTGCTCATCTTCTCAGCAGGTCCCCCAACCCTGCCACTCATATCCCTCGGGGCTAACCATGATCGTTGGAACAGACTCGACCATTCAAACCGTGCCAAAGCCTACTCCACGCCGACGAAAGTTTGTTCTTCTTTCTTCCCCGCTGTAGTCATTTTCTCGGCATGCCCTGTTGGGATGCCACTTGTGTCATTAGAGGCTAACTATGATCCCTCGAACAGATTCGGTCAGTCCACCGACACAGACATGGCCGACATAACCGTGGAGGAAGCTGTGCTTCGCTTGCCCGCAGAGCTAAGGCTACGTATTTTTATATTCCAGGCAGAAGAGCCAGCCATTATCTTCGACGACCGACCGCACGGCGTGATCGATGCCAGAGGCCCAGAGTTCATCAAGCTGTAGGAAGCGATGCATCCCTGGCCTGCAAATGTCCTCTGCAAGGTGCGGCTTGCAAATGTCCTCTGCAAGATGCGTCCGTGGGTCGTGGGCCGTAGGATCAGACAGCGATGCGGCCAGAATTTGGTCTTATCGGTCGTGAAAACCCGGTTTTGTCCCCACCGTGACACACTTGGTGTGTCTCGCCTGGAGCTACCCAAGCTCCTGGTAGAACATTCGCTTCCGGACGTCGAGGCCCTGCCCGCCGAGCAGACTATGTACCCAGTCAAACACATACTGACGTGGGAGTCAAGCTTCGGGCTCCGTGGCGACGACGAAACCGACGACGAAACCGACGACGAAACCGACGACGAAACCGACGATACACCAGCGTTCGATCGGGTTTACGGTCAGCTGTTTCGCCATGCGGATCTGGATTCACCCCTGAACCTGTCGATGTTCCCACTCATCGAGGATGTTACCTTTGCTTTCGAACGCCTCCATCCATCACTGTTCGTACCCGGATCGGGTTCTCATGCCCTAGCTGGCGGGGACTGCGAGCTTGCCTGCAGGATCGACACAGACGGCGCTGTCATGGGTGTCTGGTTTCGCCGGACTTCACGAGATCGCTTCCGAGATGTACACCGGGCGCTAATGGAGCCGAACGGCAGGTCGGTTCGAGTCCCCTCGGATATGATCGCGCGCCTCACCATCCTTCGCACCGACCAAGAACTCCAAGACACCCTGACTATACGGCCTGGCCTGTGTGAGTGGGTACGTCTTACTGACAGCTACTCCGGTGAGAATTTGGAGGAAGAAGGACGTCGGATGTCACGTATGCGCGCTACTTGGCATCGACTGCGAGAGGGAATCAACGAGGCGTGGATAAAGCCTATTCATCAGCTCAAGGTGGATGAATTTACCTTCCTGTACCACTCCCGGCACAATACCGGTCCGGCCAAGGAGGATGGGCTGTGGGTGAGTGAAAGATAAATTAGACTGTAGTGGAGAGCGCGGGGGAGGGAGAGTGGCTACTGGCTGTACTTACTGAGGCTGCTTTGGGAGGGAGCCTATGAGTGTCTAATAGAACACTGGGAGAGAATAATGAGGCTGTATGCATACGGAAATAGATCTCTGCTATCTTTTTTTTTTTCATAGTGTTTTCTTATATTCAGTCTGCTGAAGTTGGAGACTGCAAACTAAGGTATGTAATAAATACAAAAACTTTCCATAATATAGTAGCTTGTACCTTATAAGGCCCTGGATATAGCTACATTGACAGCTGTATCCTTATTGTATTCTACTGCTAGCGATCTTTATTAAGACTTGTGACTGTTATGCCTCTCGGGTTATCCAGTTATATACCTCCCCCATGATCGGATGATCGTCCTCAATCAGGCCAGAGTCACGCACATCATGACCACTTCTCCATTCCAGATTCCGGCCAAATAAATATCACACTCAGTAGAGAATCATATCATCAAACGCTTACATAGGCGAATTCTTCCTCACGATAAAGATCCTCCCCTCAATGAGCCTCCCCATTCACGAATTCTTCCTTCTGTTGAACAAGGTAAAACGGTCAACCATTACTTTCGGGCCTCACGCCGGCGGTATCTCTCATCCCGGCTGATCTTTGCAATAGATGGGGGAATGACGTCGCTATAAGCAGCGTCGACAATGTTGTCCCACTGGGAAATAGAGACCAGTCCCTCAGGAATGTAGGTTGCGCAGGTCTCTGACTTGGGCAAGAACAGCGTAGGTCGGTTGACGATACGAGGAAGGCCCATAGGGTCAGTGTCTATATTCATCTTCTTCGCACCGCTACCGATAGCGACACATCGCTCCTGGTAGACCCTCCCGGTGCGCCCTTCATCGAAACATTAATTTCAGCTGGTTGGCTCTGGATAGGGCTCTGGATCAGAGTCTTGGGCGGTGTCATAGGCGAAGGTTTGGGTGATGGCTTGGGGGAGGTCTCGATGCTTTTGACCCCTTCCACTAGGCTAGCCATCGTCTCATGCTTCGACACCAATATACCCTTGAAGGACCCATCGGCAGATTTAGCGGACTTGACGACGGAGGGTGTTTTCTTAGCCGTGAGTGCAGGCTCGGGCGACCCTTTCGCTGAAACCGTCATGCTCAAAGAGATAACACTTCCTCCATTACATGCAGGTAGCTTAGGAAGCCCGGTGCGGATCTCAAACCCCTCTTGGTGAATACCTCGGCAAGGCTGTCGGATAGGGTGAACTTGATCATGCTGGTATCAGATTGGAATATCGTAGTTCGTCGAAAATCAAGGCCAAAAGGAGAGGCAGGGTGTGAGATAAGTCGGTAGCAATCAGGGAGCTTCTTCAACCCAACACCTAACCACCTAACAGTAGGAAATCCGCCGTAGTTGGTGAAAAGGTCAGAAGATCTAAGCTCCTGGCTGGTAGGCATAGTTTGATGACGGGTATCCGGGGATTGGGCGACTTCCCGGACGTCACCACCATCGTCGGTGTATGACGAGTCCTTGATGCCGACCTCCTCCATGATTGCGCATCCGATGAAGCTTTTGACTCGATCCATGTCCAAATCCACAGGATCCTCAGGTTCCTTCTTCTTCTTGGACTTCTTCTTGGGCTCCTGCTTGGGCTCCGGTCCAAGCTTCCAGTCTCGAAATCGTAGGGCAAAGGCGGCTTCCTGTGGTTTATCTTCCCTGTTGTCGAAGACCAACTCCTTCAGAGTCATCGATCCAGTCGTCATAGAAACCAGTTGAGTTCTAAAATACTATACAGGCTTAGCTTTAAGAGGATATTTTAATATAGGCATATCTTAATCTTAAGATTTTTTTATTAAATCTCGCGCTCTAGTTGTAATCCTCTTTTTCTTTCTTTCTTCCTTCCCCAGAGCCTTATAGTTAACCCCCACCCCTCTTCCTGCCGCGCCAGCAGCATTTCCGACCCGGGTTTGTGTCGCTAATCTATATATAACACCTAGAATTTTGTCTACATCTTGTTTGTAGTGCAGTCTTCTGACTTTCTGCAGCAAGCACATCAGCAGCCACAACAACGACGGTACGATCCCGCTGCGGCCCCGTTGTGGTTGCCCTCACTGACTTCCCGCTAGACGACGACGAAGACGACGACGACGATTCTGGTGACTCCGATATGGCTTCGTGTCGGGTCCGCTGCGGTCCTGTTGACTGACTGCCGGTAGGCAAAGAGAAAAAGGGCCGAGGAGGGCACCCCCGGGGGGTCTGGGCCGGAGCGCTCTACCCCCTGTTCCGCATGTGTCACGCGGATGTGCAAGGACGGCTTGGCTGGTCTCTGTAGAGACCATCTCAGTAAGTTTCCTATTCTCAAATTGGGGCAATAACAATATATAGATGCGGCGGCAGGTGGCTGCACGGCTTGTGTGTATATATAGAAGATGTATATTACCCTGGTGTTTGCTGCAGTCGCCGATGCCCAAGCATTGGTGGTTGCCCTCCAGTATGAAGATGGGGAGGCCGATGTAGGTCCATGCTGTTCCCGCCCCGGGCCCGTTGCTAATGCTGTCTAGAAGGCGGGCCTCCACGAGCTCAAGAACAAGGCCATAAGGGCCAAGAGTCAGGTGCACCAGGCATGTGTTCGTGCTACTCCTGCAGCTATTACTGCAGGATTATTGTCCAATTAACTTGCCAAGCTAGCCAGCAGAATTATTTATATTACTAAGGTACTTAAGTATCTTAAGGCTATTGCAGGGCTAATTTTATTTCTTCTAGCTTAATTTTTAACTTAAAAGACTGCAGCTAAAGTTAAGAAAGGAAAAAATAAAAAAATTAAATAAAGTGAGTTTAATAGGTTAGAAGATAGTAGGAATAGTATTAATAAATAGAATAAGTAATTAATATAAATTTAATAAAATAAAATTCTAGATATAATTATATATTCTTAAAAATTAAATAAAGACTGTAGGTAAACTGGTTTTTTCCTCTTATAGGGGGTTTTCAGAGTATGTTAAATACTCTCCACAAGAGGGCCCCAAAGTACTACACCTAGTGGTATCGGAAGCTTGTCGGCTCCGTATTGGTTCTGTTGCGGCAGGCGTCGTGGAGTCGTATTGTATTAGAGAAGTGTGGAATAAGTTGGAGCTATAGAAACCAGCGGGTGTATGTATTGTACTTGGTTTGGAGAGTTGGATACCTAGCGAGCTCACGTTGGTTCCGTGGCGGGTTCAAGAAAAATCCACGTTGCTCTGCATACAGCGGGCAGTAGAAGAAAATATAATTTGGGGTTTCATCCGCGTTCCCGCATCGGCAGCGTGGCGTGGTTACATCGGGGACGTGGCTGTCGAAGAGAAGGTTTCGTGGGCCCAGTCGTCCCGTATGTAGCTGGATAATAAGCATCGAGCTTTCATACTTCTCTAGCCTGTTGTGGAGACAGGTAACCTTGTTTCTTTCGAACAATGGGCTTGCCTCTGCCGGCTCGATCCCATTTCGGGTCAGCCGCTCGCGCGACGCGCACCAGGCTCGGTCCTATATTTTCAACCATTATCGATATGCTCTTTCCTGAATCTGGGCTCGTTCCGGCTGCCTGTTGCGGCCGGGCAGTCAGTCCTTATGCTCTTGCATCGGGCGGCGCCAAGGAGCCCTTCGTCTTTTCCGTCGGATCCACCACGTGGCCGCTGCGGCTGCGGCCCGTGCAAGGGCTCCCGTTCCCTGGCGCTCAAGACGGCTGTGGAATTTGGCAACACATTCGTTGAGGAAGACATCAAGCGGTGGTACACCCAACTCGCTTTCCATAAGTCTTGCTGGGGTAGCTTTATAGGCCCCCCGCCTACTACGAGTGGGGCCCGGGTCTGTTCCGCCGCGAGTGCTCTTGCGGGTCCCGTCATCGTCGGATTGTTCTGCTTTATCCAGTCTTCATAAATGATCTTGAAGACTTTTCGGCAGTCATTTTGTCGCCGTATGTAATGATATACTCGACTTCATCCCCCTCTAACCCGTAGACGTCATTTATAGCCCGTTCAATGGGTTTCAGTCTGCTCATAGCGACCCTCTTGGTGTTTATTGAGTGGCGACCGGGTTTTCCCACCTAATGTTACATGCAATAGGTGACATCAACTTGACTGTCCCCAATTGACGGCTTATCAATATATCTCTAGGTACATGGGCATAGCCAAGGTTAGCTTTTACACTCCGGATAAAGGGCATCTCTAGAATGAAAGAGACAGACTCAGCAGAGGTCGGGGCTACATACATCTGCTATTCGATGAATATATTGCCCATAAAGACCTTGGTACTGCCAGTCTCAGCCATAGCAATAGAGTCTTTTGAGAATTGCATAATATTTGCCTTACTTGGCTAAATTTGAAGTCTACTACTCTTGACGATACTGTCGGAACCAATATTCCCTTCCGCACCTGTGTCAACAGTAGCTTCCCATATGTGAACGTCAAGATGCCCAAGTCCCACCTAAAACTTCAGGAGATCCTGACACAAAGCCAACAGTCTCAGGCATAGAATTTGACTGAGGCTTGGATTAGCTTCTATAAGCATCACATTTGTTGCTTCCTGATCGGTCCATCCTATTACTTTCGCGTAAAATACTTTCCTTGTGATGTTATTATCTATTACTGGATAGTATCCCGGAGTGAGGAGAGAGTCATTATGTAAGGTAGGTGGTGATAGCTACTAGCCAGTCGCAACTAAAAGGACTCTAAAATATTGAGTTAATTTGTTGTAATGGATGTCCCTTGAGCTCGACTCATCTGGTTTCGTAATGAGTTTTATTCCAACTGCATCAAGTCTTTTTCTCTTCACTTTCAGCCAAGGTCTACCCAGATAGTCTCAGTCAACCCGTCAGCCAGGTCGGTCAACTGGGGAACAGTGACTCCGATCTTCATGCTCGGGACTATTTGCCTCAAAGCATCACTATCTTCAAGAAAGAGGTCAAATGGGTGTTTTCGTCGGTATCGTCCATAGCGATATCCTACGCTAGCTTCCTGTCGTCAGGCTTCGTAAGTTGAAGGACGCTCGGGGTAACAGCAGGAATCGGGCGGTCTCTTTCGAGATCCTCTGCCACCTCCTCTACCATTTGCCTCTTGTTGATAGCCTTATCAAGGAAGATGTTGTTATTCAGGTCCCTCGCTAGCTTGTCAAGGTCTCCCTCATCGATCATAATGATGCTAGCTTTCGCGGTGTCATCGATTAGGTGATCTTCGTCCGCGCGGCTTATTCATGTGCAACTATCGTTCCAATACGCCAAAGCCTCTATACTCCTATGAATCAATATGCGTCTGTACACTCGTTGCGGAGGGATACGCTGGAAACGCTTTGATCGCGCGTCGGTGTTCTCTCGCCATACGTGGCGGATCATTCACTTGGCGAGCCGCTATAGATGGGAGATTTCATCGTCCGCGTCGGGGGCGTATGGCGTCACTGGCTCCTTGACCTCTTTCCATTCGATTCCAGCTCCATACAGTGAGGAGAACTGGTAGTCCTTAATCCAGCTGTAGATGACCATTGGAGTGTCAAGATTGCTGTTATGTCTGCTTTCTCTGACGACGGCAGGTTTGAATGTGGTCTGCTACAGCACCAGTTAAAGAAGTTGGGGTGATATATTATCAATACAATGTAAAAAATAGCTTGATTCTATTAGGGGGACGTGATCAAAATAGGTTTGCATAAGACCTGCAACTCCAGGTAAAAAACCATCCCTCATATGCCCTACCGCCCTACGGTATGTCGCTAACGCTCCATGTACCTCCGGTTGCTGGTCTGTAGTTCTCTGGGTCTCTTCGTGGATGACTGTTTGGGGTTCTCTGGACCCGGCCGCACCCGTCATTCCACTGCGGGGCGGGACTACCTACGCTGCGCTACGGTGGCCGCACCCTCCGCTCCATTCTGGGGCATACCTACGCTCCGCTACGGTGGCTCTCGCTCGTACCTCGCTTCGGTCTCGAGAAGTTGTTAAACCTGTCTATATATACTTCTATGGTGTGGAAAAGTCTCAGCCAGCGGAGATCCGACGCTATATTCACGCAGGCGGCTAATGTAGCTGAATCTGGTATGTGATAACTACTAAACCTCAATGGCGGCCCGTTTCAATCTCCCAGGCGGCGCCTATGGAACTCTGGTAGAAAGACGTCCTGTCCTGAGGCTATAAAACTTAGACGGTTTCTTCATTTAAACCTCATTGTGCCCTGGTCCAGCCACCCAGCTGCAACCGGCCATTTGTCTGTGAATTTGACCCCGATAGCGACGCCAGATATGAATATAGCGCCGACGGCGGGTTCGTCTGAGCGGTTGGCGGAAACAGTCACACAGTGAGTCAAGCCAAGTTCGAAGCCTTAAGCAACACATAGGAACAAACAAGGCCATAAGGCCACAATACCACAACAGCAAACAAAGGAATCGAATCGCCCAGAACACTAAAGACTCTCCCTTGCACACATACGCGCGCACGCAATGATCAGTCAATCTCCTGATACGATCGCTTTGTTCACAAGCATCTCTCCAGATCAGGCCGGAGACACATTCTCTGTCCACCTGAACGCGGCCGCCTGCCTCGCCGGCTTCTGACATAAAAGGCATCCTCCTCCCACGAGCACACACCACATCCCTCCCATCTGCTAACCTGCAACTCCCACAGTTTATCTTCTTCTTTACACTCTCACTGGAAAGGTCGTGGTCACATTAACCTGTCTCCCTTGACATATGGTTTCGTATTCAGTCCACAAAAGCCCTCCCTCGCCGAACCGCCTCCCGCAACTTGCAGATCAAGACCATCTCCCGCCGCTGCAACAGTCCCCCCGACCAACTCGCCAGTCTAAACGAGATGTCGTAAGTGTTCCCACAACCCCCCCATCCACCTTCCGTATTCATCACTAACCTATCATGGCCTTTAGCCGCCAGATGCCTCGGTTGAGATCCCAGACATCTCCCAACGCTTCCAACCCTTGGGTCGACCGCAACAACCGCCGCAGAAGCCGCCTCCTTGCCGAGTGGAATTGCTCGAGGCAGTGCAGTCCACCGTCGGTTACGACATACGCCCCTCCCGTGGTGGCCTTCCCCACCGGTACCTCCCCGGCATTCCCTCTCGACGAGATCTCTTTTTCGCAAACTTCGAGATCTTCGTCTGCGACGGAGCAGCGTTAGACAGCATGGGTGACCCGCGCTATTTGGAAGTTGCACCGAAGCTGCCTTCGGGGGCCGAGCCGAGGGCTGAGGGAACCATGGTCCACTTCTGGAATAAACACCTGGACAAGAACTTTGTCAAGCGGTTTAAGGGGAGGTTTGAGGGTCTCTGTGCTCGCCCGCGACCAGTGTACATACCGGCACGCAATGCACATCCCCTGGGATGCTTCGTCAACGAAACGGTCTGCCAGCCCGCCAAGCTTGCAGCCCTCTTTGTCGCGATGTATGGGCAAGTCAACACGGACATGTGCACCTTCTGCATCGAAGCCTCCATGGATACCACAAACCCCGCCTCGGATCATCTGCCGCCACCATTCCACACCTGTATCTCGTTGCCCGGCATCACCTCTGGCTGCTGTGCCAATTGCTACTACCGTCAGTATCATGGCTGCACCTCGTCCGCTTCGTCATCCAACGTCGCAAACCCGTGGGACCCCATCGTAGAGCTGCCTGCCCCCCCGGCCCCTGACTCCTGTCCCCGGGTTATCGACATCTCCAGCGCACTTGATTGGCGTCTGAATGGCGAGCCCGAACCCGAACCCGAGTTAGATCTCGAGTGGGAAGGTAGTGATTGTTGAGCTGGTGAAGCTGGCCATGGGTGGTCGTGTATCTAGATACCTTAGGTAGTAGTGTAATCAGCAATCAACCCAGGTCTCTTCTTTGTGACCCCCATCCCCCATCGATTAAACTGTCGTTCTCTCTTTGTACAGGCAACTGTAGTATGTGGTCAGCATCTAGAATGGCTACCAAGACCCAGACTGCTGGGACAACCGTTCTCCCCCTTCGGCCTTACTATTCTACTGCACAACATAAGCAAGCCTAGAAGAGCCCCAGTCAACGCTGCATCTCCCTCGGCCTCTCGTCCTCCATTTGTCAATTTCCTTCCTTAGACTTCCTCCGCACTCCACCCCGCTGTTATAGAATGTGTATCTCCTGCGACGACCAGTCTCAAGCATCTGATCAGACCATCGACCCACACTTCGACCCTCTTGAACCTGTATCTGCGGCGTTGACCCTCCGCTTCCCGCTTTAAAGACAGGATGTCCGACCAGTTTGGCGGTGGAAATGAACAAAAGCCAACTCTCAACTCATCACCCTCTCCTTGAGGGATGCACCGAATTGCGTCCCATAGGCGTCTCGCAAGGTAGACCCGAAGCCGCACCAGACTACGCGTTTGTGGTCAGCCAGATCCGTAATTTAGACCCTTCAGTAGAGAACCATCTGATCAAATGCCATTTCGAGTCTGCTGCGGAAAAGATAATGGCAAGGCTTGAAAAGCTCCTGCGGCAGCCGGTCAATTGGCGATATAGAAGACAGAGGTCGGACAAGGATCGTGAAGGATATTGAAAACAGCTCGTAAAAACCCATCAAAATAGCAGCAAAAGGTATGTATTGACTCTGACAACAAGGCCATTGAGACTGCTGTCTCTCTAGCTAAAGGGAGAGTCTAAGGAAAGAAGATGCCTCCTTTGCCTCGTCCCTCGGTGTGCTGCTTCCTCTCCTATTTATCCCGGTCATGTCCCTGCTAGCCACCAGCTAGCTTAAGGCTTCTTGGCTGCCTGTCACACCAGCTCGGCTTATACAGTACCCATAGTAATGTTTCCCCGTCGACCCAGTGCTGATACTGCCAGAGGCCATAGCCGATACCTCGGAATTCCATAGCCTAACGGCACAAAAGACATATCACATCCCATGTAGGTGCGCCGTGCTTCCTCTGCTAATATTAAACGTCGAGGTTATGTCCAATTAGTCGGAAAGCCAGACCTGCAGGACCTCCTTCGGGATCGACCCTCCATGGCGATATCAACCAAACGGAAAGCCCCAGCCCGTTCGGCAACCTCCATCGTCCAATCTGCCGTCTCGCAGCCACAGTCAATCCATCCTTGTCAAGACCCGCGCCTCCGTCGTTGGCGCTGGTGACTTGGCGAGCTCCCAGGTCGAGACCATCGAGTTCTCCTCGAACGACCCTGACCGCGACCATGACATCTCGGCCGCTTGACGACCGGACCACAGCACCGCCTGGCCCAGGTGTTCTTCCGGCTGTTGCGGTGGAGTTAGCCCCGACAGGGTCCCACACTCGGCGCGGCTCGGTCGCGGGCCCTTGAATCCACTGCAATCGAGTATCTGATCAACGGCATCCTCTGTAGCAGACTGCATCCCTTTCCGGGCCGTGATGCAGCGGATAAAGGCACGCGCATTGCTAGGGTCCATATCCCTCTTCTCTTCAGCCTGACCTCGGCTGCAAGGCGCCCGCCACCCGGCCCGCCCATCAAGAGTGAATCAATGTTGGGAGATAGCTGTGCCGATCTCGGCCACCGGGTAAGTACCTAGTAGCTTCTTCTTCGGGTTTCCCTCGCCTTGATATGTCTTCCTCTCTTCATCTAGCTTCCTTCGTCTTGCTTCCGATTCCTTATCCACAGGGCATCAACCAGTCTCCATGCATTCCTCACGTCCACTCGACAACTAAACCGACGCGATCTGTACCATTCCGGGGCAGGTTTGTTTTCCACCCCCCGCCTGCTATAGCCATCTGATTGATATGACCTGTTGGTATACCACTTACATCTATCAAGACTGACCAGAATCCCTTGAACAGATCAAAGCGGCCCGATCAAGGGAAGACTTCGAAGGTGCCCGGAATAACTGTCGAGGAGGCGATACGCCGATTGCCCATCGAGTTGCAGAGACACATCGTGGCCTTTGTCGCGGCAGCGCCGGCGATCATACTCGACGACCGGACAAACGACCAGATCCTCTCCAGCCCGCCAGAGTTCATCAAGATATAGAAAGCCTTCGAGAAGACTCTTTGGAGAGATATTGAGGGGATGCGCCCTTGGGTCCTGGGCTCGAGGATTAGGCTACGATCCGGCCGGAAGGAGGTGTTGTCGGTTGTGCAGACCAGGTTTTGCCCAGACCGGGACGTACTCGGGGTCGCCCGGCTGGAGCTTCCCAAGCTCCTGGATGAGCATTTGCTTCCCGACGTGGAGGCCATGCCGCGTGAGATGCCTGTGTACCCTATCAAGCACATGCTGACGTGGGAGTCCAGCTTCGGGCTTCGATATCGCGACGAGCAAGAACGACCCGGACCCCTTCGAGCCACACTACCGGCGCCTGTTCAGCGGCGCGAGTCTCGACGCCGCCCTGAATCTCCAGATGCTCCCCCTCGTCGAAGACGTCACCTTTGCCTTCGAGAACGTCGACGCGTCCCTGTTTGCACGCGGGTTGGACTTACAGTCCCCAATCGGTGGGGACTGTGAGCTCGTGTGCATGATCGACCCAGAGGGCAGTGTCCAGGGCATCTGGTTTCGTCGGACATCCCGAGCCCGTTTCGCACATGTCCACAAAGCATTGATGGAGCCCTGTGGCCGACCTAATCAAGTACCTCCTGGTATGATCGTGCGGCTGGTCATTGCTCGAACCGAAGATGGGGTCCAGGCTGCCCTTGTCGCACATCCTGAAGCGTGCGGATGGGTGCGGCTCACCGACAGCTACCGCGGCGAGAATCTGTCGAAAAGGCCATCAGATGTCACTCCTGCCCGCCATTTGGCATCGACTGCGGGAGGGGATCAATGTCGCCCGAGCGCGGTCCGTCCGGGAGCTTGAGCATGATGGCTTTACCTTCCTCTACAACTCACGGCGCAGCACCGGTCCGGCCGGGGGAGCATGGGCTGCGGGCGAGTGAGGACGATGATGGCGAGGAGGGGCGCGGAGGATGATTGCTGCTGGCTGTACCTGCTGCGGCTGCTTTTGAAAGGAAGGCTGCGAGTGTCGGATGAGGCATGATAGCAGAACAACGCTGTGTGCGTGTGGAAATGGATCTCTGTCGCCTCCTTCACGGCGTCTCCTTTTGTTTTATTCTAGCTATATCGGTCTCCGATGCACAGGTGTAGGGGACTGTGAAACAAATAAGCCTCATATTGTATCCATCCAAACCTACTATTGCACTAGCATTTGCAAATATGGACCAACGTCCAGTTCGCGACGCACAGGATGAGGCGGGTGAGCATACTTCAAAGGCTACCTTCAGAAGAATAATAACTGACATAAGCACAACAAAAGTCGTATTTCCCCGAGTTCTTTCCCAGGGGGGACACCCCCCGAGTCGCTCACTTCTTCACGGCGGGCCCTGGCCATAAGGCGGAATTGGGGCGTGGTCAGTTCCGTAAACCAACCAAGAGGACGATGGGCACGTGGCAGGCCTTGCCGTACAGGCTCTCTCTCGCGATGCTTTCCGACCCAGGGTAGCCCGGCGACCTGTTTACCGATGTGGGCTGCCGTGGCCAATCTCAAGCGGAGGATATCGTGAGTCGGTTGGACATCCAGGGTCTGGTCGACGTTCAAGGGTAAGACGAAGAGGATGCCAGCATGTCCGCCGCAGACGGTGTGTAATTCTTTTCCTTTGCGAACAAGGTTTTCAAGCGCCTTCTAGTCTGTATGGGCATATTGGGCAACCAATTCAATATACATCCAGGGGTTCGTTACACATCATAGGGGCGAGACATTTCGACCTACAAGAACAGTTGGACCTAGTAGTGCCGAGTTCGGAACCTGGCCAAGAGTGTCGCGGTGCTAATCTTTTGGAGCTCGTTGGCATACCAAGCAGCAAATTCGCGGGCGTTGTCGGCAGAGGGAGGCAGGGAGATCGCGTCGCCCGTCATGCTCACCCTGACACGGCGACGACCCTGAAGCAGCAGACGAGGGCTCATTATCCCCGACATCAAGGGGCGAGCCGCATCGGGGAGCTGCTTGAGTATGTCGTCATGGTTGTCGTCGTGGACACGGCGATGGGCTCTGTTCCTCTTCGGCTGGCCTCCTGCGCTGAAGGGACGTGGGCGGACCGATTTTTGGTCCTGTTGAAGGTATTACCTTTCATGGACTGAGGCCCTCAGCTCGGAAACCAACCCATAAGCCTGGTATGTGTATGGATCGGCAGTCGTATCCAAGCCCAGCTCTTGTAGCTTGTCATGGACGGAAGCCACGGCGTCGGCCATGAACTTGTCAATGTCATCTTGAGGTGGGGCGGCCATAATGTAGCTACAGTATGTCAGCTCTGGGACGGGTTCACGCGCTGCGAGAAACTCACATTCGTTCAGCAGCAAGTCGCTGGATTGCGAGTGGGAGGAGGCCGGGTTTTGGGCCGTGAGTCGATGATGCAGGATAATCGAGAGGCGGGCTGGTGCACATTGGGAGTGGGGCCGGGTAAGGGAAGGAGCGAGCGACCTACTTCGTATGAGTCGACGGTGGGTGCGATGTAAGGGGCTGTTCTGTTTCCAACCCAAGTCGTGTGGTGGTCGGCAACAAACGAATATGTTCCCACACAACCTCACAGCGTCGATGACAGAAGACGACGCGTAGGCGCAAGGGCGGATGTTCTCTAGCGAGGCCGCAGTGTTGAGGAAAAGGTAAGGGGATGTGCAAAATAACACAAAGTCGTGTCGCCGTGAGAAGAACGAGATGAGGAAGCGACAAATCGTGCTTTGTGTGCGGGTTGGCTCTTGCAACGGGGAAGTCTCTGGCTGTGCTGCGCGGCGTGGTTGACAATGAACTAGGTGCTGAGTACCTAAAGAGCTGTGCGTGACTCACAAAAGGCTGTTCAAGGCATCCTGCAGTGCATGTCATCTGCGTCGAGATCCATGGCGTCGGTGTTTGGGGGGTTGCGTAGACATCTCGACAGTAAAGTGATGCGTCTCGCCGATCTTCACGTGCGAGATTTCCGACAGCACCTTCGGCTGAAATAGGCCCTATAGCTCCTTCACGGCCTGCCATCATAAATCCGCCGTGCTGATGTCGTATAGCAGCCCTGTCGAGAACTTGATCGAATATGATGGGGGCTGGGCCGGGTACGGCGCGGCGCGTATTAACTTGAGGGCTTTGTGCCAGGAGAACATGTCGACGTCGAGGTGCTCGGGATGTGTTGTTGGAGGGTTATCGCATACTAGAATCGATATTCCCGTTCCGCGGCTGATGTTGTCGCCGTGGAGGAGTTCGAGACGGGTCTCGTTGAGGAGTTCCGCCCCGGGTGAACGACCATCGCTCTGTTTCGGCCTCTTGGGCTTGAGCGGCAGTATCCATCGGTAGACCGGGGTTGTTTGGCGGCTGCGGCCTGTAGCTGTCTCGTGCCAATGGAGGAGGGAGCGTGAGTACCCATGTTTGAAAGGTGCAGAGGTCGTCCGGATGTTTGCGAGAAGCGCTGACCGATCGAGGCGCAAGGTAGGGTGCAAAGGGCGCCTTGGAGACGAGGTCAAAGTGAACCAACCAGATGCAGAGGTGAACAAGATGTGAGTGAAGGATAGGTGTACTGTACCGAGGCATAGAACGGGTTAAGATTTTCAGGTACCAGCCAACTAGCATAAGAACGATGATGTCAACAAACAGAAAGATCGTGCATATTACGTCAAAGACAAACGGCACACAGCCTTAGTCGGCCTCGACTTCAATAGGCGAGTCCTTGCTGCTCCCGGCTCGGTCGGCCAAACTGCGTGCAATTCTATCATTGGAAGCGATACTACCGTTGCGGAGGACAACCGTGGCTGCCAGAAGCTTGTTGCCCTCCTCGACCCACTGCTTGACGATGCCAGGAGGGCGGATGACGAGCTGAGGCTGTCGGGGCACCATGGAGCAAATCCGTCTGGCCAGTGATGACCCATTGCGGAAACACTGGATCCCAAATGTACCTCCAAGGGTACACTCGTCCAAGGTAGTCGACCTGTGGAGGTGGCGATGGGCGCGGATGTGGTCGCGGGAGATGTATGCCAACGCGACAATACACGCCCCGTTATCAGAGACTCAAAGGTCTTGCCCAAGCCGGGCCTGTTGCAGTTGATCACCCCGTTCTGATCCTGAGACCAGCATACCGACAGCGCTTTATATACATCGAGCATTTGGTAATTCCTTTGGGCCTGGGAACTGAGCGATCTGATCGATGTTGTCACGGTCGTGTAGGAAGAAGTCACAGGCCTCAACCCACAGGTCTCTATCTCTGCCGAGTTCTGTAGCATCGACCCAGGCTTGGCCAATAGCCTCTTCGTCGGTATATTCATTTCCGTCCTCGGTGTATTTAGCATCCTTGTCGATGGGGTTGTTGCGTTCGTATCGAAGTGCGACAGAGCTTAGCCAGCCTTGGACTGCGTACCTCTCAACCGGATCGGCAATACAGAATAAAACCACAAACGGCTTGGACGGACACCAAAATGTAGGGTTATTTTTAAGCTTGTTCTAGATGGCAATAGTAATATTATTCCAGTCCAACATACTATCGACCTCATCAGTAACGTTCAGTGGCATTGGTTCATGAATACCCAGTACTTTGACGAAATAACTGCCATTGGGTATATCTTGACCTTGGCCAAGCAACACTACCCAGACGCAGCTCCAAACCGCGAGCCATGGCATGTAAAAGTCTCCAGAGCCCATCATCTCATCGCCCAGCCAATCCATCGACGGAGGATCCAGATGGCCCACCAAGTGCACCCATCGTACAGGCGCAAGTATAGCAGGGTTGGGGATTTGGGGTCCGACCTTGCATGTAGTCGTACTGGTTCCCCAGTGGCGGGCTTATTTGCTGTTCGGATCCTTGCCCAGTGCCTTCGTGCACTGCAGAAGGCTCTTGTCGACGATACTCAGATAGGGGTGTCATCGGTGGGAAGGTTGGCCGTGCTTGATGTCGATGGAGACGTCCGTGCCTGCACACTGCTGGCCTGTCGAGCGATACGTTCGATGGGATGGATTGTCGCGGGCGAATTGAGAGGTCGGGTGGAGGGTTCGAGGGGCTGCCGATCTCGAGGGACAATGTGGAAGGGCGCGTATGTGGACTATAAGGAGGTTAGCAGCGGTTGGCGACGATGTACATGGCAAGGCTTGCACGATGCTGACCTGTTCAGCGAGAGCTTTGACGCGATTAATGTGGATAAAGTGAGAGGTTGAGAGAAGGGTTTGAGTTCCTGCTGCTTCTAAGGGAGGTTGTTTTTGAGAAGGGCGGAGAGAGGCAGAGATTTGCTGCGATTCGATTGTTACTGGTATAGCGCGAGATTGAAGTGCAAGGAGCTTGAGTGAGGTGAATATAAGGAGGAAGTAAGTGAGAGGAGGCTTCTTTTTCAGTATGTTTCTGGTGGTTGAGCTTGAACGGACTGCTCTGTTATGCATATAGATCTCGCCCAGGCATCATTCATAAACCCCGCCCATGGTTTTTAGTATTAACTACAGAAATCATTTGGATATTCTTATCGGGCGATATGTCAACGACTCTATTGGGCTCTAGTGGCAGCAGAGTTAATAGTCCGATGTGGCTGTGGCAAATAGCGACTATCTTCCTATATTGTAATTAATCTGTTGTTCTCTCTCTCTCTCTCCCTCTTCGTGTAGGCAATTGTAGTATGTAGATAGCATCTAGAATGGCTGCCAACATCCGAACTACCGGCACCCGGTCTCGCTCGCTCGACCTCGCTATTCTACCACACAACACAAGTGATCTCGGCTAACGCTGCCCTCCGTCAGGCCCCTCGTCTTCCACGTGTCGCTCACCTAGCCAGTCCATGTCCTCTCCTGTATCCAGTATACTCTCCTAGGGGCCTTATGTTAGCCCCAGAAAAATAAGCTCATCCAGACTATTCGCAACCCAATCCACCCTGCTGTTGTTGTTTGAATCTTCGTCTATAACTGCTGACATCCCAGTAAGGACGATGTATATTTATCAGGCAAAATAGTATCTCTCTTAGTTAACCCTAGGACGCCATTTACTGCCATGATTAACTGCTTCCTCGGGGTAGTGGCAGATTCTGACGATTATCATCCAGCGATCATGGACTCTTGATCAAAGGCACATGTGGCGGCATGTCCAATTGACCCCTTTTCGTCATGGGCCCGAGTCTCAAGATCGGCGATGACGGAATTTTCGTTGAAGAACTTCAGTGTTTGCGAGATGCAGTCGGCAGTGGGGGGAGCAATACCAGAACTGGGGATGGCCAAGTTCATCGCCGATTTCCTGTAAGCCTCCCACTCAGAAGAAGCCGTATTGGCCATCCAGTTGATGATCTTCGCAACTAGGTCCGGCTCCGGCGGCCCTGGCTGCGAGATCTCGTTCTCTATTTTGGACCACAGGTGATGCGAATAGGGTCGCTAGTCACGTAAGTGAGGGTCTCATGAAGATGTGTAAAGAAGGTTGATTCCGCTACCTTGCAGTTGAGGGCTCGGGACCGTAAGGGTCCCGACCCACGTGACCGCACAAGGCCTGATGCCTCAGGCCCGACCCTGAGCATGAGGCTCAAGATCGGTCTTTCCGCATCATATCCCCGGCTTTGAAGGAGGTTATCACTGACCTCAGTGACTGCAAGTCGGTAATGCCTCTCAACCTGTGATTTCCTTCCATTTTCATCATTCCTTCGCATCTTTCATTAAGCATCAATATGTTGATGCCATTCGATCGTTTCCATCGCACAGTTGGTCGTACAGGGCCCAAGGTGGGCTCATTTCTTCATTCTTCGTGAGCTTCGTCGCGGTCCTTCATCCGCCTCGAAGGCGGCTGGGTTAGCTGCCTTGAAGTCGGCGATGACCTCCTCGTCGATATGCTCGGTCCGGACCCAGCTATCGTGTTCCGGTCCCCATCCTTTCCATCGCACCCAGAAGCCCTCAAAGGCTGTGGCCTTCCTCCCGAGCCGACGGACCTCCCGTCGCAAGATCCGATCCACGATGTATTGGTTGTCATCTTCTTCCACAGGGCCCGGTTCCTCAGGGCGGAAGGCGTCGGCGTGGGCAGGCTGAAGCTGTTGGCAGGATATCACGGGGTGGATCTTCCAAGCAGGCGGCAGCTCGAGCTCGGCTGCAAGATCTCCGACCATTCGTTTGATCTTGAAGGGGCCGGTGCGTTGCTGGGATAGCTTCCTCGCTGGCTTCCCGGGGAGGTGGTATCCATCGTGAAGCCGTAGATATACCTTGTCGCCAGCCTTAAGTTGAATGGGGCGGTGTTTCGCATCGTACCATCGTTTTGCCTTGGCAGCTGCAAAGTCCATCGCAAGCTGTGCCTCCTTTCGTATGGCCTCGCGAAGGAAGGGCAGGTCTGCGGTTTCCTTGTCATCAGGCTGGAAGGATTCCAAGGGTCCGCGGAGGCTGATGCCGTAGATAAATTCATGAGCAGAGGTACGAGTTCCAACGTTGTAGGCGCCGTTGAGGTTCCATTGTAGGGCCGGAAGGATCCGGACCCAGTCAGCATCAGGGCTTTCCATATAGTGGAAGCGTAGGGCGATCTCAACAGTCTGATTCCTTCGCTCGGAGAGACCATCTGCCTGGGGGTGATAGGCCGTAGTCATCGCGAGCTTGGTGCCAAAGAGGCTCCAGAGGGTCTTCCAGAAGGGGGATGTGAACTTAGAGTCACGGTCTGAGATAATGACCTTCGGCATGCCCCAGTCAGACAGCATGAGTTGTCGAGCGAAGACTGTAGCCCAGTCAGCTGCCGAGTAGGTTGAATGCCCGGGAATCAGGAGGCATCGCTTGCTCGCTGCGCAGGTAACAGTCACCAGGGTATCAAAGGTTTCGAAGCCCTCGAGACCCCACGGGGAATTTGCTGATAAAATAGGCGGCAGGCTGACGACGAAGTCGATCGCGATGGTATGCATCGGGTGCTTTGGAGGCCGGATGGCCTGATAGTTGCCGATACCTGGCTGTCTATCGGTCTGCCCCAAGCAGCAGGTCTGACAGCTGTGAATATGCTTTTTGATGGCGTAGGTGAGGTTGTGGATGCAGAGGCCTGAGAGCTCCTTTGTCATTCTCTCAACCCCGAAGTGATGTTGGTTATCATGAGCCATCTCAAGGATCTCGCTCTTCAGGCTGTGTGGCACACACAGACGGGTGTAATCGTCGACGCCCTGGTGATAAAGCAGTCCGTCTCGGAGGGCAAAGGGCACCCCGGGCTTGAAGGCGTTCACGGCGTCCTCGCCGGCCAGCAGGGCTGCTGATGTAAGGTCTTTGCCCAAGATCATAGCGATGATCTTTGAGAACTTCGTATCGGTCACGTAGCCTTGTTGAAATCGAATCTTCGTTTCTTCTGCCATCAGAGCTTCGGAGACCATCAGCACGTCGTCGAGGGCTGTATAATCAGGTCTCCGGCGGTGAGGGTTGACATCGGTCTCGGGGGCAGTAAGGCGGCTTAGGGCGTCGGGGATGAAGTTCTTTTTGCCCGGCAGGTGGAAGACCTTGAGGTCATACTCGGAGAGGTAGATAGAGGCTACGACTAGCCTTCGGTTCGCTCGGTCGGTGCTCGAGGTCTCGAGGGAGGTTTTCTCAACAACCTGCTTAGTAGCCGAATGGTCTGTCAGCACAACCGTAGGTAGCTTCATGGATTGGAGGGATGTGCGCAGCCTCTTCACAGCCCACACGAGGCAGGCGACTTCGAGTTCCGTCGGTCCGTATCGTTGCTCTGCCGATGTGAGCACGCGGCTGAGAAAGCAGATAGGGCGTACGGCTGTAGCCGAGATGTGCGTGCCTGGCTCCCAGGTGTAGTCATCGCGAAGGTGAAATAGGACGGCCCCGAAGCCTCTCTCGAGGCTCGCATCAACCTGCAGAAAGAGCTCCTTCTGAGGGTCTAGATGGCACAGCATCCGGCCTGAGGCGATTTCTTTCTGTAGGGCCGTGAAGGCAATCCTCTCATCTTCCGATGGTTCGTAGTGGGTTGCGCGGGTGTAGGCTTTGCGGCGATTAGGATTTCCGTCCACGACCTTACCTTCCTTTCGGCCTTCAGCCATAAGGGCAACCTTCCGTTTCTGTAGTGGCTCGATGAGCTGTGCGTAGTACGGAATGAGATGTCTGATGTATCCCGTGGCGCCGATGTATTGCTCTAGGCCTGCGAGCTGATGAGGGAATTCAAGCTGGGCGAAAGCGGCCATCCGTTCCTCGGTCGTACTCAATCCAAAGGCATCAACGCGGAAGCCGAGAAGCTGGGCACTAGGGTATCCGATCCAGCTCTTCTTCGGGGAAATCGTCAGGTTCTGAGCTTGGAAGAGGCTGAACAGTATCTTCAGGTGCTTTAGATGCTGCTCTGCGGTCTCCGAGAAGATCACGATATCGTCGATAAAGGCGCGGCTGTAGCTTCTATAGGGACGGAGCAGCCTATCCATATACCTCTGTACATAGGCAGGGGAGTTGTGGAAGCCCACTGGAGCCACAGTTGACCTTTCCAAGCCTCGATGGCTCGTCATCGTAAAGCGGTCCCGATGCTCAAGCTTCACGCCGAACTGGAAGAAGAAGGACGAGGCATCGATAGCCGTAATGTATCGAGCTCCGCGGAGGGCTTGGATGATATCTTCCTGACGAGGCAGAGGATAGTTATCAGGAACTGTGATCTTGTTGAGGGCTCTGAGATCGACGACCAGGCGGCCTTTGGGCTCGCCTTTGACCGTACGCCAGACCACAAAGATGGGGGCTGTGAAGGGCGTAGGTCCCTTGGCCCATTCGAGGCGGCCTTGCCGATGCAAGAGGTCAAACTGTCCGTCAATGAATTCACGATCCTTGAGGCCGCTTGGATAAGGTCTCTGAGATATGCGGTGCTCGTGCCAGTTATCGATCAGAGGGACTTGGAGCTCCTCGCCGTCGGGGACCTTGACGAGGCCTGTATCCGTCCAGAGCTGGGCATGACGGGCAATCAGTCGGGCGGCTGCGGCGGCAAAGGCAGGGTCTTGGGCATAGATGTGGACGCCTTCGTCGGTGAGGATCTCGGGAAGGTTCGGTGTCTTTTGTACGTGTGTTTGATAGGGAACTCGTGAGGTATCGGGCGGAGGCTCGGCCGGGGCCTCAGGCGGTGAGGGCTTGCTCGAGGGATCGTCATCGCCAGCGAGGAAAGCTGTAACGGCGGAGGCAGCCTTGCGGCGTTGCTTCCAAGGAAGGTTAGCTTTCTGCTGGTCCTCGAAGATAGCATCACTCAGTGAGGCTGCAGGCTGGGCTTCCTGGGGAGCCCAGTTGATGTCGTAGGATCCTGAGGCAACAGCCTCGATTTCTCTCGTGAGGGCGAATTCCTGAGTTACTGAGGGCAGGAGCGAAAGAGCTGCATTGCTGACCTGGTCGCAGGTGGTATTCGCAGCGTAGGCTGCTGAGGAAGCTGCTGAGGGATCTGTGAGGGCTGTCAAAGCTGGGGCTGCCGCCATCGTCAGGGCTGTCAGAGCCGCAGTCCAGGTCGATGTGAAATAGCTCTCATCGTCGCACTCAAGGATACTTCCGATCTTCTGTTTCCGGTGGAGCTTAATGTCCTTTTTCGTGTTATTCACGAAGATCACAGCAGGCGGGGCCTTATGATCAACCATAGCGTGCATCGCCGAGGGAGTCGAGGCGTGGAAGGCGAAGCTGCGATCTTTGGGGAGCTCCTTCCAGGTTGCGGCAACAGCTAGGGTTCGTCCCGCAGGTACGACGGTAGCTCTGAGGGCGCTGACACGGCGGTTGACATATCTTCGTGGGCGAGAGATATCAAAGGGGATGTAGAAGCCATCGAGAACGCCGCACTGAATCCGTCTCTCCGTGATGAGGATGTCGCATTTATAAGGGTCAAGGAAGCCGTTGTCGAGCAGGGCCACTGCATCCAGCTTATCCTGAACCCAGGCGGATGTAGTGAACTTGGCGGTGCCTGCCTTCGTGCCGTCGGCGTGAAGGCCTTCGAGATAGAAGGTAAAGGTAGCCCACTCGTCTGTACGCTTCCATCCGCTGACGCCTTTGATGATGACAGGGTCTCTTTTCTCAACAGTGTGCTCCAGGCTCTGAAGCCAGGTGCGGTCAATCACAGGCCGGCCACAGCCTGAGTCGCCGCAGATTTCCACAGAGTGAGAGTCAGTTGCCGGGGCCTTGGCCTTCAAGCGTAGGTGGGTGTAGTCATCACCTTGACCACAAGGCTGAGGCTCCAGAAGAGGCTCTGGGGCGGTCTGGGCTGCATAGGTCGGCATAGTCGGAATCAGGGCTGCCTTCATCACACTCGGGTTCCCGTCACAGGCCTTGATATGCTGGAAAAGGCGGTTACGGCTTGGGAAAGCCTCCTTGCAGTGCCTGCATCGTGAGGGCCTTGCCGGGCAGTGAGGTTCATCTCCAGCAGCCTGTTGAGGGGAAATACAGCAGTCGGCGAGGCGATGCTCCTCCAGGATCATTTTGGAGGGAAAAGGGCGTTGGCAGGTCTTGCAGGTGAAGTCAGGGTCGGCAGGAAGGTCGGAGATCGATCTCGTCATAGCCACAACGTAAGCCTGTTGTGATCTCACTGAGAAGGCTGAAGAATCTGACAGCGAGGCCTCATCTTCGTCGTCGGCATCAGAGGCAATAGGGCTCCGGTCAGGCTCGGGCTCAGGCTCGGCCTCAGCTACCTGGTATTTCTTCTCGAAGGTGACTTTCTTCGCGTTGCCGTCCCGTCGGTCGCGATCACGGTAGTTGTCTCGGGGCTTGTCACGGTAGCGATCGTCGTTGCCGCTGCCTTGGGCTCTGCGGTCCTCGCGGAAGGGTCGGTTGCGATCATCTTGTCGGTCGTCGCGGTTGCGGCGTCGGTCATCGCGGTCACGGTTATCGTAGCGGTCTCGGGGTCGGTTTTCGTACCGATCGCGGTTCTGATCCCCGATGTAATCGCGGTCGCGGTCTCGTCGGGGGGCGGAAAAACGGTCATCTCGACGCCCTCGTCGTCGTCGGGCTATCTCTGTGATGATCGGTCGAAGGTCTTCACATTCGCGGATAAAGTCGAACAGCCTATCCTTGGATCTAGGCGTATTGAGAAGACGGGAGATCTCATGGTCGATCTGCGGGTAGATGGCCTGAATAATGAGTCGATCCTCCACGATGCCCAGCTGCTTGGCATACGCTGCCTTGCGTTGGACCCACTGGGTAAGGCTGATGTCTTCGTCAACGAGGCTAAAGGTGTATCTTCCGGTATGGAGGTCAGCCGTGATCTCGGCGTCAGGGCGTTTGAAGCGGGCTGTAAGCTTCTTGCAGAACTTGCGGATAGGGGCATCGAGGAGCTTGTTGCGCTGGTCTGCACTAAGCTCGCCCATAAACCATCCCTGGGCTCCGCCTCCAAGCATCGAGACGTAATAGTCTTGAAGGGAGTCCTCGCCGTAGCGCTCAAAGACTCGAAGGTGCTCGCAGAAGAGATACACATCGGTGTAGACTTGCTTGCCTTGGTTGACAATCAGGCCTGTTTTCCGGGGGTCCTTGTAATCCGGGTCAAAGGTGCCGATGGCTTCCTTCTTGACCCTCTTCTGAGAGTCGTTTCCAGCTGCAGTGGAGACATAGGACTGATCTCGTCGGGCTCGGCGGAGGGCTTCGGCAGTTGTATCTTCATCGCTCGAAGAGTTATCAGAGGGCGGGTTCCGGCGAGGCACAGAGCCGCGTTGGCTTCCTCGTGAGGGCAACAGGTCAGACCTCGGGGCGGTCTCACGGGTTCGGGCCGGGCTCCAAGGGTCAGGTGGCTCGGGGATGTTGTCTTCATGCTCCGAGGGCTTTCTCAGTGATGAGCTTGGCGCTGGTAGATTCATCGGGAGCGTCAAAGTCGAACTGCTTCACAATAGCCTTCCGCCACCAGCTGAGGTGGTTGAGGTCGGCAGCTCTAGCACGAGGCAACCCGAGGAGGTCTTGCGCGTGGCGGTCGCGGGCAGCAAATCTGGACACAAACTGTTGAAGACTGTAGATAACATCGCTATCCCAAAGGATCAGTGTTTCGAGGACTTCCCGAGTAGGGGTCTCACTCACGAGGCGGGCATAACGGAGGCCCCATCCGAGGGCTTTGACGTTGCCGGAATCTTTGAACCATTCGGTCATGCTGGCTTTGTCGAGGCCTCGATGTCTTGGGGGGCAGTCGAGAAGCGCTTTCGTTGTGTTCTGTGAGGCGGTGGGACGGCATCAGACCCGTCATCACTGCCGCGGTCGCCGTGTGATCGGGCCATCATGTTCCCATTTAGATACTACAGCGGTATCAGGCGTAGCGAGGGTCGATGCAGTGAGGCCAAGACGGCGATCGTAGGGTTGTGAGGGGGGTGTCTTGGTGTTGTGCTCCGTCGAGGAAATCGGCGCTAGGCTAAAACAGGTCAAGCGTGGCCCTCAAGGTCCAATCGTCGGAAAATTGTGCGCTTTCCAATTGGCGGGCTTAGGGCTCGGCTGCTGGTCTCGGCACACAACAGGTCTAGCCTGGCGGGTCGAAACGGCGATCGGCGTAGCCTTAAGACCTTAGACAGGGAGAGGGGTGGCCACAGGCTCGTTCCTTCGAGGGATATCGCGCTTTGGTGTGTTTCTCACGTATCGACGATAGTGTGAGGGGGTGCAGAGCGGGGCGCTAGCTTCTGCGTTGTCGAAAAGTCCGGGATCCGGCTGGTGGCTGGTCGTGCTACCAGGGATCGTGTTGGTCGGGAGACCTGGTGCCTTGACGAATTCAATCGCAGGCTTGTTGACTGTGCGATAGCTGCAATTGCTACCATATGATGCGAATAGGGTCGCTAGTCACGTAAGTGAGGGTCTCATGAAGATGTGTAAAGAAGGTTGATTCATCTATCTTGCGGTCGAGGGCTCGGGACCGTAAGGGTCTCGACCCACGTGACCGCACAAGGCCTGATGCCTCAGGCCCGACCCTGAGCATGAGGCTCAGGATCGGTCTTTCCGCATCAAGCAGAGGGAAGATGGAGATAATATAATAACAATTAGGAGATAGAAGGATAGAAGAAAGTGGGAGGTGTCTGTATGATTCTGTTTAGAAATAGATAGAGGTGTGAACATACTGAGGGGACAAGAAGGTTGGTATCTTGATATATGACGCCCAGAAATAATGGTGAAGGAAAGTGAAGGTGAATTGCTTGAAGGTAATAGCGAGGTACTGGGAAATTAATAATATAATAGACGTAGAATCTGAGGTGTCTGAAACGAGAGGGAGAGCAGGGTGATGCATGGCATGCTTGGGGATGATGATGTTGATGAAAAAGGAAAATGTGGGGTGTGCTCGAACGAAGCGGGGAAGTGGTGGCTTCGATTTGGTGGCCCGGTGTCCGGAGTTATGCCAGATTGGCATTGAATTACATAGCAAAGCTGGCATAGCAAGATTCTAATGTCCAAGGGGGGGGGGGGGCTGCTTCAAGGTTCCGTGACTGGGCTTGGCAATTATAGTAAAGCATCAGCGGAGATGGAGATATGTCCAACAGGTGACATGGACCGAGGATCGCCGGATCATTCTAGCCGCCTACCCACCGATCGATTTCGAGAACTCTCGCCTTATTGTAGCTCAAGGAAAGACTAAGATATTCAACTTCAGCTTGTGACACGAGGAGTTGCCATCAATCATCGCCCTTCTACGATGGGGGGAGGGCGTGATGACCGTTTCTGTCAGACAGATAGAACCTGTCGGATTATCCGAGTTGACTAAGAAGAGGATCCCCGATTACTTCATCATATCTTTATTATGGTATATTTCTAACCCGGTTTCCCCGCCCGTGCGTGACCGTGACCAGCACGGTCGGGGAGGGGGGAAATACTACCGCACTCCAGTGCTCGCTGCCGCTCGCGACCTTGGCTTGTAAAGATGAAAGATGGGAATGTTGGGTTCACCGTTGTCACTATCGGTAGCTACCACGGCAGGTAGAAGGCGCGCCGTAGGCAGCTTTGCTTACCCCTGTGACAACTGCGGTGGCACCAGACCTACGGTTAGGGCGAGTCGGACATCGGGGATCTCGGGTGCCGGCGCCGGAAAGGACGGCGAACCCTCCCTCACTCGATATCGACGACCCCATCAGTGGGTAAGTTACATCCGTCGTCAATGATGCTTGCGAGATATGCTGATGAAACTTGGCAGCAAGACAAGCCGCATGGGAGTATGGCGCCTCGCCGAGGGTGGCATGAAATTCGTTCACAGGTTTGTCTGTATGGATATATTACAATACTTTAATCCGAGTTGGAAATCACAAGACGAACCAGCTTGAGACGGTCGATTGTGTGGTCGAGGACAACTTGGGGCCGTACATGCGCCAGTTCCAGGATCCTCAAGGACGACAAGGGCGCAGAAGCCTCCAATGCCGAGGACACAGGGGTCGAAAACTCGGCATCGTCATCCCCGACCCTTACGCGTGTGTGCTGATCCCGGTCCTGGTCGATGAAGAGAAGCGATATCATGTATGAGACATCGAGGGGCCAAATCTCACCTAGGCGGCCTTCTTGTCAGAGAAACTCTGCCAACGCGCTTTGACAATTTTGCATGGAGATTTCACGATTGAGCCTAGAATAACTTCAATAGCCTTTATTGAGTTAATTCGATGGGGAATATCGGTGAGTTTGCAATGAGACCGAACGCGACTCTTGGGCCGATCAGGGGGGCTAGTCCTCCCGATCAATATTGCCGTCAACAATACCGGCCGTATTGGCTTGTACAGTTGCAGCCTCCCTTTTGCCTGCAACGGGTTGGAGCAGACTCTGCCACAGCAAGTGCCCTCATCCTTGTTGCAGAGGATTGCACTTGCAGTGTATCCTGGGTGTTTCTTATGTCCCCGCGAATCAAGTGGTAGATACAGTATCTGACTTTCTCAGCAGCAGTGGTTGACTCGGGGCCGTCGGTACTGCTGCATCGCCACAATCCGACGTCTAGTCTTTCCATGGCGGCAGATTGTGTGTTGACGGTGATGGCAATTTTCTCATCGAATGCTGCAATGAGCGGCGTGGCTATGATCATCACAATATACCTCCGAGCCGGGGGAATATCCACAATGTCTTTGATACCAAAAGAAGCAATTGTCTTAAATTACCTAGAAAAACCTGGCTATAATACCACCTGCTTGGCAGAGCTCTTGCTGCTAACAAATCATCATCTCCCGTCTTACAGACAATACAGTTCTAATATCTCATTGCTCATTTCCCAAATTCATAGCTGTGCAGGTGCACTCCTTGCCATCATATAAAGCCAGGACTTCTTGGAGCTCGATGTCCTCGTTGCTCACGAGGTTCTCCAACTCGGGCGATACCGGCTTTCCGTAGATGATGACCTCGAGGACATCCTCCCCCATGGCACACATGCGCCTGATGGCGGGATTGTCAGTTTGCGCAACAAGCGGTAGCAAAGTCCTGGCAGCCGTAATTTTGATGTTGCAGGCGCGGAGGGGATCATTCTGATCCCAGTCTTGGCCTTCGTTTCCAGTCGGCAAACCAACCAAGAGGCCGCAGTGTCCGACGCAAAGAGTATCCGACACCTTGCCTGTTGCGATATAGTCCTGGGCTGTTCTTCGAGAGATGAATCCCAACTCGGCAATTCTATCGACTGTACCACCAATACTGCCTTTGCCGCCTGGAAGTGTGAAGCTTTGGTTTAGGCGATGCAGTTTAACCTTGTGGAACATGATGCGAAGGCGCCCGATGATTGTCTTGCGATCCATCATCTCGATCGTGGAACCAAAATAGGCAACAACGTTCAGCTCGGAATGGTCGTGCATGGGTGGGGTTGAATCTTCGGTTCCGAACATCTGTACAAGTTTTCGAGCTCGCTTGATCGTTTCCATTCCCATCAGTCGGTTCCAAACCTCGAGGCAGGTTGCGTCCACGAGGGGTAAGACTATTACCGGTGTAGTCTTGGATGCCGGCGCCGGCATGGGTGCATTTGCCATCGCTGTGTCGGTTTGCTCTGCGACCGAGGGCGCAGTGGCTTCTAGCTTCTTGGCCTTGGCCTTGGCCCTGGCCCTGGCCCTGGGGTTTGTTGGGTTCCAACGATGGACACGGCGGGGAGCTGGTTTCTCGGGGAGAGAGTCTGCGTCAGAATCCGATTGCGCAGCAGGTTCTGTGGGTTTGAGGCTGACGTCGAGGGGTTTGATCGTCTTTTTTCCTTGCAGGTTCGGGGTTGGGTTTGGAGTGGATAGTCCTTTCGCCTGGGTCGAAGGGGGGGGTTGTGGTTGAACGGCGCGCTGGATCCTTCCTGCATCCTCTTGAATCCGAGCGCAGAGGTTACGGATTCTGTTTCTCATTTCGTCGATGGAAGTCGCCTGCTCGCCGGTGCCAGCATGGTTGCGTTGCCATGCTTCAATATCGAGTCAGGCCAGGGCGTCTAAAGGCTCCTGGATCAAGTTGAACACCAGCTCAACACTTGTCTTGGTCGGAGTAGGAGGAGTATGAGGCGACGGCTGTTCCAATGTCAGTAGGGCTATCTTACTTCATTTCTTGTACACCACTTACGGTCGGTGGAGGTGAGTGGAGCAATCCTATAGCCATCGTGACTGCCTGTCTAGCGCAAATTGAAACAGGGTCTGGACGTTGGGAGGTTAGTCATGATTCAACCGCAGCGGGGGGTGGACGCGGAAACCTGCCGATGCTCGAAGATGCGGCGCGTGGTGGTCTCAGGCGAGAAGATGCGGTGCGTGGTGGTCTCAGGCGAGAAGATGAGTGCGTGAGCGAGTGAGGGCTGACGTTACAAGGAAGAGGATGGGGAATGGAGACAGAAGGAGGCAAAAATCTGCACGCAACCGCGATGTGAAGAGGTTGTGAATGAGCCCCGAGGTTGGTTGGCGCAACAAACGACACAAGGATAAAGATGTAGCTCCTGGAAGTAGACCGAGCGATTGCGAGATGCGGGCGGCTGTGCAGGTGTTGAGAAGAAAGAAATGTGCTTGTGCTGAGTATGATAATGAGTGTTGAGGTGAGTTGAAGGTGAGTTGGCTGCCTTAGCGTGCAAGGCCACGTGCATCTTGCATTCCTCAGGCCTCCACGCGATACCGTCATGTATGCCTGAAGTAGATGCTCTAGATTGAAACCAGCACTCACGGGTTTGAAGGGATGCAGTGGCACAACCTCCACCCTGTCGAGGCGCTCCCATACTGCTTTGTTTATAGACGATACATGCCGGCGCAAGTCACCCTCTGCATAACCGGACTCCCTGATTATATCCTGTACCTCGTGAGGATAAAGAAAAAAAAAAGTAATAATCTCTCTTGGGCATATTTCATAGAAACACTTACTCCCATCCTAGTCATTAATACAATATGGCTGCAGAGCCCAAGAAAGAAAGTAGCTGAATAAGTTTATTAATTTAAAAGTAATCTTCCTCTTCTTAACCATACTGTTGTTTATAGTCAATACACTAGTTGCCAGTGGATAGAAGTAATCACTAAGGTAACTTCGCTTCTCTAATCTGTCTTAAAAAAACATAGGGGACAGACTCCTTTCCTGTATAGTACCGCTTGTGTATCACCAAGTTAAGTCAAGTTTGATGTATCATCTCAGGCGGTATGCTGCCGTAGAGCGACGTTTGTTTCGTGGCGCCCGACAATCCATGTCTTCTTTTTATAGATGTGTATTATTGCCACCACTGGATAAGGCAACTTGTCCGATCCTCACTCGTTTGAGGGCATTTGAATGGGCTTCTGGCGTTTTCCATATTATCTTATTGCATCACTCGTTTTGAACTCTTTGGTGAAGTTGACATAAGGACTGGCTGGCTTGTGCTGGGAACTGTAGTGCTAGGTGTGGGCGAAGGCTGAGGACATTGTAGGTGTCTGGAACTGCCGTGGGACACAGCAATCATGAGTGTCGGCACCCATGGTTTCCTAGGGTGCTTGACATGGGCAAAAGGTTGAGAGCGCCGAGGTGTCCGGATGGGTATAGGCATCACGGGCTCCGCCAGTATCGACGGCCATGTTTCCGGGAGAAGCTTGTCACCCCTTGCCGTATCATCACCATGGTCCAGGTGTCACACTGGGCCTCGTTTGGAAGGGAATCTGATGCTTGTTTATTGTCGAGGTAGCTGGCGAGGGCGGATTGGCAGCACCCCTCATCCATGAACTTGCTCATGGAATCTACAGGTTGCTTACAAACGAGGATGGGCATCCGCCAGCTCGCCGTTGGGGTCGCGACCGGCGCGGCCAAATTGCTGCCTCATGTCAGCAAAGGGGAAAAGGCTCGTCGAGCACAAGGACAATGGATACCTCTGGAATATCAAGGCCAAGGCCCAGGGCGGATGCGGCTACGGTGACACATTCGCCTGTGGCGCCATTCCTCCGTTCCCGAAGAGTGGTCTCCCGCTGAGACATGGACAGGTCTCCATGATAGGCTGGCTATCCCGTTATGTCAATGGCTCTTATCAACTCTTCCTCTCACTAGAAATAGATAATTCCTTTGCGGTTTTTGATATTCCGCAGTAGGCTCCAATCTTCCACGGACTCGTGCAGCTGGCCCCTGGAAGACGATATGTCATGACACCCATGGCCGAGGTTTGGTCGATTGGTGGACTGGCACACAACATTGCAGGTGGGTATGCTGTGGATGTAGTTAAACTTGGGTAGCTCCTTCCGTGGCAGGGCGGTCGTCAACCACAGGCGTCGCGGCGACGAGTCTATGGCGTTGGATCCGATTTCCTTAGATCAAGGCCGGAACTCCTCGTTATCGGCGAGCATAACGTGGGCCTCGTCGATGACGACAAGATCGACAGCTCATCTATTCCTAAGCTCTAGGGAAAAAAAAAAAAAAAAAACTTCCAGAGTTTGAAATGGAGGCTCGCTGGGAAGATGATTATACTACTTGGCACCATGTCTCCATTGAAATCCTCCGTTCAAATCCGGGCGTCAATCTAGTACTTGTCGGGACGCCGCTTGGCATCCACAGCAAGCGACTCGAGCAACGTAACAACGATTGTCACTTCAAGAAATATTCAGCTCTGCCATCATCAGCTGCGGCAACGGAGATAACATCAGGCCTTAGTTAGTCTCGAACATAGCCTTGATTGCTTTTTCGTGAATAGTCTCGAAGCGTCATTCTGTCTACCTGGTGGGGGTTTTGAAGTGCATCATCCTCCACGGCAAGCATCAAAACGCGATCCAGACACTTCGCCTGCTCGCCTGACCATCTTTCTGGCGGATTTCCAAGTGACGACGTCATAGTACCTGGGCCATTCGACTTGCCGAGATGCATGAGGAAATGCCAGGAATAACTGATGCTGAGGAAATCCTGGTACCCATCCTTAGCTTCTACTGCACATATTAGATTTGCGGTTCTGGTCGAATGTGCGGCTTGCTGGTCGAATATTGAATCGACACCTGCATTATCCTCGGGGCTGCTGTTGGTATCCTATGTCTCTGTGGTACTCGGGGGGGTAGTGTCGACCAAATACATTGGCCGCGTGCCTCCAGATTCAAATCTCAAACATCTGCCCGACAATTTTCAATGTGACCCTGTGAAACTCATATACAATACCGTTGTTTGGAGAAACATTTTGAGTTTAGTAGAGTCTAGGGGCGGGCCTCTCCACTCTGTTGCAATTTCCCCTCGGGGATGATGGACTTGCACGGGCGAATCCGACACATGCTGTGTTAAATCTCTCGTGAAGGGCTGCAGCATTAGCCGGCTTGATAATATTGATGAGCGAGTTTGATGGTGCAGAGCCTGGGCAAAAAAAATAAAAAATACAAACCAGCTGGAGGTACACGACCAGCATTTAACTCAGAGAGTGGGGGAGGAATCGCCAGACTGGCTTTATCTTGCATATCTGGCCAAGTGTCGTGTGATATGTCATGAAAAATGCCAACCTACCTTTAGCAATAAGGGTTGTTTTGCCTCGACACCACTGTATTCTCCACATACAGCCCAAATAATTCGGTGATTCTTGGAGGTTGCCTACCTGTCATCAGCATCGCCAGCGACAGCAAATGGAGCATGTCGTGAGTATCTCCAAGGTACCCTTTTTGCCGTCCTCATGCTCAACGAGGATATACCCGTAACCCATTGATTGTTCCGAACCTGGTCGGCCTGGATGACATGTTGCATGTGGTCTTTGCCTTTTGCAACTGATGCATCGTTGAGGACGTGGTGGAGGAAGCAACTGCCGACTCCATCGTCTGTTGTATCGTCGTGTATTTTGCTGAGATCTGGAAGCACAAGACCTCCTAGCTGCTCCGATTCGGATCGAAGCAAGCAGTGTATAAGAACACGGTATATTGCTTCTGGTACCATGTATTCGGACTTGCTTAAGTGCAACAGCGATGTGTTTGATCTGCAGAGTCGTATGGGCTTCGTATATCCACGAGAACTCCAACGGGGTGTACTCATCCTGGTGAATCGGGGCCACCTTGTGGGTGGACAGTCTGTGTCTGGGGCACATTTTAAAGTCTTTATAGTCTCAACCAGCAGATGGAAATACTCCATTGTGCTATCCCTGGACTGGGTTGCCGTAAAGCTCAAGGTAAACAAGAAGAGGAGTGATCTTGACTGCAGCAGGGAAATATTGTGGTTAGATGGTCGAGGTGTGCCACTGCCACTCTCTGCTTCTGTTGTGTCTCGATACAAGGAACCGCCAGACTGGATAACACGACAGACTTGAAACTGTTGCCGAATGGCTTCTCTCTGAACAAGGCCAGCAGGTTATAGATATTGTTCTTCTGTGTCTCGGGGACGTCAGCGCCATTTGAGATCAAGAAGTGGTCCTGCACCGATTTGCAGAGGCAGTTGGGTATGTCGGCAGGCCCTTTGTGGTAGTGTGTATGTGCATCGCAAATGGCCTTGACAGTCCTGACAGGAGTCACCATGTAGTTGGAGTTGTGTGCCCATCGTCGTTTCTTGAAGCAGGTTGGTTGGCAAGTTTGCCATCTGTTGTTGATTCGGGTGATATTCTACTTTCAATGACTGGCGTCCTTCATTGTGGAAATAAAAACACCCACTCAATATGCTCGCTGGATGGGCGAGGTTGGAGAATTCAAGCAAGACACATGGGTCACATGGCTCGAGACGCGATAGGGAGCCAAGCTTCTGGACGAACTGGTTCACTTCGCCTTTGTCGGCTGGATGCATGGTATCCTTATGATATCTAGGTTCTGAACACTATAAAATAGAGTAGAGAGACGGTCTTTGTTGGAGGGGAGAATCTGGGGCACTTGGCAAGATCCGAAGCTGTAATATTGTAGACTTGTTGCTTGGAAAGAATTAGCTCAGGTCGGTTTGAAATGAGTGCGGATTTGCGGGCGTGGGATCTTGCCGCATAATCTTGCCAGCCTATTTGACCAAAGCACGGTATTCCCCAAGTTGTGGCACTAATAGACTTTGGTTGGTGTACCCAGCTGCAATACCTGTGGCACTACCAACCTGGGTGGTTTATAGGCAAGCTTGGGGTGTTTGCTGGGCCTCAGTGGAGATTCTGTGAATATTCAAGCCCTGCTAAAATGGAAAAAAAGTTGGAGGCAAGCGCAGTATTGTTGTTGTTGTATCAATCTTGGAGATATCTTGATGGTTTTTCCACTTGCCGTAACAAGTATCTCATACCGGTCACAGAGGACTACATGGAGTTTGAGGATATGGCAAAAGGAATCCCAAATACTGTATATGGGAATTTCGGCCTATATATATTAGCCGACTTCAATATCTTGTATTGTAGTTGGACATACCATAGTGATGGGAGTAGGACGGCCAGGTCCTGTGCCCGTCGACGGATGTGCTTCTCGTCCGCGACGCCGAGAGTTTGGGGATTCTGGTTGGGTGATGATGTCGGATCTGCAATACGAGCGAAGGATTGCCATACCGAGTATTGCTCTTATGGCATCGTGAGATGCCATACTCATGCATCTTGTTCATGGAGATGATACAAAGCGTATGGTCTGGGAGACGAAGGTCACACATATAGTACAGCAGTGGGAAAAGGGAGGCTTTACTATATATCCATCCTTGTGACCGGAGAGATGCTTTGCCGCATAAAGCGATGAAATGAACTCGTTGGAGCCTGGATAGTTGACAAGGGAGAGGAGAGTAGGTGTGGAGAAAGCCGTATGGCAGGCTGCCTGTCAAGGAGAAGGCTGCGGGTGTGTGATGTACAACCCTAAGGATAACGATGAAGTTAATTGAAGAGGATGTTGAATTGGCGGCTACTTGTAGTAGGAATGAATAACGAGTTTTACCGTCAAGCGATTCATCACCAAGTTGACGGACAAGGTGTGCGCTTGCGAAGCGCTACTCTCTAGCTTGAGATTGATAGAGAGCATGGAATCTCAGGATATGGCTTGGGATCCAAATACTTCTGCTCCGACACAATCGGTAACTCATAATTTACAGTCGCATTCCTCCACGCCCCACTCATCAAGAATGCCCATCAGCCGCTCCTTGCCCATATTGGCCCAGTCAACTTCCAATCGTGCAAGCTCTTCCAGCTTGCCATCGAGCGTCGGGTTGGGTAGGAGTGCGAGTTCCAGGGCCCGGCCGAGGGCGCATGCCTTCCTCGCCCAGCTGTCCTGCATAAGCCTACCGATGACCCTGGCATCGGCGTTCTTGGTCGACCGAATGGAATCCCTTGGGGTGACTCCAAAAATGCCATCAGATGCCAGCGGCAGCATGGCCGCCAGGCCTGGATGTCCACCGCAAATCACTATGGTCTTCTGACCCATGCCCTTGTGATGGTGGACCTTTTTCTTATCCCAGCCGAGACGGGATGCCACCTTGCTCAAAACATCCTTATTCAATCGCATCCTTTTCTTGTCGGGGCCCGACTGGCCAGAGGGATGAAGCAGCATGTAAAATTCTGACCACAGCCCTATCTCGCTAAACCTCTTCATCAAGGTGTAGGCGATGTTGTTGCCCTCCAAGTTCTGGATGAGTCTGATGACTCTCGAAACGCGATCTTCCCATGTCTTCACGTCGAAATCGTCCTGCTGTTGGGGGCCAACCGGGGGCATGGAGGGGTGGGGTTGCAGTCCTCCCTGGCATGCTTTCGTTTGCTCCATCTCTCGTACAACTTTAAGAACGTTGAATATCTGCGCCAGACCTTCTCGGCTACGGAGAGCAGCGAGAAACCCAAGTCCCTGGTCAGAGATGGAGTGGAGTTGCCACTCGTCGGGGATGTGGATGCATGCGTCCATCTTCTAGATGGCTGCCTTTGCTGCCTCCTGGCGGCGATGCGCAGCCTCGTCATCTCCAGCGTCACTTTCGTCGGTAATTCGTTGAGCAGCCTGGAACATGTCGGTCATGGTGTCGACATCGGCTTCGTCTTGGAGATTGGCTTGTCGGGGGGTCGAGGGTGGCAGGTCGGGAAGGTCGCGCAGGTACGACTGCAAACACCGGTGCATTTCAAGCATGCTGTACTCGAGCTCGCAAAGTTGTTCGGGAGGGGTGTAGGGCCCTTGCCAATCTTGGGACTGTAAACACAATGCGACGACCCTGCGACAAGACAACTCGAGCCTCTTGAGCGGGTTCGACAGGCTACCATCTCCAGATCCCTCGGAAGCATCTGTCAAGTACTGTTAGAATGCCATCTGGCAACCATGAAACAGGGTGTGAGAGGGCCTCCACTTACCGTGGGCGTGGTCTGAATCCATGATATGGGATCTGTAGAGAAACAAGGGCCGGCGGAGGTGATTCTGCAGAAATGAGGAAGGTTGTCGGGAAGCACCTTGAGAGATGAAGGCGAGAGGATGTGAGGAGAAAGTGAGACTAGCGCGGTTGATGATTAGCGCACATTCGGGCCCGCCTTTAATCCGCTTCAGCCAATCAGAAATAGAAACCCAGTTTCTTCTTATCATGTCCTCGACCTCACGTTCTTGAAGTCTTGAGCGAGGCGGATGGCCCACTTTACGGCACGGGGCACAATATTACCCTCTGACCTAGACTGTTAATGGGTATGCCACAAGTCGTATTTTACCCGGCCTCTCAAGTCACATCTAATTTGCAAGCCAATTGCTGACATTCGTGAGCCATGAGTCTCGCGTCTCTTTCCGACAAAGAGACTATTGGACGGAGGTTGGCCCACAGGAGCCCAGCGATATTCAGTGGGCTGCGGGGGTGGGCAATAAACCTAGCAGTTCTTTTCCTCCTCTTCTCTTTACTTCTTGGCGAAACTCGGCGAGGCGCGACCTTGAGGGAGGAAGACGGCATTAGAAACCTGCACAAGATTGTAGCTTTATCGGATTTTTTTTTCCCCCAAAAATAGTAGATATTACCTCTCGACGTCATCAACATGTGATTCCAGGCCAACCATGCATTCACTTATCTTCCGCATCATCCATCCCTACTATAATTGTCCCCGCAATATAACACAAAAAAAGAATAAACAATAACAAAAAACAAAAACCTCAGTAACAGTCTTTCCATCAGGTGGTCGATATCCTTGTGCTCATGGGTCGAGGAAATGGGCATGAACGTATATGACCCACTATTCCAAAACACTCAGATAGTCTACTTGTCGTCCCCGACAGAGGTGCACTCTTGCTCAACCTCTGCTGGGATGGGTTTCATTCAGGGCGCGGGGGAGATGTACCAAGATCTGGTGATGGACGGGTACAAGTGTCAGTCTGCCCATCTGGCGACGGCGACAAGCCTCCCGACGCCGCAGGCATCACGGAAAGGTCGATCACGTCCTCGTCGAAAGAGGAGTCGGACGCGTTCTCGTCCCATGCGGCAACATCCAACGCCAACGGCGAGCCTCGAGTCCCTGGGTCAGATACGGTGGCGGAAGCGTACCAGTCGAGTCTCCTTTGCCGACGACGCTTCAACGAAGCTGCTGCCGTAAAATTGCCGGTGGGAGCTGGCGGTGTTTCGACAGGCTTCGGAGTGGCAGGGTTCGGACCAGCATCAATGTCAATGAGCTCGGCGGGACCTTGTGACTGTAGCCGCGGGCCGCTAGGCTCAACGAAGAGTCCCCGACTCGTGTACTTGTCTACCAGATCGGCCGATATTGTCATCAACTCGACGTTGTCATCTGGAAGTGTGCGGGAGAGGCGGAAGGGTACCGATGGTTCGGGTAGAATGGGCATAATCCGACGGGATGGGAGAATTGAGAACGGGACAAGGTTATTCCACTAGAGAACTTGAAACCCACCAAAATTGTTGAATGGTTGAATGCTGTGTTTAGGCTCCATGCAGGTTGTGTATTTCATATTTGTGATGTTGGGGAGGGATGTGAGCATCTCATTGTCGGCAATGTACTTGAGGTCAAAGATTCCTAGCTCGTTGAAGATGATGACCCTCAGGACGTCCCTCATTCTCGCAAGAGCAGTTTTCTTGGCGATCTTTTTCGTTCTCGTCTTCTTCTAGGAGTCGAGGATCCAGTCGCGAAATCGTAGAGCGGGTGGTTTCAATGCCGCAGTGGTCTTGGCACCGTCGATCGTAATGGCCTGGGGCGAGTTGTCGGCTGTAAGTTGATCAAAGTTCAACCCTGTGAGTCCCCGAAGCTGGAGAAAGAGAAGGTAGACACCGAGATAGCCGCATTCCCAATCACCCAGTTGACCAGCTGCAGGAAAGGAGAAGAAGCTGAAGTTGTAGGGGAGCCCATAGTGAGCTAGAGTTTCTCTCCACGCAAGGATCGCAGATCTGGTGTGGCCCCCGCGATTGGCGGAATCCGTGTCGTAGATGAGCAGATGGCCGGGTGTTCGATCCCACACGAATGAAGTCCAGTGGTAGTTGTTAAAGTTAAATGTCCCAATCAAAAAGCGTTTGTTGAACAAGGCGAGCTTCATATCGTCTGGGGAACCGTACGCTGTTGTCGAACAATGAACCCGATCCACGCCTTCGGCGAGGAACGGATCGGAGCCCGCCGCGTGGAGCGGTGGGTTCTTGAACACCTTGCCGTCATGAATGGTAATGGGCTTGGGGGCAACCACCACGACATCTTGCATGCCATACGTAAGGATAGCCATGAGCGGCTCCAGGTCCCGGTCGGAGGCCTTTGTGTTCCCACGGAGCTTCTTGAACGTTCCCCAAAGATCCCAGCAGTGCTGTTCCCAGCTGCGGCGTCCGAAAGCTTGTGGGAGGTTGCCAAAATCGTGTTGTGGCGGAACCTTGGAAACTTCAGTCAGGAACTTGTCTTCAGCTTGACTGACGTGGAACCGGGTTGGGTTGTCGGAGATCCAATGGGACCAGTTGGTTCGTGGCTGGAACTGGGCAGGTTGGTCGCCGAGCAATTCCTCGAGTGGTTTCTGCAGGTTGGTCTCCGACTCATGGTAAAAGTCGGATTCACCGCCCTCCTGGTGGACGTGGCCAGAGAAGAAGTCGGAGCCTTCCTCGGGCAGGAAGAATATATTATTGTCGTCTTGTGGCGGCGACCTGGCTTTTGGCTTGAGCTTGGGCATCTTGCTGGCGGAGGAAACGGGCAACTCGCCGGGTTTGGGTTGGGTGCAAGACGAGGTGGTGGCGACGAGATCGAGCGAAACAGCGGAGAGGGATGCAAGGAGGAGTAAAGAGATGAAGAGACTGTGTGTTGCTTTGGAGAGAAACAACGCCTGAGAATTAGGCTGCCTTTTCTTGAGACCTGAGGCTACCACGCCGACATTGATGCCTGAGGACCCACATACTCTCTCTCACTACCTTACGTAGGTAGGTAGCTAAATGTCGTGGGTGAGATGGCAATTGCCAGAGTGTTGTTGTTCATCATGTGCAACATTTCGTGCGATTCTAACCCTCAGTGAATGGTAACATCAAGGACGTCCTTTCCCATGGCGTATATTCGCCTGATGTTGGGATTTCCAATTTGAGCAACAAATAGAAGTAAAGTCCTGGCAATTGTGATTTTCATGTCGAAGGCGCGGATGGGATCATTCCGATCCCAACCTTGGCCTTAATCTCCGAGCGGCGACTTGGCTGAGAGGGCACAGTTTCCGATGCAGAGAGTATCCGACATCTTACCTGTTGTAATGTAATGGCAGGCTGTTCTTCTGGAGATAGAGACCGACTGGGCTTCACTGACTGTGCCACTCATACTGCCTTTGCTGCCCGTAAACATGGAGCCCCAGTTTAGTCAATACAGCTCGATCTTATGAAATATAATACAAACATACTCAAGGGTTATCTTAAGATCTATCATCTTGACTAAAGAACGAAAATAGACGACAGTATCCATCTTGAAAGAGGCAGATGTAGATGTAGATAAAGATGAATTTTGGTTTTAAGTATCTGCCTAAGATAGCGAGCTTGGGTGATTACTTCAATCTCCATCATACAGTTCAAGGGATACAGCCATCTCCGACACAGTCTTGGGTGTCGTTACTGGCTCATTAGTCCTGGCCTCTCGACGAGTGGGGATAGACACAATAAGGAAACCTTTTGGAGGCATACAACACCTCGGCGGCGGCGCTGCTGGCACCAGTGGATTGTATATCGACGGTGGGAGGTTGCTCGGGGTTGATATTCATGGCGTCCACGTCGACTATCTGACCGTCACAAAGAGGGAGGAGGTTTGTTGTGGCTGTTGGTGTGTCTAATTCTTTCTGCGTAATGCTATGGTCAACGTCGGATGGTTTGAGCATCTTTGTTGTGGCCTGAGTTCGGAGTAGGGTCTGACATGGCTGGTTCCGTAACCTTTGCCGCGGGACGTGGTGTTTAAATGGTATGCTGAAACTTGCGCTCGCTCGCAATCTTGAATCGAGTTGGAGAGGTCGTGAATGCGGTCTCTCGTTTCGTTGACGAGGGTTGCGAGCTCGCGGGGGCCAGGATCGATTCATCCCCATGATGAAGTGTCGAGTCGGGCCATAGCATTAAGGGGCTCTTAGGTCAATCTCAAGACGAGCTCGACTTCGAGGTTGCTGCGGAAAGGTCCGACTGCTCCAGTGCCAATGCGGTGGCGTTTTTCGTTTCCTTTGCATCACTCACGCTCGAGGGAGAAGAAGCTGGAAGCACGGAATCCATCCTTAAGGGCGGGTGTGTCGGATTGAACCGTGGGTCTGGATACTGTAAGTTAGCACTGGCATAAGCAATGGTAAGATTGGATGCACAAACCTGCTGGTCCTTGGGCTTGAGCCGCAAGGTGAAGGTCCGTTGAATGGCGTGTC